ACCTTCGCGCGTGGGCGCTGCTGGAGAAACGCGCGGGGAACACGACCGCCGCGCGCGCGCTCTTCGCGCGCGCCGCGAACGCGGACGCGTCCGACGCGACGACGTGGCTGCAGTGGGGCCAGTTTGAACGTCGCGTCGCGGGCGCCGCCGCCGCGCGATCGCGCTTCGCGTCCGGGTTGCGCGCGACGTCGGCGACGCGCGACGGCGAGCCGCGGCAATTTCTGTACCAAGCGTGGGCGACGATGGAAGCGTCGGAGGGCGAGGTGGAGACCGCGCGGGATCTGTTTTCGCGCGGCGTGCGAGAGCACCCGAACGCGGCGCCGCTGTGGCTGGAGTTTGGGTTGTTCGAAGCATACGGCGCGGGCGGCGAGGGCGGCGACCCGGACGCCGCGCGCGTTGCGTTCGAGAGAGGCGCGGCGGTGGCGCCGCCGTATCCGCCCGTGTACGAAGCTTGGGCGGACCTCGAGGCGTCGGTCGGGGACGAGGTGAGAGCGAAGGAGATCATGGGCGCGATCGATCTGGGAGGAGGGCGTGAGGCGCCGGTCGGGAGGGAGGTGAAGGCGGCGGCGGCGGCGGCGGCGGCGACGACGACGACGACGGAGCCGAGCGAGGTCGCGCGACGACGATGACCTTGGGTTTATTTTTTATTCACGTCCGCGACTTCGTTCGTCGTATCACGTCGTCCGTCGCGTCGTTCGCTCTGCGCTGCGCGCGGCGTGGTTCTCGTTCGTTCGTCGTCGTCGTAATGTACTCCACGTCATCGCCATCGCGCCGTGGGGCTCGGTCGTCGCCGATGCGACGCTCACGCGGGGGCGCACATCGGTTCGTTCTCGTTGACGCCCTCGACGTCCGCCGCGGTCTTTTGAACCTTCGCGACCTCCTTCGCCGCGGCAGCCTTCTCCTGCCGCTTGCGCTTCTGTTCGACCTTGTTGTCGAGCTTCTGGAGGAGCTTCTTCGACGCGGTCGTGATCAGCACGCGGAGGAGGCACGCGTCCTCGACGTTCTTCGCCTTGACGCCGATCTCCTCCGCGCGCGGTTTGAACGCCCGGAGCGCCTTCGCGGAGAGCTGAACGTCGCTCAGGGGTTCGAACGCGTCGCGGAGGCGCGTGTTGTGCGCGGTCGTCAGCTTCTTCGCGGTCGTCGTGTTCGCGTCCTTGGGGATCTTCGGCGCCTCGTCCAGCGCGTCCTCTTTCGCGCGGACGGCGGCGTAGAGCGCGCGGAGGGCGGCGCCGATGAGCGGTTCCTGGAGGGGAGGGAGGGAGGGAGGGAGGGAGCGCGCGGGTTTGAACGTTCTGTTCAAACGACGGGGCGAGGAGTGTAGGAAGGCGGCGACGCGGGAGGGCGTCGGCGCGGAGGATGCGTCGCGCGGCGGCGCGCGCACCTCCTGTTCGGTGAGCGTCGGTTCGTGCGTGGGGGCGGCGGACATGGCGGCGGGGGGGTCGGGTCGGAGGCGGACGGTGACGGGGGCGCGTGCGTGCGGGCGCGGGCGGGAGTGGCAAAATCCTTTCATCAGCTACAGTACAGCTTGCGAGAGCTCTTCACTTTCCCGCCGCGCGCCCCCCGCCGCCGCACGCTCAGATCTGGCCATGTCCTTCGACGACATCCCCGAGAACGCCGCGTCCGTCGTGTTCTCGCACCTCGGGGAGGACCCGATAGACCGCGTTCGCCTCGCCGCGGTGAGCAAGGTGTGGAGAAGCGCGGAGAAGGCGGGCGCGTCGTCGCCCGGCACTCCGAGGGCGTTTTTCGACCTCGGTGAAGGGTTTTACGACGAGGGGGAGCACGAGAAGGCACTCTACTGGTGGTGTAAAGCCATTGATGATCGAGACAAAGGCAGTGCCTTGTTTGAGATCGCGAGTTGCTACTACTATTTTGAGTACGAGGGCAAGATGGAGCGTGAAGCGATGCTTAGCGAAGGCGTTCGAGTCGTACAAAAGAGCGTCCGAGCTGGGGCACGCCCGCGCTACCTATAAGGTCGCGTTGTGCTATGATTTCGGAACCGGCGTGGAACAAGACGACGCGAAGATGGTCGAGTGGTACGTAAAAGCGGCAGATCTGGGTGACTACTGTGCCGCGTGGCAACTCTCGACTATCTACGAACACGGCTGGCGCGGCGTCGCGGTGAACAAAAAGGAGGCCCTGAAGTGGTGCCGCGTCGCGGCGGAGCTTGAACCGCACTTCGCGAAAGACCATCAAGACCGCATAGTCCACCTAGTGCGCGAGGTCGCGACACCGAGAACGAACGCGGCGTAGACTCCACCAGCACTTCACGGCATCTTTGTAACGAACGACGCACGTCACGCACACTGCCCTCACTTCCTCATACCCGTGCCCGGTCAGAAAACGTCCGACTCATCCAGTCCTTCTCGACTCGGAAAAACCACGACCGCGCCGTCGTAACGGTCACACTTCGCGATGCCCACCCCCGACGACGACCCCTCCTCCGAGACGCCGTTCGCGCACGAGTCCGACACCGCGGAGCCAGAGGAGGCGTCGTGCTCGTGGGACGCGTTCCAGACCTCGATCCTCCCCCCCCACGGCCGCCTCCCCTCGCGCGCCTCCTCGAACGACCGCGCCATCCCGCCCGCGAATTTCGCCGTCCACGTCAACGGCGCCGCGTGGGCGGGGTGGGTCCGGCAGTCCTCACCCGCGTGCGCGGCCGCGTCCGTCGCGGGCGCGTGGAACGCGCTCGCGTTCGGCGGGAGGCACGCGTCGCGCGCGGTGCGCCAAGACGACGTCGTCGCGCACCTCGAGCGATGCCTCGAAGAGCAGATCCGACAGAAGCGCGCGCGGTTCGAGCGGTTGCTGGGCGCGCCGACGGACGAGTTCGAGGCCGAGCTCGACGCCGCGATCGCGCGCGACCCGAGCGGGAAGACGCTCGGCGGGCGGAGTAAGATAGACAAGGGCATGAAACGAGCGGACGTGATGCGCGTCGTCGTCGACGTCGCGAAGGAGCACGGAACGCGCGAGCTGGACGCGCGCGACGCCGCCGTCGAATCAGCCGCCGCCGCCGCCGCCGCCGCCGCCGCCGTGCGAGAGACGATCGACGAGGCCGCCGAGGACGGCGAGCCGCCGCCGCCGCCGCCGCCGCCGGACCTCTCCAGAGTACCGAAGATGTCCGCGTTCGGCCTCATCGCGGCGCTCGTGCGCGAGGACGAGGCTCGGGCCGCGGCGGCGGCGAAGGAGGAGGAGGAGGAGGAGGAGGAGGAGGAGGAGGACGACGACGAGGACGAGTCCGCGAACGACGAGAACGCGGAGGACGCGAACGCGGAGACGGGTGCCGCTGGCGACGCGAAGACCGCGCCCGGCGCGGTGGACGAGGACGCCGCGCTGCTCGCGTCGCTCGCGGCCGGGATAGAAATGAATTCGGGAAGGGGTGGCAAGGGGAAAGGAGGTAAGAAGAAGCCCCCGAGTCGGTTCGCGAAGATGAACAAAAAGTTTCTCGCCGGTTTCGGCGGCGCGGAGTTGGCGGAGACCGCGAACGATGCGGGCGGTGGTAGAGTAACGACACATGCTGATGCGTTACCTCCCGACCACCCGAGCGCAGCAGCAGCAGCTGCAGTCGCCGTCGCCGCGGAGACGGAGATGCCGCCCGCGAAACCGAAACGGTGGACCTGGCGCAAGGACCTCTGCGAGCTCCTCAAAAAACGCGGCGGGCTGGAAAAACTCCGACGCGACAAGCCGAGCACGGGCGAGTTCGGGAACTGGGGCATCATCGAGGCGATGCGGCGGGTATCCGCGCACGCCGCGCTCGCGGCGTCGGAGGACGTCGACGCGCCGCCGGCGCCACAGGTCTCCGTCCGCGTCGCCGTCGGCGCGAAGACGAAGCTCCGTAAGGGTTTAGACGTCGTCGTGCGCGCGAGAGGGGACGAGGAAGAGGAATGGGAGAAGCTTCGCGCGCTCTTCGCGCGCGACGACACGGTGCTCATCTTCCACTTGAAGAACCACTACGCGCTGATATACGCCCTGCGCGAGTCCACGGTCTTCGAGGAGGGCGACGAGGTCGACGGCGGCGGCGGCGGCGGTGGCGGTGGCGGCGGCGGGGACGACGTCTCGTCGGCGTCGGAGCGCGCCGCCGTCGTCGTCGGCGGGCGACGGCGGCGGCGGGTTCGCGAGCTCCTCACCGCGCGACGCGGCCAGCGCCCGACCGCGTGGGTGCCCTGGTCCGAGGCGCGGGAGACGATGCTGCGGTGGACCGGGTACGGGATCTTAGCCGCGAGCGTGAAGCGATAGAGCGATGTAGTACGACCCATAGCGGTAGCGGCGGAGGAGAAAGTCGGCGTGATCGCGGTGCCTTCCCACGCGTGATCCTGCACTCCGCTGCAGTGCCTGGCCGCGCTTTGTTTTCAATCCAGTCGTCGTCGTCGTCGACGGCGGCGCGCACTCCGCGCGCGCGCGGACGGATCGCCCGCGATGGACATCCGATCCTCCGCCACGAAGAACCCCGGCTCGTCCGGGCAGCCGATCAAGCGCACGGTCGGGTTCGCGATCGCGGGCGACGACGACGACGGCGACGAGCCCGTGCCGTTCTCGCTCGAGGGCGACGGCGTCGAGCTGCGCGCGGGCGGCGCGTCGACGGGGCGCGCGTCCGTAACGGACGGCGACGGCGTCGTCGGGTCGCCCTCGCCGGTGCTCATCATGCCGACGTCGCTCGACGCCGGCGGCGCGTCCGCGTCGTCGTCGATGAACAGCCCGCGAGGGGTGCGTCGCGTCGTCCGCGATCGATCGATCGATCTCGCACGCCCACATGACGCGACGCCGCGCGCGCGCGCTCGTTTCTTCGCGCCGTCCGTCCCTCCCCCGCCGCGTTCGCTGACCCTCCCCGATCGTCGTCGTCGCGTCGCGCAGATTCCCGAGATCATGCAGAGCGTGCGGAACATGAAAGTCCAGAGCGCGCCGCAGGCGACGCCGCCGAAGCGCGCGCCTCCGCCCAAGCCGCGATCGCCGAACAAGGCGTCCTCGCCGTCGAAAACCCCGCCGGCGCCGCGTCCCCCGCCCGCGGCGGCGGCGCCGAAGTCCGCCGCGCGCGAAGACGAGGCCGCGGCGAAAGAGGCGGAGAAGGCTGCGAAGGCGGCGGAGAAGGCGGCGAGGAAGGCTGCGCACCTCGCGGCGAGCGGCGGCGGGGGCGGCGGCGGCGGCGCGGGCGGCGCGCCCTCGGAGAAACCCAAGCTGTCGAAAGCCGAGCGACGCGCGCAGCAAGAGGCGCAGCGCGCGGCGAAGGAAGCCGCGAAGAGCGTCTCAGCGCCCGCCGCCGCGGCACCCGGCGGCGGAGGAAAGAAAGAGAAGAAAGAGCAGGGCGGCGGCGGCGGCGGCGGCGGCGGCGGCGAGGAGAGCGCGACGGCCGCCGCCGCCGGGAGCGATTCCCCCGCCGCGTCGTCGTCCAAAGCGATCAAAGCGATCAAAGCCGAGCGCGCGGCGTCCGCGTCGTCGTCCAAGGCGCGGCCGCAGAGCAAGCTCGTCGATTCGTTCTCGCATCTACGACAGTACCGCGCGCCGCCGACGAAGCAGCACACATCGCTCGCCGGGGCGACCGCCGCGGGCGTGGCGTGCCACCCCGCCGTCGCTCGCCTCGCCGAGCGATACGCCGACGGCTCGATCCGCGGCGGCCGCGCGCGGTGCATCGCGCTTCTTCACACCCTGAAGATCGTCATCGCGGACTTTCAGACCCCCTCGGACGCCAAGTACGCGCACGCGCTGACGACGTGCGTGAACGCGGTCGTGCAGCATATCCAGTCCGCGCGCGCGATGGCGGTGTCCATGGGCAACGCGGTGAAGGCGCGTTCATAGTCTATTTACACCGGTCCCCGTACGACCCCGTCGGCGCGGTGAACGCCGTTCCTTAAGGACTTTTGCCGCCGGCGTTTCTCTCCGCCCACACCACTGCTTCAATCCCGACACACCCACCTCGACGCCTTTCAACTTCAACTGACGCCTTTCAACTCCACCCCGTCGTCGCTTTGAATGATGGAACGACCCGAAGTCGCTCAAGACGCACCTCGCGCGGATGGCGGAGGCGCCGACGCCGCCGAGCGACGAGGAGTCGCGGAAGAAGACCCTCGGTCACCTGGAGTACTTTGAAAGGGAGAAGCTGATTCAGGCGGGGAAGTTCATCGCGGAGCACGGCGCCGGGGAGATCGCGGACGGGGACGTGATCGTGACGCACGGGGCGTCGCATCACGTCGTGGAGATTCTTCTCGCCGCGTTCGACGCGGGGAAGACGTTTCGCGTCGTCGTCGTCGACTCCCGACCGAAGCTCGAGGGCCGAGAAACCCTGAAACGCTTACTCGGCCGCGGGATCCCATGCGCGTACACCACCCTCGCGGGTTTAGGGTACGTGCTGCGGAAAGGCGGCGCCACGAAGACGCTCGTCGGCGCCGCCGCGGTGCTCGCGAACGGCGCCGTGGTGAGCCGCGTCGGCACCGCCGTCGTCGCCGCCGCGTCGACGCACCGCGGCGTTCCGGTGCTCGTCGCCGCGGAGACGTGCAAGTTCCACGAGAGAGTGCAAGTGGACGCGATCGCGAGCAACGAGCTCGGGAACCCGGCGGAGATCGTCGACGTCGGGAGCGGGAGCGGCGGGAGCGGCGGGAACGGGGGGGGCGGTGGGGGCGGGAGGGGCGGGGGGTCGCCGGATTCGCCGCTGCGCGGGTGGGAGGACGCGGAACGGCTGAGCGTTCTCAACTTGCTCTACGACGTGACGCCCGCGGAGTGCGTGAAGAACATCGTGTGCGAGAGCGGTCTGGTCGCCCCTGCGGACGTCCCGTCGTTCTTGCGGTGACCGACGCGGCGTCCGCGCCGAGTTGTAGCCTCTCGTCGGCGACGAGTTACTGATGAATGAACGAAACGACGTCGACGCGGATTTGATGATGTTAAAAACGCGCGCGCTTCTTCTCTTACGTCGACATCTCGTCGTTCAGCGCGTCGAGGTACTCGTCGTAGTACTTCCCCGCGTTCTCTAAGTCCCCGATCTCGGTGTACAGGTCCGCGATGTTCCCGAGCGCGTCCGTGTCCCCCGTGCGATCTCCGAGCTGCCGAGAGATGTCCAAGACTTCCTTCAAGAAGACGATGGATCCCTTCGTGTCTCCCAAGCCGCGTTTGGACGCGGCTAACCCGCGCGTCGCGCGTCGAATCTGCACCTGATCGCCCTGCATCCTCGACAACATCAGCGCTTTATTGAACACCTTCTCCGCCTCCGCGTACGCCGCGGGAGTCTCCACCTTCAGAAGCGCGCGGCCTTCCCTGAGCGCCTTCTTCAGCTCGTCGAGAGACGCCGAGTCGAAATCTTTCGAGAGCGCGCCCGCCGTCGCGCTCTCCTCGTCCAACGAGTCCAACGGCCCGGGGTTTACTTCTCCGTCGTCGGACCCGGACGCACCGCCACCGCTGAGCCCTTTCAACTTTTGACGATAGACCGTCTTGTCCGCGCCGCCGTCCGGGTACACGACCACGTTCCCCGACCCCGGCGCGGCGTTCGGCGAGGGGTTCCGAATCTGCTGCCGCAACGCGACGTTCACCGCCCTCAACTTCTCGTTCAACTCCGCGATCTCCGCCTTTCGCGCGTTGCTCGAGAGCCCCGCGCCGATCGCGCCCACGAGCGCGACCGTCTCCGTGATCCCGACGAAGTCGATCCCGAAGGGCGTGATGCACAGCGTCTTGCCGTCGACGACTTGCTGCCGGGCTTTGGTCTCCTCGCTCTGCCGCAGCGCCGCGAGGTCCTCGCGCGCGATCGCCTCGCGCTCGAACCTCAGCGCTTTCAGCTTGGACTCCTCCTCGCGGATCTCCTCGATGATCGAGTTCAGGTTCGCCTGCGCCTCGCCCTCGTACGTCTTGCGTTCGGAGAGGAGGCGGTCGCCGATGTCGGTGCTCTTTTGGCCGGTCGCCGCGGACGCGGACGGCGCGAATGCCAGCGTGGTCGTCGCCCCGAGCGCGCCGAGGAGCGCCGCGGCGACGCCGGCGCGGCGCGAGACGGAGACGGAGACGACGGCCGTAGGCGGCGGCGCGGAGGACGCGTCGTCGTCGCGCGGCGCGAGCGCGGCGCGAGCGATCGACGACGACGACGCGCTCGTCGTCGTCGGCCGCCTCGGCGACGATCTGGACGACGACGTCGTCGTCTTCGCGCGCGCGCGCGGCGCGAGGACGCCGCTCGACGCGGTCGCGCACGAGGACGCCGCGAGGACGGAGGACGCGCGAGGGATCATGGCGCGTGTGACGACGTGTGTGCGCGAGCCGAAGCGCGCGTGAGGTGCGCTCGAGTCGCAATGGCGAGACGCGAGCGCGTGGTCGCTCCCAACCTATCCAGAGCAGCAGAGGTGGCAGCTCGGAGATCTTCCTCTCGGGACGATCCATGCACAAAAGTTCATCGGTCAGTTGAAAGGGAAGCGATCAAATGTTGAAACCGATGGACGGGTGAAAAACTTTTGCACAGAACGCATCTCAGCGGCAACAGAAACAGGTACAGTACAGTAATTATTATGCGTCTCTGGCTGGAGAGAATCAATCGGTCGCGGAGGCGCCGCCTCACTACCGGCGACGCACGGCGCGCGACACCAACCGCGCGCGCGCGTTCGAGCCGAGCCTCGCGACGTCCTCGAGCGCGCATCGCGTCGAGCGCCCGCTCCGAAGGCTTCGCGGCGTCGTCTCGTCGCGCGACGAGAGGCGTGAATCGCGAGCTCGCGAAAAAAGCGCACGCGCAGGTCTTAGGGTTGTTGGACCTCGGATCGGCGCGCGACCGCCTCGAGAGCGAGCGTCCGCGAGCGAACGTCCGCCGCCGCGATGGCGTGCGCCCTCGCGATGGCGTGCGGTGCCGTCGCGAGCGATCGCGTCGTGGCGGCGGCCGCGCGGCGTCCCGGCGCCGCCTTCCGCGTCTCCGCGTGGCGGCGACGGAATTTAACGCGATGGGGGGGGCGACCCTCCGTCGCGAGACCCGCGGCCGCGGCGAACGCGTCGGACGCCGAGCTCGAGACGCCGCCGCCGTCGGGGTTCGACGCCAGCGCGACCGCGCGCGCGCAGACGCTCGCGGAGATCTCGGAGAAAGCCCCGCCGAAGAAGGAGAAGGAGGAAGACGCGGCGGCGGCGGCGAAGAAGAGCGGAGCGACGTCGAAGAAGAAGACGGCGAAGAAAAAAGCATCCGAGGAGGACGGCGAGGGCGCGAAGAAGACGAAGACGACGAAGACGAGCGCGAAGGACGCAGCGGGCGCGAAGGCGTCCTCTACTACTACCAAGGCGTCTTCTGCCAAAGAGAAAGCGGCGAACGCGAACGCGAAGACGAAGGCGAAGGCGAAGGCGAAAGCGCCGACGGCGGCGGCGACCGCGCCCGCGCCTTCGCATTCGCCGCCGAAGAAGCTGTCCAAGATGGAACAGGCGAAAGCCGAGGCGAGGGCGGCGCAGGCGAAGAAGAAGGAGAAGGAGAAGGCGTCGAAGGCGTCGAAGGGGGGCGAGAAGGGCGGCGTCGCCGTCGGCAAGAAGAAGAGCGTCCTCGACGGCGAGGCGAAGGCGAAGGCGAAGGCGAAGGCGAAGGAGAAGGCGTCCTCCTCCTCGTCTGGATTCTCGTTCCCGAACCCGTTCGCGAAGAAGACTCTCACCGCGAAGGAGGAAGCCAGACGCGCGCGCGTCCTCGCCGCGAAGTCGAAGAAGATCAAGGAGGAGGTGCGAAAAAAGACGAGAGGCGGGAAGCTCGCGCCGTACACGGACTACCCGCTCGATCAGTCCGGGTACGCCGGCGGTCCGAAGCTCAAACCGGAGGAGCTCAAGTGGTCGCCGAACGGCAACGCGCTGCTTCAGCTGGATCGCCAGACGATCACGTACAACCAGTTCCTCAGGGACCTCAGCGATCAACAAATCTTGGAGCTGCACTATAAACGCGAAGGACACGACCGTTACTTTATAATTTACAAAGACGACCGCGTCGCGCACGTGGAGGTGCCTCAAGACGACTTCAGGGTCGCGAAGCTGTGTCACCTGCAAGGCCTCGAGGCGAGCGAGATCGTCGTCGAGGGGGAGCTGGATCGATCCACGAACGTCGGGTTCCAGCAAGCGAGCGAGAACCAGGCGAAGGTGATCTCCAACTACGGCCTGCCGCTCATCGGCGTCGGCGTCGTCTGGTTCATCGTGTGGACGATGAACCGCTTCAAGGGCGACTTCGACGACAGGCAAAAAATCTTGGAGCAAGAGCGCAGGGCGGAGGCGATCAAAGGCGTGGACGGGGACCCGGGGTTGGAGACGCTGAAGAACCTCCTGAAGCAGGTGGACAAGACGACGAACCCGGAGGAGTATAAGAGGCGAGAGAAGGAGGTGGACGACTATCGCGAGAAACTGGAGCGCCGCGCGGCGTTTTTAGTCTCCGAGGAGGGGGGCGGCCCGGGCGGAAACGCGACGCCCGGCGGAGCCGGAAACGCGGAGGAGGCCATCGGCAAGTTTATGAAAGCCGGCGGGATGAAGGTGATCGGCAAGGTGCGTTCCATACCCTCCTCTTCGTCTCTCTCGTTCACGTTCACGTCCACGTCCACGTCATCAAACCACTGACCAAACGCATCACTTCCCGCCGCGTCACCCACCAATCACGACAGCGCGAGGAGCGGCGCGGACAAGACGCCGTCGGCGCGGCGTTGGACGCCGCGGCGAAGGCCAAGGCGGAGGACGACGCCGCGCGGGAGGCGAAGAAAAACCCCGGCGGCGCGTCGAAGAAAGTCGCGAAGCAAGGGCAGCTGCGGTCGAAGATGAAGATGCGAGACGAGAGCGACGTCGTCATGTTCAGCGACGTCGCGGGCATCGGCGACGCGAAGATCGAGCTGGCGGAGATTGTCGACTTTTTCCGGATGCCGGAAAAGTTCAAAAAGTCGGGCGCGCAAGTCCCGAAAGGCGTCATGCTGACGGGCCCGCCCGGGTGCGGGAAGACGCTCCTCGCGCGCGCGGTCGCGGGCGAGTCCGGCGCGACGTTCTTCTCGCTGACCGCGTCGGAGTTTGTCGAGATGTTCGTCGGCGTCGGCGCCGCGCGCGTCCGCGACTTGTTCGCGCAGGCGAAGAAGCAGGCGCCGTCCATAATTTTCATCGACGAGCTCGACGCCGTCGGTCGTCCGCGCGGCGCGGGCGGGTCCGGGAACGACGAGAGGGATCAGACGCTGAACCAGCTCCTCGTCGAGCTCGACGGCTTCGGCAGCGATGCCGGGGTGGTGTGCATCGCGGCGACGAACAGGGTGGACGTTTTGGACAAGGCGCTGGTGCGCGCTGGAAGGTTCGATCGAAAGATCACGGTGCAGCCGCCGACGAGAGAGGGACGGCTGCAGATTTTGAAAGTACACGTCCGGGATAAGCCTTTGAACGACGACGTCGACCTCATCGATCTCGCCGCGGAGATGAACGGGTTCACCGGGGCGATCATCGCGAACGTGGTGAACACCGCGTGTTTGGCCGCCGCGAGGGAGGGCCGCGACGACGTGTGTCAGAGAAATTTTGACGACGCCGTGGAGGCGGAGCAGCTCGGGAAGATCCTCCCGATCGACCGCGGGATGGACAACGAGCGAAGAATCGCACGCGTGCACGCGACGTGCGCGGTGGGAACGTACCTCCTGATGCACGACGTGTGTAAGATTAACTTCACGACGATCACGCCGAGGGAGACGAACATGGACGGCTGCGTCTCGTTGAAAGATTTCCCGGAAGTCGACCGCCCGGGGCTCGGGATACGAGGCGTGATGTCGCGGCAAGTGCGCGTGTGCTACGCGCCGCAGATCGCGGAGGAGGAGGAGTACGGGTTCGACGACTTATCGTTCGCGGCGGCGCCGTACACCGCGAGGGCGAGAGAGATTGTCGCGCTCATGGTGCAAGCCTCCGGGATGGCGAAAGAGGGCTCGACGTTGAACATCGTCCCCGCGACGGACGCGTTCAGCGTCGTGGACTTTCTGCGCAGGGACGTCGTGGAGTTCCTCATGCGACACACGACCGTGGATAAGTACTTCGCGAGCGACCGAGAAGCGCGGGAGATGCTCGAGATGGAACACCGAGCGGCGCGGAGGTTTGTCCAAAGACAAAAAGCCGCCATCGACGCGTTGACAGAGGCGCTCGTCGAACACAAGACGGTGGATTTGGAGATGATGGAGAAAATCATGGCCGAGCACGCGGTAGAAGAGCCGAAGGAGGAGGAGGAGATCATGCCGTATTACTCCCCGGAGGACCGCGAGCGGTTGGTGCCGTGGGAGGGGGAGATGCCGAAAGATTCCGTGCCGGCGACCAACGAGTGGATCGAAACGTGAGAGTTTGACAGACGCGACTGCTTTGATACGACGACGACGAGAGCCGCCATCGCCACTCTCTACTAAACTCCGCTACTAAATGATGGCGACTGACAACTCGTCGCGTGGTCACGCGTCACAAATAATGCTTCTCGTGCAGATCGCGAAAGAACGCCTTCACGGAGTCGTTGATGTAAAACGACACCGCGACGGACAGCGGCCCTTTGATCCAGTTCATCGAGACGCCCTTGTACAACCCGCCTCTGAACCCCTCCGTCTTCGCGATGTCCACGATGGTCCCCCACAGCGACGCGTTCCCCATCCCAGCCCTCCCCATGACTTGTATGCGCCGCCGCACGATGTCCAGCGGGTACGTCACCGACTGCGCGAAGAGTCCCGCGACGCCGCCGAAGAGCAGCCGCGTGGCGACGGGCATCTGCATCGTCGGATTCGTCTCGTCGAACGCCTCGCCGCGCGCCGCCGCCTTGGCGCGCTCGCGATCCAAGTACCGCCCTTTCAGCGTCTCGAACGTCGCGAACGAGATCCCGGCGTACGGCACGATCCCGAGCAGCGTGGGGGTTATCCCGCCGTACAGACCGCGGACGCCCTCTGCGGCGACGACGCGCGAGACGTCGCGGAAGATGTTAAACACCGGCGCCCTCGTCGCCGTCGTCGCCGCCGCCGCCGCGCCCGCGCCCGCGCCCTGACCGACGACGCTCGCGACGCGCGCCCGCGCCGCCGCCGCCGCCGCGGACTTCCCGCTCGCGGCCCCGCCGGTCGCGGTCGCCGCGACCGCGACCGCCGCCGTCGTTCCCGTCCCGTGCGCCGCGTACCGCGCGCGAAGTAAATCCAACGGGTACGTCATCGTCGTCGCCGTCGCGCCCGCGGCGCTGCCCGCGACGAATCGAATCGCGATCCGGCTCCCGCTCTCCGCGTCGCCGCCGCCGTCCGGCTCGCCGAATATCTTCCCGAGCGCGGCCTTCACCGCGGCCTCGTACTTCGGGAACGTCAGGAAGCTCACGCCGGCGTACGGAATCACTCTCGCCATCATCACGCCGTTCCCGCGCCACAAACCCAGGACGCCCTCCGTTCGGACGATGTCCTTCGCGGTCTTCACCGCGGCGCTCAGCGAGAACGGCCGGTTCGGGTCGACTTGATACATGATCTTGACCCTATCCGCGGGCGCGATGACGCTCTTCGCGATCGCGCCCGCGGTCCCGCCCGCGATGAGACTCTCCACCGCCGTCGCCGACTTGGACTCGATGTACGTCGCCGGCGTCGGCGTCGGCGCGTCTTTCGCGCCCGCGATCAACGTCTTCCTCGCCGCGGGCACCGCGAGCTTCAAGACGTCGTTCGCGGTGAACCCGATCGCGGCCGCGACCGGGCCTTTCACCCACGTCAGCCCCACGCCCTTGAACAGCCCGTTCGCGACGCCCTCTCTGACGTAAATCTCTCTGAGGCCCTCGACGACGCTCGGGTACGCGCCGGCGCCGTGGACTTGCATGCGTCGCCGGACGATATGCAGCGGGTACGTCGCCGTCTGCGCGATGAGCCCCGCGACCGCGCCCGCGGCGAGCTTGTGAAGCACCGGCATCTCGTCCGGGTCCCAGTCGTGGTCCGCCGATCCGCCGCCGCCGCCGGCGGCCAACGACTTCTTCTTTCGATACGCCGCCTTGAGAGTCTCGAACGTCGCGAAGGATATCCCGCCGTACGGCACGATGCCCATGAGCGTCGGCCCGAGACCCGCGTACAGCGCTTTCACTCCGCCCGCGTTGACCGTCGCGGTGAGGTGCCGGACGCTCCCGGCGAGGCCCAGCGGCGCCGCCGCGGAAGACGCGGATGCGGCCGCGGATGACGATGACGCCGCCGACGCCGCCAAGGCTCGATTCGTCGCGCGCATCCACGCGTTCGCCGCCGCCTTCGCGCCCGGCCCGGTGACGTGCGCGGCGCTGCGCGCGTGCAGAAGGTCCAGAGGGTACGTCATGATCGTCGCCGTCGTCCCCGCGAGCGCGCCGGCGACGAACCGCGTGAGGATGCCACCGCCCTCGGGCTCTCCCATCGCGCGCGCGAGCGCGGCGTTGTAGATTGGAAACACCGCGAACGTCGTCGCGCTGTACGGCAGGATGCGCGTCACCGCGGCGCCGGTGCCGCGCCATAGCGCCGTGACGCCCTCCTCCTTCACGATCGCGCGCCCCGCGAGGAGCGCGCTGCGCGTGGACACGACGGAGGAGGACGCGGCGTTCACCTGGAAGAGGATCTTCACGCGGTCGATGGGGGCGGTCGCGACGCGCGATAACGCCCCCGCGGCGCCGCCGGCGAGGAGGCGCTCCCACGCGAACGGCTCGGGGGCTTCGTCGTCATCGTCGTCGTCGTCGTCGCGTTTCGACGAGCTCGACGCCATCTCGCCTCTCGCCTCTCGCCGTACCGTGCGCCGCCCTAGCTAGTGTTGAATCGGCGCGGATGGCGTTCGCTCTCGGTTCGTGGAGTTCGACACTCAGATTTCGCGGCGTCACACCTCGAGGCGCGGGGGGCTCGCTCGGGAGGCGCGATGCCCGAGGCGCGCGCGAGGCGCCGCGGGCGCGTCCTCGCCGTCGCCGCCGGCCTCGGCCTGGTCCTCCTCGCGGTCGCGTCCGTGTCGTCCTCGCTCGACGCGCGCGTGCACGTCGTCGTGGACGACGACGACCTCTCTCGTCGGCGTCAGCCGGGGGACGATGACGTTCCTCTCGACGGCGCCGTCGCGCATCACGCCGGCGCCGTCACCGCGTTCATCACCGCGAAACAATCGCACGGCATGACGCGCACGATCCACGGCGTCCTCGCCGCGGTCGTCTTCGTCGTCGGCTACGCCGCGGCGGTCTCCGAGGAGCGCATCGGCCGCGGCTTCAAGAAGTCGATTCCCATCACCCTCGCGGCGGGCGCGATATGGCTCCTCGTCGCCCTGGGGTACAAAGACAAAGGCCACGCCGTGGAGATCGTCACCGGCGCGGCGCGGCATAATCTCACCGAGTTCGTGGAGGTATTCCTCTTCCTCCTCGTCGCGATGGCGTTCGTGAACACGATGAAGAAGCTCAACGTCTTCGACGCCATCAGAGCGTGGCTCGTCGAATCCGGGTTCTCCTACCGCGCGTGCTTCTGGATCACCGGTCTGATCGCGTTCTGTTTATCCCCGATCGCGGATAACCTCACGACCGCGGCGCTCATGGGCGCGGTCGTGAGCTCGCTCGTCGGAGGCGGAAACGGCGGGGCGACGAAGGAGGATCGCGAGTTCGTGTCCACGTGCTGCGTCAACGTCGTCGTGGCGGCAAACGCCGGCGGCGCGTTCTCGCCGTTCGGGGACCTCACAACGCTCATGGTGTGGCAGCGCGGGAAGCTCGGGCTGATCGACTTCCCGAAACTGTTCGCGCCCGCGCTCGTGTGCTGGCTCGTGCCCGCGGCGGCGATGCACTCCAAGGTGCGGTCGGGGTCGCCGCCGAAGCTGGCCGCGTCCGCGTCCGAGCCCGGCGGCGGCGACGACGACGCGAGCGGGGAGCTCAAGCCCGGCGCGTTCGTCGTCATCGGGATCTTCGTCGGCACCGTCGTCACGACCGCGTGCTTCCACTCCTACGCGCACTTACCCCCCGTGCTCGGGATGATGACCGGGCTCGCCGTGTTGAATCTCTACGGGTGGTGGAAAGGACGCGAGGAGACGGGCGCGGGGGGTGCCGTGCCGGGTGCCGACAGAGCGCTGGACATCTTCAAGAGGCTCGAGCAGACGGAGTGGGACACGCTGATCTTCTTCTTCGGGATCATCAGCTGCGTCGGCGGGCTGGGCGCGTTCGGGTTCTTGCGCGAGATCAGGTGCGGTGTCCGTACGTTTTTCACCCACCCCGTAGGTTCAACATTTGATCGCGTCCCTTTTCAACTGACCGATGAACTTATTTTTCTGCACTGAACTTCACCCTCAGCGACCATCTCTTCGGCGCGTACGGCGCTAACGCGTCGTGCGTCTACCTCGGCGCGCTCTCCGCGGTGCTGGACAACGTGCCCATAATGTTCAGCGTGCTGTCCACGGACCCGGAGATGAGCTCCGCGCAGTGGCTGTTGCTCACGCTGACCGTCGGCGTCGGCGGGAGCTTACTCAGCGTCGGCTCCGCCGCGGGGGTCGGACTGATGGGCGCCGCGCCAGGCTACACGTTCAACTCGCATCTGCGGTGGAGCGGGGTCGTGTTCGTTGGGTACGTCGCGTCGATCGCGACGCACTTTGTCGTCAACGGCTTTTGAAGCGAGCGAGCGCGTTTCGAACGCGCGCGCGTCGCTCGGCTCGTTGACGCGAGTGATGAGGGCATTATTACGGGTAAGTTGTTTAGAAAATTGAACGAACGCTTCGAATGTTAAAAACTCATTCATCGTGTCGTCGCGTTCGCGCGCGTCGCCTCTTCCGTCTCGTCCGTCGCGCTATCCTATCCTCGGAACCCTCCTCCCGGCTGCGGCGGCGGCAGCGGCGGACTCACGACGACTTCCCGCTGCTGCTGCTGCTGCGGCGGCGGCGGCGGCGCGTTGAACCGTCCCCCGCCCGAGAGCCCCCTCAGTCGCTGGTTCTCTCTCCGCAGCCACTCGTTCTCTTCGCGGAGCGCGCGCCTGTCCGCCTTCACCTTGGACATCTCCTGAAAGTGCCGCTCGAACGCTCGGTTGTGGTGCCCACCCATGACGGTCGTGAACCCGAAGAACGCCAGACCAGCGCACACGAACGCGACGAAGTTCCGAGACACGGTCACGGTGTCCTTCGACGACGGCTTCGCGTCGCGCTTCCCTCGACCGGCGCCGCCTGCGTGGGTGAAGCGATCGGTCAGTCGAACGTCTTACCGGTCAAACGTTGAAAGGGAAGCGCGGGTGAAGAGTGACGACGGGAAAAGTCCTTAAGGAACGGCGTGCACCACGCGAACGGGGTCGTATGGGAAGCAGTCTCACCTCCGCCGCCGCCGCTTCCCCCCTTGTGCGCGGCGCCGTATCCCGCCGTCCCGCGCGACGGCGACGACGGCGCCGCGGACGACGACGCCCCGCGGCTTTGGCTTTTGCTCTTCCTCGAGGAGGAGGAGCCGTACCCCCATCGCGAGCGCTTCGCGTCTTTCGCGCTGCTCCCGCGGCTGGTCCCCGCGCCGCCGCTGGACGACGGCGCCGCGCCCGCGTCGCCTCGACGAATCTTAGGCGCGTTCCACGCGAAGCGACGTCGGGGTGGCGTTCAAAGGCGTCAGTTGGAGTCGAAAGGCGTCGAGCGCGGGGATCGAAAGCGAGGGGCCCTGGGCGGAGAGAGACGCCGGGAAAAGTCCTTAAGGATCGGCGTGCACCGCGCGAACGCGGTCGTATGGGGACCGGTGTAAGGATAACGCGCCTTATGCGGCGAGAAGACGCTCTCGCTGTTCGGGGTGTCGAGGTCGGATACGCCCGCGGGAGTGTTCCGCCAGGACACGGACCCCAACGAGCGCGACGGCGACGCCTCCGCGTCGTTCGGCGGCGGCGTTCGCGTGGAGTAGGCGGCGCCCGCGCGCGTGCCGTACCCGCGGGCGAAGTCGTCCGAGTCCCCCCGCGACGACATCTTCGACGAGCCGCTCGCGAGCGTCTATGCGCGCAAGATGCGCGCGCGAGACGCGGCCGAGACGCGCGATCGGCGGTCGCCCGGCGGCGGCGATGGGCGCGGCGCGACCTGACGCGCGTCGACGACGCGCGACGCCTCGCGGTCGGGTCTCGCGCGGTGGGAAGTGCGCGCGCGAGGCGCGGGCGTTCGAGCACCGCAGCGGCCACACAGCTGGCAGCGAAAGATACGTATTTTTTCGCGCGTGTTCACCGACCGTCGCGCTCGCGTCGCGTCCTGCGGGCGCGCGATCGGCGCGCGGCAGACGCGGGCGCGCGGCGAGCGAGCGACGATCCGCGCGCGGGGAGATCATCGAGACGCGCGAGGCGAGACGCGCGCGGCGATCGGAGGAGACGCGCCTCGGGCTCGGCTCGGCCGGCGTCGCGCGAACGACGACGACGACGACGACGACGGCGATGACGGCGCCGAAGCGGCGCGATGACGACAAGAGACGGACGCTCGCGACGCTCCTCCTCGTCCTGACGACGCTCGCGTCGCTCCCGACGCTCGCGACCGCGTTCAAGGCTGCCGACTTCAAGACGTGCGCGACGTCGTCGTTCTGCGCGCGGCACCGCGATCGCGCCTCCTCGGACCGCGGCGCCTACCGCGTCGCCGCGGGCGGGTTCGCGATCTCGGGCGACGCGGACCCGGAAAAGTTCGACGTCAACGTGGCGACCGCGGATCTCCTCCGCGACGGCGAAGACGAAGAAGAAGCCTCATCCAGCACGAGTTCTTCTTCCACCGCGCCGCTGCGACTCAGGATATCCGCGTACGATAAGGGCGTCGTCCGCGTCCGCGTGGAGGACCCGAGCGCGCCGCGGTACGAGGTCCCGGACGTGGTCCTCCCAGAGCTGGAGACGGACGGCGCGATGGGATTTTCATCCGTGGAACGCGCCGAGGACGGGTCCAGGACGACGCTGACGCTGTCGCGGATGATCATACCGATCAAGGAGACGCCGGTGGGGTCGGAGGTTAAGGTCGTGATCGAGCACGCGCCGGTGAAGATAACGACGCTCGTGGACGGCGTCGAGGCGGTCGTCTTCAACGCGAACGGCGCGTTTGAGTTTGAGCGGCGAAAAACGAAATCCGAGGAGGACGCGCCGCCGCCCGAACCTTCTCCGGAGGTGGTCGGCGACGGCGCGCCCGAAGCCACCCCGCCGCCTGAACCTGAAGTAACGTCCTACGCGGAGACGTTTAATTCACACACGGACTCGCGCCCGAACGGCCCGATGGCGCTGTCGTTCGACATCACGTTCCCGGACGCGTCGCACGCGTACGGCTTACCCGAGCGCGCGACGACCATGTCGCTGCGAGAGACGAAAGCCGCCGACGGCGCGATCGCGACCGAGCCGTACCGCTTGTACAACCTCGACGTGTTCGAGTACGAGCACGACTCCCCGTTCGGATTATACGGCTCGATTCCGATGCTGCTCGGGCACTCCGTGGGCGCGAGCGAGGGCGACGGCGGGGGCGGCGGCGGGTGGGGGGGGCTCGGCGGCGGCGGCGGAGGAAAGAAGCGGAAAGAGAGCCGGCCGCCGCGCGTCCACGGGGTGTACTTCAACAACCCCACGGAGCTGTACGTGGACGTCACGAAAGGCGGCAGCTCAGGTGGCATCTCTTCGCACTGGATGGCCGAGAGCGGCGCGTTCGATCTGTTCATCTTCCCCGGCCCGTCGCCCCGGGAGACGATGCGGCAGTACTCGATGATCACCGGCGGCACGGCGATGCCGCCCGCGTTCGCGCTGGGATACCACCAGTGCCGGTGGAACTACAGGGACGAGGCGGACGTCGCCGCGGTCGACGCCGGGTTCGACGAGCACGACATCCCGTACGACGTGTTGTGGCTCGACATCGAGCACACGGACGGGAAGCGGTACATGACGTGGGACGGCGCGACGTTTCCGACGCCGAGGCGGATGATCGAAGACGTCGCGAGCCGCGGTCGGAAGATGGTCACGATCGTGGACCCGCACGTCAAGAAGGATGCGAACTACCCCGTATACAAAGAGGCCGAGAGTAAAGGCTTATTCGTGAAGCAGAAGGACGGCGTCGGCGACTTCGACGGGTGGTGCTGGCCCGGGAGCAGCGCGTATCTGGACGTGACGTCGCCCGCGGTGAGGGCGTGGTGGGCGGATAAGTTTTCGCTGAAAAATTACCAAGGCAGCACGAAAGACCTGTACATATGGAACGACATGAACGAGCCGTCCGTGTTCAACGGCCCGGAGATCACGATGCAGAAGGACTTGATTCACCACGGGAACGTGGAGCACCGGGAGGTGCACAACGCGTTCGGGATGTACTATCACGCGGCGACGGCGGCTGGAATCGAAAAGAGAAACGACGGCGAACGGCCGTTCGTGCTGTCGCGCGCCTTCTTCGCGGGGACGCAACGCGTCGGGCCGATATGGACCGGCGACAACGCCGCGGATTGGAACCACTTGCGGGTGTCGCTGCCCATGGTGCTCACCCTGGGCGCGACCGGTCTCGCCTTCTCCGGCGCCGACGTCGGAGGTTTCTTCGGCAACCCCGACGGGGAGCTCATGACGCGGTGGTACCAGACCGGGATTTACTACCCGTTCTTCCGCGGGCACGCGCATCTGGACACGAAACGTCGCGAGCCATGGCTGTTCGGGGAGCCGTACACCGCGCTGATTCGCGCGGCGATTCGCCGGCGGTACCAGCTCATGCCGTATCTGTACACGTTGTTCGAAGAGGCGCACCGCGACGGCGCTCCCGTGATGCGACCGCTGTGGTACGAGTTTCCGAACGATCCGCACGCGGCGGCGAAAGAGGACGCGTTCATGCTCGGCCCCGCGCTGCTCGTTCACCCGGTCACGACGCAGGGCGCGAGCTCCGTGGAGGTGTATTTACCCGCGGGGGTGTGGTACGATTACGACACGAACGAGATGCACGCGGGACCGAAGACGTTTTCAGTCGCGGTGACGCTCGCAGACACGCCCACGTTCGTGCGCGGGGGGCACGTCATCGTCCGCAAGGATCGCGCGCGTCGAAGCACGCGCGCGATGACGCATGACCCGTTCACGATCGTCGTCGCCCCGGACGAGAGCGGGAAGTACGCGTACGGGGAGGTGTACCTCGACGACGGAAAAAGTTACGCGTTTGAAGAAAAAGACGCGTTTTCGCGCAGGCAGATCATCTTCGAGGACGGCGACTCGCTCGTGTGCGCCGCGAAGTGGCGCGGCGGGTCGTGGGGGTGGACCACGCACGACGCGGAGCAGAAACATCTCGAGGGCGACCCGCTCGCGTTCCCGGAGATCGCCGCGGAGGTGGAGAGGGTCATCGTGCTGGGTCCGCGGCGATTCGGCGAAGACGCAGAGGTGAGGAATAAACGGAAGGAGATTCACCTCGTGAGCGCGAGCGGGAAGGAAGGGTCGCCCGCGGCGGCGACCGCGGTCAAGAAGCCCGGGGTCGTTCTCGCGCAGGACTGGAGCATCCTCTTCAGCGTCGCGGACTGACGCGACGGACGGACGGATCGACGAAAGCGAACGCGGACGCGAGCCCGCGACGACGACGTAGTCCGGTCAATGTATTCGACGCGCGAACCGCCTCACCCTCATACACCGTCCCGCGCGCGCGACGATCGATTCGATCTGAGCTCTATCATACTGTATCACACGCAACGCGCAGCCCTACCTAAGATGCGGCCATCTCCGCGACGACGTCCGGGACGACGAACGACAGCGCCCCGCACGCCGCCGCCCCCCGCCAGCGACTTCGCATCGCGAGCCACCCCGTCGCCACCCGCAGCGCCGGCGCGCCGAGTCGTCGCGCGACCTCACTCGCGACCGACCACCCGAGCTCCGGGTCCCACGCGCAAGCGCCGAGGTTCGCGAGGAGCCACTTGAGCGTCGGGTAGTGCGTGGAGCGCAGACCCCAGGTGATCATCCACGCGCCGATCGCGAGGCCGAGGAGCGTGCATCGCCGCCAAAACGTTTCGGGTTCTTCGCCCTCGCCCTTCTCGCCCTGCTCCTCGTCCGACGTCGCGGAGGAGGACGCCGCGGAAATCGTCGTCGTCGTCGTCGTCGTCGTCTTCGTCTTCGTCTTCTTCTCCCTCGCGTTCGCCTCCGCCGCCGTCGTCGCGAAGTCGTCCGGGACGTCGCCGCGCGTCTCGTCTTCCTCCTCCCTCGGTCGCAGCCAGGGAACCCCGCCCCGGTTCTTCTCGATGCCTGCCCAGAACGTCTCGCTGAACTTCCGCCGCGCGTCCGCCATCGTCGGCTCGCCGGCGCCGTCGTTCGCGCCGCCGCCGCTCGCGTTCGTCGGCTTAATAGACGCGTCCTCGGCGTCGTCGTCGCCGCCGCCGCCGCGCGTCTCGGCGTCGTTCTTCGCGGCCGCGCGAAGGCTGATCGCGTCGCGACGGATCGCCTCCTTCTCCCTTCCGCGTCGATCTCGCGGGCGGGCGCCGCGCGGGCGAGGGGGCCGCGAGGCGGCGCGCGAGCGCGTCCGCGGCGACGGCCTCGATGCGGCCGACGCGGAAGCGGCGGTCGAAGCGCGGAGGACGTGCATGGCGCGCGCGCGTCGACTCAGCGGTGACGACGAGTGCTCTGATAATGACAAGCGGAAAAATCACGGCGCGCCTTCCGGTGCCGACCCGGGCGCGAGGCGGTCAAAAGCGCCCGCACGGAGCCGCGCGCGCGCGAGGTCGCGCCCGATATTCGCGCGGGCGTCGCGTCCGTCGCGTCCGTCGCCTCCTCCTCCTCCTCCTCCTCCTCCTCCGTCGCGTCGTCCGGTCGCGCGCGCCGCGAGCCCACCCCCGCGAGCGAGATCCAGGTGCCAGATCCCAATAACGCGGGGGCGCGTCTTCCGTCATGTCAACATCCGACGTCCCCGCCGACGACGGCTCGAACGCCGCGCCCTCCCCGGAACAGCCGACCTGCGCGGTCTGCCTCGAGCAGCTCGACCCCCCGTCGCGCGGCGCGGACGGCGAGCGCGCCGCGATGCCGTGCTGCGACCGCGACGGCGCGACGATGGCGTTCTGCGTGGGATGCGTAGACATCATCTGTTCGCAAGGCCCAGGCGGCGTCGGCCGGTGCCCCAAGTGCCGAGCGCTCGTTCGCCGCTCGAACGACGGCGCGCGCGGGGTGTTCGTGGGCGCCGAGCTTCACGGCACGTGCAGGATGTGCCTGCAGTCGCGGACGATCGTGGACGTCGAGAGGAACGTGTGTGACGCGTGCGAGCTCGGCGCCAGGCACGCGTTGTGGTACGAGTGCCGAGCGTGCGCGGTGCGTCCGCCGCGACTGTCCACCGCCGCGCGTTCCTCCACGTCATCACCACCCGACCGCTCACGGACCTCCACGTCACCTCATCGCATCCTACCATATCCAATCATCACAGGCCACGCAGCGCATCCCGCATCCGATGTGGCGTTACCAGCCCTCCGCGGCGACCTTCGGGAACGTCACCTGGGCGTGCCAGCGATGCGGCGACTACACGAATTGGAGAGTCCACCCGGACGACGCGGACGGCGTTCCGCTGGGGGACGCGCCGGAGAGCTGGGGCGTCCGCGAGCGCTGGCTCGAGGACGTGCGGCGGACGCGGAACGAAGGAAGAGGGCGACGCGAGGAGGACGCGGGGGGGTTCGTTGACGGCGCGCACGGATACGGGGGCTGGAACGTGCGAATGCGACGCGCGAACGGGGGAGCGCAGTTTCGGTTTCAGTTAAACTGCGCGATTTCGTGATGATCAGACGATAGATATGATATCGCGCGGGGGCGCGCGCGCAGTGCGTGTGGTAGTTGAGAGGGGCGGGGGGCTTCGGGGCTGGAAGACGACGCGGACGAACGAGAGCACGCGACGCGAAAGCGACGAAAGAGAAGCGCGAGGATAGCACTTATGCGATAGAGTTAACGCATCGCATCATATAACAAACGCTCGCGAGCTAAGATCGCGGTTTTCGTTCGCACGCGCGACGCGCCCCACACCCCCGCCGTCGTCGTCGATCCTCGACGACGACCCCCGTTCCCTCGATCGAAAAAAATCGATCGATCCGTCGTCGACTTAGATGGAGGACGGGTAGAGCATGCAGCGAATCTTCCCGCCCATGGACGACGGCGGGAGGTTCTTCTTGAACTTCGCGCGGACGACGCCAGACGTGCCGTGCGCCCTGGTCACCTTACCCCACGACGTCCGGTACGTCGTCCCCTTCTTCTTCGTCTTCGCCTTGTACACGTAGCACAGCTTCTTGCCGAGGTAAAACGACGCGTCCGGGGACGTGTTGACGTTTTCGAGCTTGATGAGGCTCGTGTGGTTCGTCTGGTTCGTCCTCGCGCGCTTGTACCCGAGGATGATACCGCGCACGTAGAGGCTGTAGAGGTTGCGGAGGATTGAGAGGGAGGGAGAGAGGGGGGATGTCGGGCGTCAGACGGAGGATCGCGAAGACTGGCCCGGATGCGAGGGAAAAACCGAACCGCCGAGCGAGGAAAACCCCGCGTCCGGTCGGGATCGACGGCGGGTTCGACGCGTCGCGTCGCGTCGCGTCGCGTGGAACCCGCCGATGCGACGCGCGATGCCAAGCGTGGCGTCGCGCGGGGCGTCGGCGGCGGCGTCGCGTCGCGACGCGGTCCACGCCGCGTGGAACCCGCCGTCGATGTCGGCCGGCGGAAAGAAAACCCTAGAAAAAAGTCGCGCGGCATCGCGCGCCGCGGAAACGCGCCGGGACGGCGCGCGCGCGACGCGCGAACGCGATGAGGAGGGCGCGGGCGCGCACCGGCAAGATTCGCCCTTCGGCATGGTTCTAGATGTCGCTGTGTGTGTCGCGAGCGCGTCACAAAGAGACAGAGCGGGAGCGCGATGCCGGTCGTTTTCTCTCTCCTTTTCTCTGAGACCGGATTGGCGCGAAAAGCGCGTTCCAGTGAGAAACACAGCCCGACAGGCCACGACCCCCCCCCCCCCCCTCTCCCCCGCCCCCCCAGTCCTCCACGCCGCGACGGTCCATGGCCGACCCCGGCGGCGTCATCAACCCCAACAGCGTCCAGCTCTGCAAGTTAGTCGGGTGGGCGTTCATCAAGAACCGACAAGCGCGCGCGGACCGCGAGTGGTGGCGCCACACGTACGGAGGCGAGCCGTGGCGCGGTACACCGTATCGACGGCCGGAGGCGGAAGAGAAGCGCGCGCCGAGAGAAGCGACGACCGCGACGACGACGACGACGACGACGACGCGCGAAGACGACGAAGACGACGTCATGGACGACGCGGAGATCTACCTCGAGACGCTGGGCATCCCGCGCGGCCTCCCCACCCTGCGCGTCGTCTACGAGAAGCGAACGCTGGGCGAGCGCGAGGGGAATACGCCGCGTCCGATAGCCCCGGGCGAGCGGTTCTCGTCGCGTCACGACGCGTTCCTCCAGGCCGCGCCCGTGGTGTCCTGGCGCGACCTCGACGCGGCGGTCGACGGCGAAGAGAGAAGGCCGCGGCCGCGGCCGCGGCCGCACGTCGTCGTCATGGTCGACCCGGACGCGCCCGCGCCGAGGACGGCGGGGCGCCGACACCTTCCGGGCGCGGCGGGGCCGTGGCTCCACGCGCTGTGGAAAGACTGCGATGGCGACACGAGCGCGGCGGCCACGGCCCCGGGCGAGGCGCGTCCGCGCGCGCGCCGGTTCCCGTCGAGGACTTTCTTTCTTTCCCCTCCCGCGCGCGTCACTCTTCTCTCCGCCCGTCGACCCTCGGTTTCGACGCTCGGTTTCGACGCCTTCGACCCTCGACCCTCGACACTCATCAGGGCGAGGACGCGCACGAGGAGGACCTGTCGCGCGTCCCCGGGTTGCTCGTGCCGTACAACGGCCCGTCGCCGCCGAGCGGGCATCATCGGTACGTGTTCGTGTTGTTCGAGCAGACGGACGACGCGGAGGTTCGCGCGGATGGGCGCGGCGTCGAAGAGCCCGCGGCGTTTGAGAGGAAGCGTTGGGACTTTAAGAAGTTCCTGGAGCAGAACCCGGGGCTGAGGCCGAGGGCGGTGAACTACTTCGTGTGCTCCAGGGAGCGGCACTGAAGACGGCGAGAGACGAGAGAGAAGGAGCGAAGGAAGAGGAGGAGGAGGAGGAGGAGGAGGAGGAGGAGGAGGAGGAGGAGGAGGACGACGACGCGGGGACCGAATTTTCGCCGAGCGAATACCAAACGGAACGAACACCAAACGAAGTTTCCCGCGCCCGTCCGTCGTCAGTACGTCCCCCTGTACGCGTTCCAGCCTATCCTCGCCTGCGTCACGAGCGGCATCGTCCCTCGTATCAACCCAGGGTCGAACACGTCGAAGTCCCTCTTCTCCAGCGCGTCCAGATACGCCCCCGTGCCCACCGCGGGAAGCAACACCGCCGCCGCCGTCGCCGCGTCTTCCCTATACGAGCGAACGTCGGGGTGGCGTTCAAAGGCGTCAGAAGCGGAGTTGAAAGGCGTCGCGGTGTGTCGGGATTGAAAGCGATGGACCCTGGGCGGAGAGAAACGCGCGCCGGGAAAGAAAGTCCTTAAGGATCGGCGTTCACCGCGCGAACGCGGTCGTATGGGGACCGGCGTGAGATAGAAAGAACGCGCCTCGAACACTTCGCCGCGATCCGCTCGCGCATCCCTCGCGCGGTGTTCAGATGCGCCATCGCCGCGGACGCCACCTCGTGCACCGCGTTCCTCAGCGCCTCCGTGCTGTTCCCGCGGTACACGTCCTCGGTGCTGACGCCGTGCTTCGCGCAGAGGTCGACCGGGATGTAACTCCGGGTCGTTCCATACAAGCGAACGTCGGGGTGGAGTTGAAAGGCGTCAGATGGAGTTGAAAGGCGTCAGATGGAGTTGAAAGGCGTCGAGGGCGGGGATTGAAAGCGAGGGGTGGGCGGAGAGACACGCCGGGCAAAAGTCCTTAAGGATCGGCGTTCACCACGCGAACGGGGTCGTATGGGGACCAGTGTATAGAACGCACCTCCGTCTCTGCTTCGAGTGCGCGTGCGTCCCGCGCAGTAAATTCGCGACGCCGATCGCCTTCCCCAAGTGCGCGCACGCGTGGTCCGTCTCCGCGTCGCGAACGCCCCCCGCGAGGTCCATGATGGCGTACAACAAGCTGCCGTTCGTGTCGTGCGCGTACGCTTCCAGGTACGCGATCCCGAGTGGGGGCGCGCCGTCGGACGCCGCGTCCTCGAGGGTCGTTCCATACGAGCGAACGTCGGGGTGGAGTTGAAAGGCGTCAGAAGCGGAGTTGAAAGGCGTCGATGGCGGGGATTGAAAGCGAGGTGTGGGCGGAGAGAGACGAATGCAAAAGTCCTTAAGGAACGGCGTTCACCACGCGAACGCGGTCGTATGGGAACCAGTGTATAGAACGCACCTTCATTCGCGCGTCGACGATCGAATTCAGCCATCGCTTCGCGCGCGCGCCGCCCGCGGGGAGGACGCGCGACAGCGCGACCGCGACCGGGTGCCGGTGTTTGCTCGCGTCCCCCGCGTGGATCGCGGGGAGGGCGTCGCGCCAGAACTGCAGGCGCATCGACGCGAGGTGCGGCTCCGAGGCGGCGCCGAGCGCGTTCGCGGTCTCGACGTTGAAGGCGCGAAGCGCGAGCGCGACGTGCCTCGCGCGCGTCGGGAGCGCGAGCGTGCAGAGGTAGTTTTCGTAGTCGTGCGCGCGGACGAGGTCGAGGCAGTACTTGAACGCCGCGCGGTCGTCCAGCGGCGGCGCGGAGGAGGAGGATGAGGAGGAGGAGGAGGAGGATGAGGAGGAGGATGAGGAGGAGGAGGAGGAGGATGAGGATGAGGATGAGGAGGATGAGGACGAGAAGTCGGCACGAGACGACGACGCGCGAGATCCGCTCGCGATCGATCGTCGCGCGGACGCCCGCGCGTCCGCCGCCGCGGTCGTCGTCGTCGCCGTCGTCGCCGTCGTCGTCGTCGTCGTCCACGGACGCGTCGCCTCGCGCGCGAGCGCGCGGCGGCATCGCGAGCTCGCGGCGCGGATCATGACGTACCTCCCGGCGCGCGCGCGGGGCCAACTGATGACATTTGCGAGCCACCGCCAGGCTCAGCTGAGTGCTCCGTCGTCTCCCGAACAGAAAGTCCGAAACAAACGCCCCTAAATAACGCTAACGCGCGAGATCCCTTCCGGCCGCCGCGCACTCGAGACCGCGCTTCGACGCGCCTCGCGCCTTCACCCGCCGCGATGCCGTCCCCCGATGGGGTGGACCACACCGAGGTCATCGTCCACGCGCGCGACGCCGCGGACGCGAAAGCGCACGCGTCGTCCCGGGCTGGAGTCGTCGTCGTCGCGAAAGATTTGACCTACGACGTCGCGTCGTTCAAGGACAAGGGCGTCAAGGCGAGGCTCCTGTCTGACGTCAACGGTTTATTCAACCCCGGGGAGATGACCGCGTTGTTGGGCCCGTCCGGGAGCGGGAAGACGACGTTCCTGGACGTCCTCGCGGGGCGGAAGACCGTCGGGGAGACGACCGGGGAGGTGCTCTTCGGAGGGAAGGCGCCGTCGGTAAAATTCCTTCGACGGCACACGGGGTACGTGGAGCAGTTCGACACGCTCATCGCGGCTTTGACCGTGCGAGAGATGCTCTGCTACACCGCGGAACTGAAACGCCCGATGAACGAGCCGTTAGCATCCAAAGAAACGGCCGTGGACAAGCTGTTACGCGACCTCGGTCTATGGGACGCGCGCGACGTCGTCGTCGGGAGCCAGATGGTCAAGGGGATATCCGGCGGCCAGGCGAAGCGAACGAACATCGCGATCGCGCTCATCACGGACCCTTCCGTCTTATTCCTGGACGAACCCACGAGCGGGTTGGACAGCTTCACCGCGAACGAGGTCATGTCCGTGGTGAAGTCGCTGGTGACGGACGAAGTCACGATACTCGCGACGATTCACTCGCCGACGGCGTACGCGTTTTCGCTCTTCGACAACGCGATGATCCTCTGCGGCGGCAGACAGGTACGTTCTGATTCACACTGGTCCCCATACGACCCCGTTCGCGTGGTGAACGCCGTTCCTTGAGGACTTTTCCCGGCGTATCTCTCCGCCCACTCCTCGCGACTCGTGACATGATGATAAAAATGACCGATACGACGCGTTATTTATCACGTGTACGCGTACTCACCACCGCCGTCCGTCGCAGGTGTACTTTGGACCGACGGGGAAAGGGTTGGTGCAATACGCCGCGACGTCGCTGCCGGGCGTGACCCCGAAAGAGAAAGACTCCGGGCACAGCGACATCGAGTGGCTCATCGACGTCTTCACGGAGGCGGACCGCCGAGGCGACGCCGTCGCGTTCGCGGACGTGTACGAGACGTCGTCGCTGAAGAAGGCGTGCGACGCGTCCACGCGCGCCGCCGTCGCCGCCGAGAAGACGCGCCGGCGGCGGCGCGGCAGCGAGGAGAGCCTCGCGGACGGCGTCACGACGCAAAGCCTCGCGGACACGAAGCTGAACACGACATCGTCCACGGTAACGCCGGGGTGGTGGGCGTTTTACGTCATGCTGAAATACCGAACGAGGAAAAACTACCGAGACCCGGAGTACCTCGGCCCGCGGCTCGGAGACAAAATCTTCCTCTCGTTCATCATCACGACGCTCTACCTCGGCAGAGGCAACGACTTCGGCGCGGACAACGTGATCAACATATCCTCCGCGCTGTTCATGTGGAGCACGCTCCCCGCGTTCGGCGCCGCGGCGTACATCCCGCAGATAGTGTTGGAGAGGTCGCTGTACATGCGCGAGCGCGCGGACGGTCTGTACAACCCGCTGACGTACGTCGTCGCGAAAATTTGCGACGAGATGCTCCTCCTCGTCTTCGTGACACTTTGTATCGCGGTCGTCGTCTTCTTCGCCGTCGACCTCGCCGGGTCGTTCTGGCTGTTCTGGCTGACGTATTACATCACGCTCGGGAACGGCATCGTCCTCGCGTACCTCGTCGCGGCGGCGGCGCCGAACATGGAAGCCGCGAACGCCATCCTCCCAACCTACGTCGTCACGCTCCTCTTTTTCGCGGGGTTTTTGATCACGCCCGAGGACACGCCGTCGTACTGGAAGTGGTACTCGTACGTCGACCTCATGAAGTACGCGTGGGGGGCGCTGATGATCAATCAGTGGGACGGGAACGACCCGGTGTTGTTCGCCGGCGGGGAGACGCTGCTCGAGACGTACGAGCTCGACGACGTGAACAAGTGGGGGTACGTCGGGTATCTATTGCTCTTCTTTTGCGCGTTTTTCGTCCTCGCGTTTTTAGCGCTCAAGCACATCAACCACAGCAAGCGTTAATATACAGTATGATTAAGTTAGCGATTTGTCTCTTATTATCATATGTACACGCGTCCACCGTGGCACCGTCTTCCTCTCCTCCAAACGCGCATCGCATTCGCATCGCCCTCCAGTCCTCCTCCGTCCGTCCGACCGTCGCGTCGCGTCACATGCCCTCGTCCGCGTCCAAGGATTGCAACACGTCACGAATCGCCGTGACGTCCGCGTGATTCGGTCCCAGCGCCTTCTGCTGCAGCACCAGCGCGCGCTCCAGCAGAGGCCGCCCGACGCCGTTGTGCCCCTGGTCGAGGTGGCAGATCGCGAGGTCCGTCAACGTCTGCACCGTGTCCTGGTGGTCCTTCCCGAGCGCCTTCTCTTGGATCCTCAGCGCTCGTTCGTACAACGGCTGCGCCTCCGCGAATCGCTCCTCCTCGCTGTGCAACGCCGCGAGGTCCGTGAGCGCGACGGCGACGTCCGGGTGCGTCTTGCCAACCTCCTTCTCGCGCGCGGCGATCTCAGCCTTGAGCTCGCGCGCGTTCGGCGCGCCGTGCGAAGCCGCGGGCGCGGGGCGCGTGGGCGTCGTCGCCTTGGGCGGCGGCGCCGGTTTCCTCGCCGCCGCCGCCGGTTTCTTCGCCGCCGCCGCCGGCGCGGGCGCGGCGCCGCCGAGCCCTTCGTCGATGATCTCCCGGATCGCCGGTTTCAAGTTCCTCGGGAGGAACTTCTCCACGGCGCGTCCCGCGATCGCGCAGCACTCCAGCGTGACCTTCACCGCCGCGGACCGCACGTCCCCGTTGGGGCTCTCAAACGCCTTCGCCGTGAACTCCATCACCGACTCGAGCGATAAGCCTTGGTTCGAATCCTTCGCGAGGCCGTGCCGCGGGATCAGCGCGTGCATGATCGTGAGCCTCCCGAGGACGACCCTCCACACGCTCTGCGACCTTACAGGCTTCGTCAGCGGCTTCGCGACGAGCGACATCTCGCTCCCGGCGAGGTCCATCACGGAAGCGTGCGCCGCGTCTCTCACCTTGACGTGGGTGAACGCGTGGGTCAGTCGAACGTCTTACCGGTCAAACGTACGTTGAAAGGGAAGCGCGGGTGAAGAGTGACGACGGGAAAAGTCCTCAAGGAACGGCGTTCACCACGCGAACGGGGTCGTACGGGGAGCAGTCTCACCTTGACGTGCGCGTCCCCGAGTCTCTCGAGGAGGAGCACGACGAGCGGCGAGACTTCGCTGTGAACCTCCCTCGGGCCTAAGCTCGGGCCCATCTTCCGCGTCGCGGAGGTGAGCAGCTTGCACGTCGCCGCGAACACGTTCGCGACTTTGTCTTTGAACAGCCGCCCGAAATGTTGGCACAAGACGCGGAAAATCTCCCTCTGGTCTCCCTTGACGTCGCCGCTCGAAACCTTCTTCTCCATGTCCGCGAGCGCGGCTTCGCGGTGCATCCAGTTCTTGCTGTACAGGCACATCGCGCAGTACTCCCCGAACGCCTCCACGATCGGCCGCGCGTCGCCCTCCATCGACGGCGGGATCGGATCCGGCGCGGGAAGGTCGTCGCCGCCGCCGAACCCCGGCGGCTTGGGCGGCGCGTCCGCGTTGCCGCCGCCTCCTCCTCCTCCTCCTCCGCCCATCATCTCGTCCTCGCTGAACTGGTTCCCACCGCGCCCCGTCGCGAGCGCGGGGACCTCGTCGTTGTTCGCCCCGAGCGCGGACGGGTCGTTATCCCGGAACCGCGTCGGCGTCGGAAGCCCGCCGTCGCCTTGCATCTGCGCCGCCGCCGCTTTGCTCACCGCCGGTCGTTCGTCGTAGTCGCGCCCGCCGTAGGTGTTCGACGCCGCGGGGGGGACGTCGTCCGGGCCCGCCGTCGCCCTGAGCTGCTTCAGCTGCGCGGGGGACAGACCCCCGGCGTCGTAGTAGTCGTTCTGCGGCGGCCCCGGGGGACCCGGATCCGGCATCGGCGCGCTCGTCTGCGTCGGGTCTTCGTACCGGTCGTCGTCTTCGTACGCGTCCGCGGCGGCGTCCGGGCCGTGGTCGGTGAATTCCATCACCGGCGCGGGCTGCTGCGGCTGCTTCGGCGGGGACATCGGGTTCGCGCCGTGCGCGTCGAGCGCGCGGTTGAAGATCTGATCGGCCGGCTCATTCTCGCGTTCGCGGTACGATCCCCGCACGCCGACGCTCTCTCCCAGCGCGGTGACGCCTCCGGCTTCGCGAAGCTTATCGATCTCAACCTTGATGAGCTTCGCCGCGTCGTAGTCCTCCGCCTCGATCGCGCTGGACTTCTTCGCTTCCAGCTGCGCAACCTTCGCGCCGACGGCTTTCAGGCGGTTGATGCCGTCCTTCAGTCGCTTCGCCTCGTCGTAATCCTCGCGAGCCACCGCGGCTTCTTTGAGCGCGTAGATCTCGCGGATCTTCATCGCCGTCACCGGGTCCACGTCCAAGTCCAGCGCGACGTCCGCGAGGCCGGCGTGCCGCGGCCGCCCGTGCGGGTCCGCCTGCTGCGCCATGTACCCGGCGCCGCCGCCGTCCGGGGTTATCGGCTCGCCGATGACGTTCAGCGCGACCACGCCGACCTGGTTGTAGATGTTGAGCTTGTTCACGTGGCACTGTAGGCGGCACGTTCCGTACGAGCGATGATTTCGGGGTGGAGTTGAAAGGCGTCAGAAGCGGAGTTGAAAGGCGTCGAGGTGTGTGCGTCGGGATTGAAAGCAGCGAGGGGTGATGGGCGCAGAGACACGCCGGGAAGTAAAGTCCTTAAGGATCGGCGTTCACCACGCCGACGCGGTCGTACGGGGACCGGTGTGAGATAGAACGCACCTTGTGAATGACGAGGCGCAGCACCGCGGCGTCGACGTTCACGTGCACCGACTTGAGCTCGCGGGCTTGATGCCCGCTGGATAGGTTCGAGTCGAAGGACAGGTGCCCGAGGCGGCGCATCACCGCGCGGTCCAGGGAGCTCTCCCCCGGTGGGAGGAGGCCGGTGTAGAGCTCCACTTTTGTGGCGATCTTATACTCGTGCGAGAGGATCTGAATCTGATGGATGCGCGCGGGGTGGTCCAGGCGCAGGACGAGCTCCTGGGGGAACTTGGAGAAGCGCGCGCACTGCCATCCGCGCGTCTGCGGGGTGTGGAAGTGGAGCTCGCGCGCGGGGTAGTCCTCGTCCTGTGGAGAGGAAGACGGGGGAGAGGGAAGGACGGGACGATGAGTGGGCGCCCCGAGCAGAAAGACGAGAAGGAAGAAGAAATAAATAATTTGAAATCGTCCGTCGTCTCGGACGGACGGCGGGACGCGTCCGCGCGCGTACCTCGCCGGAGACGTGCGCGACGGTGAAGCGGAGCTTGCTCCCCGCTAAGTGCGGACGTGCCATGGTGCTTGCGACGCGTGTGCGTCGCGCGTTGCGTTCACGGTCTGACCGACGCGCCGCTCGTGTGTGGTCAACGAACACACACCACCGTTCAAAAAAAGTGGGTCAAACGGCCAGGTTATGGGTCACACGGAGATCGCGCGTGGGGGTAAAAAAAATAGTCGGAAAGGGCCTGGTTTGATAGGGTCCGATAGGGTCCGATGGTCTATCGGACCCTTTCAAATTTGGCCCGTTCCGGCTCGCAGAACGGAAGCGCGCGGCCGCGTCGAGGAGCTGTCGCACTCATCCATCATCATCGTTCGTCGTCGTCAATCTTCGACCGCACCGCGACGACCGACGAACGCGATGGCGATGCTTCTCTCGACGTTCTCCCGCCCATCATCCGGCCGCGCGCGCGTCTTCGTCGCGCTTCTCGTCGCTCTCCTCCTTCTCGGCGTGAACGGCGCGGACGCGAAGAAGAAGAAGAAGGGACCGAAGATCACGCACACGGTGTTCTTCGACGTCGCCATCGCGGGCGAGCCCGCGGGTCGGATCGAGATGGGGCTGTACGGGAAGACGACGCCGAAGACGGCGGAGAACTTCCGCGCGCTCGCGACGGGGGAGAAAGGATTCGGGTTCAAAGGGTCCTCGTTCCATCGCGTCATCAAAGGTGCGCGCGCGCGCGCGTCGTCGTCGTCGTCGTCGTCGTCGTCGTCTTCGCGGCTCGATCGACCGATCGACAAATCGAACGAACGCCGATCGTCGTGGTGATGACATCTTCTGATCGTCGTCCGCGGCCTCCCTGCTCTTCCTCCTCCTCCTCCTCCTCCTCGCAGACTTCATGATCCAAGGCGGCGACTTCACGAACGGCGACGGCACCGGCGGGAAGAGCATCTACGGCGAGACGTTCCCGGACGAAAACTTCAAGCTCAAGCACACGGGACCGGGCACGCTCTCCATGGCAAAGTGCGTCTTCGTTTCGCGGAGTTTCGCTTCCGTTTCGCGTCGTTCCCTCGTCTTCCGCCCCGTCGCCACTCCTCGACCCGCGTCGTCCGTCCGTCCGTCCGTCCGTCCAACCCGACCCAACCCGCGCGAGAGAGGGAAGGGAAGGGAAGTCGAGTCGAGTCGTCGATGATGCTCGACCGCGTTCCAAGGTCCTGAACGGAGGACAATGGTCAACGGTGAAACAGATGTTCAATGCATTCAGGGTCCCTCGCGCGTTTCGACGCTTCGGAGGACCCGCCTGTGCAATCGCTTTGAAACACCTGAGACGACTCGACGCTTCATCTCCTCGTCCCCTCACCCGCACGCACGCATCAAAGTCTAACCCTAACCCTAACCCTAACACTGACGCTCTTCGAACGATGCCACCCCCGACGCACCCCACCGAACGCGACAGCGCTGGCCCCGACACGAACGGCTCGCAGTTTTTCATCTGCACGGTGAAAACCTCGTGGCTCGACGGCCGACACGTCGTGTTCGGCAAAGTCACGAACGGGATGGACGTCGTGAAGGCGATCGAAGCACTGGACGGGACGCCGCCGAAGCAAGAAGTCACGATCGTGGACGCCGGGGAGATCCCGATGGACGAGCCGAAGCAGGAGGAGATCGACGCGTGAGCGAGCGGCGCGAAGGCGAAGGCGACTTTGGCGACTTTTGTTCGGCGACTTTTTTTTTTTTTCGCGCGCGCTTCGATCGACGTTGATACGACGACGAACGAGACGTTCGATTCTTCTACGTTTAGTTTCTGTTTCTTCTTCTACGCGTCCACCTCGCCGCCCTCAGCAGCCTCCGGACTCGGACTCGGACTCGGACTCTCGCCCTTGCCGCCTCTGAAGAGCCCGCCGAACATCCGCCCTAAATTCCACGCGCCGCGACCCGGCGCGGTCTCCGCCGGCGTCGCCGGCGTCGCCGGCGGCGTCGCCGACATCGCCTTCGCGTGCTCCTCCTTCTTACTCCGCGCCCTCGGCGCCGCCGGCGGGGTTTCCTCGGTGGGCGCGTCGATCGACGTTTTATCTTCCGCCGCCGCCGCCGCCGCCGGGGGCTTCGGCGGGGAAGACTTCAACGAAGACGACGACGAGCTCGTCGACCCGGCGCTCATCCCGACAGCTCGTCTCACCTGCGCCCACATCGCGCCGAGTCCGCCGCCGCCGCCCGTCCTCTCGCCGTCGCTCCCATCTCCGCCCCCCACGTCGAACTCGCCCCTCCTCCCCAACCGCTTCGCGTCCGCCTCCGATAACATGGCCACCGCGTCGGCGTAGACGTCGTACCCTCCCGGGCCGTACACCCTGACCTCCTCCGCGAAGAGATCCTCCCAGCGTTCGGACGCGACTTTCTCTCTCTCCGCCGCCGCGACGACGGCGTTCATCGCGGACATGTACACCATGGGGATGTGGTCCGTCATCATCCGCGTCGAGAGCGGGATCTCCGTGAACGCCGTGGGATGCCGCTCCTCCGCGGTGGGGCCGTCGTCTGATGAGAGCCGTTCCGTGCGAAAAGAGTTCGTCGGTCAGTCGAAAGGAGACGCGATCGATCACGTGTCGTTTGTTGAAACCGATGGACGGGCGAAATGAAATAAATTCGTGTGTACAGAACAGAACGCACCCGAGCTGAGGTGACGCAGGTGGATGACGCGCCCCGGTTGGACGAGGAAGTCGCCCGCGCCGTGGTCTCTGAGCTCGAGCCCGGTGACGCCCTCGAGGTCGTCCCAGTGCGCCTGGCAGCGGTCCAGCCCCGACGCCGCCGTCGCGGACGTCGCCGCTTTGACCGCGGCGACTTGCCGCGCTCTCTGCTTGCGCTTCTCTTCGCGCTCGCGCTCCGACGGCGCGCGCGGCTGCGCCTTCGCGAGCGTCGCCGCCGCCGCCGCGCCGTCGCCGTCGGGCGGTTTCGGCGGCGGCGCGTTTGAAGCCGATCGGTCCGTCTCGTCCGGGGCAAGATCCGATTCCGATTCATCCGCGTCGCGCGGCTCCGGCTCGGGGATCTTCGGCTTATCCGACGCCGTCGGCGCGTGGAAGTCGTGCAGCGCGCTCATCCGTCCGGTAATCTCCGCCTCGTCCTCTTCGTACGCTCTCGCGTCCTCCTCCGCGACGTAGAGCGGCGACTCGTCTCCGTCTCCGTCCCCGCCCCCGCCGCGTCGACCGATCCCTTGCGATCCCCCCTTATCCCGCCCCCCCAACGCGTTACTGATCGCGCGCATCATCGGCTGCGACGGCGCGGCGCTGTTTAACCGCCGTAACAGCCGCCGCACGCTGCCGTAGCACAAGCGTGGGATGACGTCCTTACCCGCGACCACCGCGGTGACGTACTCGCGCGCGGCGTTCGACAGATCGAGCGAACACGTGCTCGGCGCGGCGAAGCAGTGGCAGATGGCGCGCGTGACGTTTCGCGTCGCCGCGGCCGCGCCCTCCTCGCTCGCGCCGTCCTCGTCCACGGCTTTTCGTATCCCCTCGCTCGCGGCGGCGAGGACGTCGGCGTCGCCGAGACGCAGAAGCATCGCGATGCACGCGGCGACGCCCGCGCCCATGCTGTGCCCCGTCAGCAGCAGCTCGAACGTCGGGTTGTTCGCCATCGCCCTCGCGGCGGGCGCGATCTGCGTCTGCACCACCTGCCACGCGCTCGCGACGACGCCCGCGTGCGCCCACCCGCCGCAGAACGGCACGGACGTGCAACACGCGTCGGTGAGTAAATCTTCGAGCTGCGCGGTGCCGCGAATCGCGACGACGACCGTCTTCGCGCCGCGGTCGATGGCGACGTACGACGCGGGCGAAAACGTGAGCGTGCTCCAGTTCGCGCTCACGATGTCCGCGGGGTCGATCCCCGCGCTTCTCGCCGCGGCCGCGGTGACGTCGTCCCCCGCGCTCTTAAACCCGGACATGACCTCGTGTTTCAGTCCCCCCACGAATCCCTTCTGCATGATCACCGCGAGCGCGCCGTAGACGGCTACGCTGTGCTTCATCCCCAAAATCAGCGGCTTCAAGTCCGGCGTCGGCGGCGGGTCCTCGTTCGGGTACAGCTCCGCGCGCGCTCGGCGCCGCGCGGCCGCGGCTTTCCTTTGCTCGCGCCACAGCATGATGCCCGCGATCGGATCAAACGTCGCCACGCCCTCCATCCCCAACGGTTTCATCTCTTTGATCAGCAGGTTCACGACGCGGACGAGCGCGCGCTCAGCCTCCCACCACCCTCTCGTTTTGAGCCGTATCGCCGCCTTCTTCGCGTCGTCGGCGACGGGCGGCGCTGTTGAAGGCGGCGCTGTTGAAGGCGGCGCGGGCGGCGCTGTTGAAGGCGGTTCGTTCCCCGGCGCCGCCGAAACCGCCTCGGCGTCCGCGTCCACCGCGTCCACCGCGTCCGCCTCCTCCTCCTCCTCGTCGCTCGTCGACCGCGGCGCGCGCGTCCGTCGCGCGATCCCTGGCACCACGCGGCGCGCGCGGCGTCCGGGCGATCCTCCCGGGAAGGGGAAGCCGCCGCCGCCGCCGCCTTCGAGCCCCGCCGCCGCGTCCGGATCGCGCGCGCGACGGCTCGCGACGTGATGCAGATCGCTCGGCGCGACGGGCGCCGCCGCCGTCGTCGTCGTCGTCGTCGTCGTCGTCATCACGACGGACGTCGGCGGGTCGTGGTCCCCGCGCGGCGGCGGCGGCGTCGCCGCGTCGCCGCGGTCGCCGTCGAAGTACGACGACGTCGCGCTCAAGATCGAGACGGATCGCGAGCGACGGCGCGGCGGTTCGACGGCGACGGCGTCGTCGTCGGTCGCGTCGTCGTTAAACCATCGCCACGCGTGCTCGACCGCGCCCAGCGTGGCGTCCGCGCTCGCGCTCGCGCTCGACGCGACGCGGGGTTCGTCGGTCGTCGGGACCCCGAACGGATCCAAGTCGGCGCTGCGGTGATGGGACGCGGCGGAGGGAGGGAGGGAGGGAGGGAGTTTCGAGGGATGGGGCGGTGAGGGAATCGGCGACGCGGAGGAGGAGGGAGGATTGATTCCACGCGCTCGGTGCCGTAATTCATTCGTTCATTCGCGCGTCCCGACGCGAGATCGGACGCGCGACGACGCGGACGACGACGACGCGCGCACCTGCTCCGACGCTCGTGCCGCTGCCCCCCCCGCGCGCGCGCGGGGGGAGGAGCCCCGATCTCCGGGGGCTCCTCGCTCGGCGCCGACATCGCCACCGCCCCGGCGCGCGAGCGACGACTGGCTGGGCCGCGGCCCGACGAGTCTCGTCACGCTTCGAAATTTCGAGTCGTCCGATGAGCGCGCGCGGATGATGTTTGAAATTGGCGATTTGAGCCTGGAAACGCGATTTTCAACCTACCGTCCCTGGTTTCGTCCGAGCCTCGCCGCGCGCTGTCCTCCGGACACGTGTGGTCAGAGATCTGAAGGGTCGCGACTCTTCGGGACTGGTTATCGCTCGCTTTACGCTTCAAACTCGCGCGCGCGCGCTCGGTGAACGAACGACGCCGCTTCACCCCCCTGATAACGCATCTCCGCGCGCGCGATGGCGGACACCACTCCCGCGGACAGAGACGCGACGATGGAGCTCAACGCGCGCCTCGCGAGGTTCGGCGTCGAGGTCGTAACGCGCGAGGGCCGCGGGCGCTGCCTCGTCGCGACGAGATCGCTGACCCCTGGGACGCTCGCGCTGTCGTCGCTGCCGCTCGCGTGCGCGCCGTTCCAGGAGCTCACGCGGCAGCGATGCGGCGCGTGCTTCGAGCGCCCGCCGATCGTGCGGCGATGCGGCGCGTGCGACCGCGCGCTGTTCTGCGACCGCGCGTGCCAGGCTGCCGCGTGGGTGGCGGGGCATTCGAGGTGCGCGCCGGACGACGCCGGACGTTCGTTCCCGCGCTATTTATCCGTCGTCTCGCGTCGCGTCGCACCATTCCGTTCCTCCTCCTCGCGCCTCCTCGCGTCGCGTCGCGCGTCCGCGCGTGATGCCCTCGCGAACGACGCGACGCGTCGCTGACGCGCCGTCCCAAATCCTCCGAACGACACGACACGAATCTCGCGCAGGGAGTGCGAGAAGGCGAAGGAGCTCGAGAAGCTGCCGACGGCCGTCGCGTCCGAGGCTGTGCTCGTCTCGCGCGTCCTCTGGGCCGCGCACGACGCCGCGAAAAAATCATCGCGCTCGCGCGCCGACGCCGACGCCGACGCCGACGCCGACGCCGAATCGCCGCCTCGCCGCGGCCCCTCTCCCGGCCTCGTCCGCCCTCCCTCCTCCGACGCCGGGCTCGAACCGCTCGAATCGCTCGCGTCCGACGTCGAGTCGATGACGCGATGGACGATCGGCGACGACGCGCCGGCCGAGTACGACGCGACGACGGAGCCGAAAGAGATCCCGGTGAGCGACCGGTGGAAGTTCAAGAACCAGGAGACGCCGACGGCGTTCGACGACATCGCGTACCGCGAGCGGTGGGCGAAGAAGCAGGCGAAGGCGGCCGCGGAGAAGCCCGGGACGATCGAGGAGATGGTCGAGGCGATCACCGCGCTGGAGCTGCACCCGCCGGGCGCGGATGCTAAGACGATCGCGGACGCGGTGGCGACTGGGCGAAGAAATAACTTCGCGGTGACGGACTCTCTGCTCGCGCCCGTCGCGAGCGGGTGCTACCCGCTCGGCGCGCTGCTCAACCACTCGTGCGCGCCGAACGCCGTGATATCGTACCGGCTCCGTAATGACCATAACGGCGGCGGAAGACCCAGGGAGGACAGCGCCGCGGATCTCCACGCGGCGGATCGAAACGCGAACGTCGACTGGATGATCGGAGGCGGCGGGGTCTGGGCGCAGGAGTTTCGAGTCGTGAAGCACGTCGCCGCGGGGGAGGAGCTGACGCACGCGTACGTGGACGCGTCGGATCCGATAGCCGCGCGCCAGAAGATCCTCACGACGCGATACGGGTTCAAGTGTTTGTGCGCGCGTTGCGGCGAGGGGAAGCCGATGACCGGATGCCGCGGCGGCAAGTTGAACCGCCCGAACACCGCGGTGTACGAGAGAGCGCTGGAGATCATCGAAGAGGCGATGTACGAGAAGGATCTGGACAGAGAGAAAGAGAAAGCGCACCAGGCTGTGCACGTCCTCGCGGTCGCGATGGACGACATGGGCGAAGGCGAATACGGCCCCTCGATGAGTTTCGAGTTGAAAGACGTCGACCCCGAGGAGCTCGCGACGAGGTACGGCCCTTCGCCGACCGTCAGCGCGCGCGTCAGGGCGCTGCACATCGCGTTCAACGCCGCGATGCTGGAAGGGGATTGGCCGTACGCGAGAGGGTTGGGCGCGAGCCTGATTTTAGGGAGAGAGGCTGCGTTCGGGACCGCGTATCATCCGAGGGTGGGATTGGATCTCGTCACGCTCGCGGGCGTCGCCGCGGAGGCCGGCGATTACTTCGCCGCGAAAGAGACGCTGCACAAAGCCCAGGAGATCTTGGAGATCACGTGTGGGAAGAACTCGAAGCTGTTCAAGGACACGTTGGTTCTGTACGACAGGATCGTGGAGGTGGAGACGGAGCGAACGATGACGCCGACGACGCCGTCGCCGATGCCGCCGTTGGTGGACAACAAGGCGAACTGAGCGAGCGAATCGTACCGTTCGTTCGTCGTACGGAAGTGTACTGTACGTGTACCATAAGTTGCCTATTCATTCTAGTAGTTCTACCTACGAAGGTACACGTGAAGCGCGCGTCACTCGACGCCGCGTTGGACGTACACTTTCGTTTTCTCGAGCCCGCCGCGCGAGGACGTCCGCAGCGAGATCGAAACGAACGGCGTTTCCTTTTCTTTTCCGCCGCCGCCGTCTCCGTCGCCGTCGCCGCCGCCGTCGCCGTCGCCGCCGCCGTCGCCGTCGCCGTCGCCGTCTTTCCTCCTCCACCGCCGCTTCACGTCCAGACCCCACTCGACGCCGAGGTCCGCGTCGCCGCCGCACGTCAACGCCCACGACACCCCCGCGCCGCGCCGCGTCAGTCGCGCGAACGCGCCCTGAGGGCCCGCGAAGCCCCGACCTCGTTCAGCGCGCGCGCCTGAAATTTTCGCATCCACGACGTACCGCCGCCGCCGCGACGGGTCCCCGACGTCGACGTCGCCGCCGATCCCGACGCTCCGCCCCCTCTCGCTGCTGAACGATATCCCCACGCACGTCTTCGGCTCGCCGCCGCTCCAACGCCGTCGTGGCGCGGACGCGGTGGGAAGAACGTCGACCCGCGCGTCGTTTCGATCTCTCCACGCGCGCGTCATCCTGACGCGTTCCGTTGAAGCGACGGCGGTCGGGGCGGCGTCGAAAGGCGTCAGACGGCGTCGTGAGGCGTCGAGGCGCGTCGGGATTCAAAGCGAGGGGCTCGCGGGCGGAGAGAGACGCGCGCCGCCGGGAGAGAAAGTCCTTAAGGATCGGCGTTCACCACGCCAACGCGGTCGTATGGGGACCAGTGTAAATATGAACGCGCCTCCAGAGCAAATCCTGCGGCACCGTCGACTCCGCGACCACCTCCACCTCGCCGAACGAAAAGAACGGCGCGCTGAGGAAAGACCGCAAACGATTATCGCGCACGAAGTCCGTCGTCAGGCGGTGCCGGACGTGCGCCACCCCGCGCCCGTCCGAAAGCGCGTCGGTCGCTCTGTTCTCGAACGTTAGGAATCTTCTGAGCGGCCGCCCGTTCGCGTCGCGGTCGGCGGAGAGCTTGAGGGCCGTTCCATACGAAGCGATGTCGGGGTGGAGGTCAAAGGCGTCAGGTGGAGTTGAAAGGCGCCGAGGGCGGGGATTGAAAGCGAGGGACCCTAGGCGGAGAGAAACGCCGGGCGAAGTCCTTAAGAAACGGCGTTCACCACGCCGACGCGGTCGTATGGGGACCAGTGTATAGAACGCGCCTTGGCGCGAAAGGAAATCGGGACGCCGCCGCGCGCGCGGCCGCCGAGCTCGCCGACGACGGCGCAGTCCGTCGTCTTCCTCGTCGTCCTCGCCGCGACGGCGGCGTCGCCGTCGTTCGCCGCCAGGTTCCAGACGTTCGCGACGCTCAAGGAGGACACGCGCGGGATCCACTGATCCCACCATCGCGGCGGCGGCGTCGGCTTCGAGTTCGAGTTCGAGTTCGAGTTCGAGTTCGTCGTCGTCGTCGTCGCGGCGGGTCCCTCCAGCGGCCACGCGTACTTCACCTCCGCTTCGATCTCCCGGTCGCCCATCGAGCTGACGTGTAGGACGCTCGTCAACGTCAGCGACATCGGGTCCTCCCGCGAACTCCGCGCGACGTACGTCCCCGCGACGCTCACGTCGTCGACGCCGCCGCCGAGGTTCGAGATGGTTTGCGACGATACGGAGAAGTCGCACGGCGCGGAGGCGGAATGAGCGGCGTCGCGTCCGACGCGATGCCGCGTCTCCATCACGACGCCGCCGTGCTCGCCGTCGGGGGAGAGGACGCGGGCGAACGCGGCGTCGGCGGCGGCGGCGTCCGCGTGCTCCGCGTGCTCCGCGTCGTCGCGCGCGCGCGCGAGGGCGTCCATCACGGGGGAGGACAGGAACGCGTCGCGTCGCGCGTCGAGATGATCTCTTCGCGCGGACGACGGCGACGACGGCGGGGGCTGGTACAGCGCCGAGAGGACGTGCGCGCCGTCGGGGGTGCTCGCGGTCGCGGTCGCGGGGCCGCCCGCGGCGAACTCTCTTCGCGCGCGCGTCGTCTCCTCCTCCTCCTCCTCCTCCTCGTCGTCGTCGTCGTCGCCGTCGGCGTCCCATCGCCACCGCGCTTCCGCGTCGTCGTCGTCGTCGCGAAACGCCCCGCGGCGACCTCGGCGACCTCGACGACGCGTCCCCGCGGTGAAGACGCCGCCGCCGCGTCCGTCGCAGTCGTCGCCTCGCGGCCACGCCCGACGCGCGGCCGCGGCGAGCGGCGCCATCCGCGCGTCTCCCTTTGACGGGAGGCTGCGTGGGGGCGACTGATGACGGTGTTGATGAGATCTGACTGGAGTGTCTTTTCCGACACAATGATGATGCGCGCTCGGGCCCCCCCGCACGTCCCCGGTGTCACCGCGACGCACCGCGCGCCATTTCGTCGCGTCTTCGCGCATCTCTTCCTTCTCCTCGTCGCGTTCGCGCTCGGTCGCGTCTCGAAGCGCGTCTCCATCGTGTACCTCCCAGACAGCTGGCTTCCCACGACGCTCGGCGATCCGAGAGTCTACGACCTCGCGAGCGTGACGGAGGCCGCGCCGGGGCCGGGGGAGGGCGGGGAGTTCCGGTTCGAGGACGCGCGAGGGGCGTACGAGCGGCGCGAGTTCCCGTTGGACGACGACGGCGATCGTCGCGGCGGCGGCGGCGGCGGCGCGTCGAACGCGAACGCGATGGGAACAACGACGCTCGTGGGCGGGCGGAGGAGGAAGCGATCGCTTTTCGTCAACCTCGTCTTCACGCGCGCGGGGCACCTGCGAAGCGGCGATATTCACGTGTGCGCGCAGTTGAACGTCGTCGTCGCCGGCAGGGCGCGGTTGACGACGATCCCGGACGCGCGCGCGGGCGAGGAGGTCGTCCGCGAGCTCGCCGCGGGGGACCGTGCGGTGATACCGCCGCACGTGCCCCATCTGTACGAATTCGTAGAAGACACTCTGATGACGGAAGCGTGGCTCGACGACGACAAGACGCAGTGCAAATTCAAGGCGTGGCTGTACGAGCCGTTGCGGAAGCGAATACCGAAGAAGACGTTAGAGCGCGTCGTGGAAGACGCCGGGGGAGGAGGACGCGCGCGAAGCGGGAGGGGATAGAAAGCGTCGTCGTCGTCGTCGTCGTCGTCGTTAAAACATTTCAACCACCTTGCGTTGCGTCGCGTGATCATCACACCTTGACGACTTCGTACGCGTCTCTCACGAGGTACCTTCCGTACCACTTCGCGGTCGCCTCATCGCGCAATAACGCCTCAACGCCGACGGTTTCATCACCACCCGACCGCTTGCACGCCGCGTCGATCGCGGGCAGGTCCACCTGCTTCCCCTCCAGGTCCCGCGAGAGAAGCAGATCGATCGCCTTATCCGACATCGGCCCCATCGCGGCGGCGGCGGCCACCGCGCTCAGCTCCCCGAGCGCCACCGCGCGCTCCCTCTCCCTCCCTTCGGGAAAGTCCTTCTCTCCGCGATCCATCGCGATCTCCAGCCGCCGCGCCACCTCCATCGCCTTCGCGACGCCCTCCGCGTGCGTCTTGGACGCGCAGAGGTGCATAGCGAGCGCGTCGACGTCCACCGTCGCCGGCGCGGACTCGCCCGTCTCGGCGTCGACGGCGCCGGGGACGGCGAACGCGTCGGCGAGCGCGCGCATGATGATGGAAGAAACGTCCACCTCTTGTGCGTTACCCCCGGGGAGGAACCACAGCTTCCGCGCCTTCGCGAACGCCTCCTTCCCAGCCTTCGCGGGGGCGGCGAGCTGCGCCGCGGCGGATGCGAGCGTCCCGGCGTCCGCCTCCGTCGCCGCCGGATACGCCGCGTAGAGAAGCGAGACGATCAACGCGCGCCACTCGACGTAAACGCTGCCGCGGAACGCGAACAAATTCGCCACGGCGGCGAGCATCGACGCCGGCGCGATCGTGAACGCCGTCGGCGCGCCGTCGCCGTCGTCCGCGCACGCGCATTTGGCGATGAGCACCGCGCACTCGGGCGCGGAGACGAGTCCCGTCGGCGCCGCCGCCGCCAACGCCGCCGCCAGCCGCGCGAGCTGCGACGCTCTGTACAACCCCGGCGGGAGGAGCTTCTCCGTCGCCGGACGTTTCGGCTGCGGCGGCGGCGGAGGTAGGGCGCGCTCCTCCTCGAACACGATGAAGTCGACGTCGTCGAGGACGAGGTCGTTGTGAAGCTCGCGCTCTTCGTCGACGGCGACGTTGACCTCGTCGACGAGCGCGGCGACGGCGCCGCACTCGGCGCGGTACCGCGCTCTCAGACGCTCCTCGAGCCGCTCGTGCGCGTTGGACGCGATCTCTCTCAGTTCCGTCGCGTGCGCCAGCGCTCGCTGCGAGATGCGCTCGATTCGGGTCGCGAAGACGGCGCGCTCGCGCGCCATCGCGCGCTCCACCTCCGCGATCGAGAGCTTCGGCGGCGGCGGCGGGATCGGGTCTCCGTTTTCATCCAGCTCGGGCTCAGGCGCCGCGGGCGCATCGCCCGCCGCCTCCGCCGCCGCCGCGATAGCCGCCGGGTCCGTGGACGCGACGTAGTTCAGCGCGGCCGCGAGCGCGGCCGCGAGCGCGGCGAGGGGCTGGAACGACCCGGGGCCGGCGTCGTCGCCCTCGGCGGGCGTTTGAGGCGGCTCCTCGCCCTCCGCGAGCGGCGGCGGCGGCGGGTCGACGAATTCCGCGAGCGGACAAAGAAACGACAGCTCCGGCGGCGGCGCGTCGTCGCCTTCGAGCGTGAAATCGAGCGGCGGGAACTCCGCGGGCGCGGCGCCGCCGGCCCCTGAAGCGGAAGCGGAAGCGGCGGCGGCGTCCTCGCCCCCCTCCTCCGCCGCGCCGCCCTCGGAGAGAACGACAGGGGCTGACACAAAGAGCGCCGGCGCCGTCGCCGTCGCCGCCGCGTCGCCCGCGCCCGGCGTCTCCTCCTCCAACTCCTCCCCGCGACGCGCGGCGTAGTAATCCGCGAGCACCGCCCTCGTGCCCTCGAACCTGTCCAGCTCGAGCTGCGCGAGTTCGAGGTAGTGATTCCCCGCGATCGCCGCGTGGTCGGGGACCCAGGTGTCGTTCACGATCTTCCGACGTTCCGCCACCGCCTCGCGCAGTTTCGCGTCGCACACGTCCCAGAGTTCGTCGCGGAGTTCCTCGGCTCGAAGCAACAGCTCGCCCTTGGCGCGCGGGTCTCTCCGGTGGTCCAAGTCGAAATCGTTGAACGCCTCTTGGAACGCGTGCACGGTGGGCATCTTCGCGTCCGGGCGCTTCAAAAACTCGGAGAAGGTCGCCTTGACGTCGGAGAAGTGCGCGACGCCGAGCGATCGCTCTTCGCGGAGGCGCGCGAAGCATCGCCGCAACCCTTCGAGGTAGTCCGCCTCGACGACGTTCCAGGAGGAGTAGATGACGTCCGCGAGCGGCGGGGGGATCTCGACGAGCTCCTCAGACGACGAAGGAGCCTCCTTCGCGTCGTCCTTCGGAGCGTCCTCGCCCTCTTTCGCGTCCGCGTCCGCGTCCGCGGCGGCAGCGTCGGCGGCGTCGGCGGCGTCGTCGCCCTCCGCCGCCGCGCCCTCGGCGCCCTCCTCGCCCTCCCCCGCTTCGGCGTCAGCGTTCGGGTCCGCGTTCGGGTCCGCGGCTCTCTCCGCCTTCTTCACCGTCGCCTCGATCGCCTCCGCCGCGGTCTTCGTCTCCGCGAGCGCGCCGCTCGCCGCCTCGCCCGCCTCGAGCGCCCTCTCGAGCGCCGCGGTCGCCGTCTCGCGCGCGGCGACGAGGCCCTCCGCGTCGCCAACCTTCGACTCGGCGTCGAGCACCGCCGCCGCCGCCTCCGCGGCGGCCGCCTCCGCGGCGGCTGCGTGCTCGATCGCGAGCGTCGCGGCGTCTTTCGCTTTGACGAGCTCCGCGGCGATCGCCTCGGAGGCGTTCTCCGCGAGCAGCGCCGCGGCGGTGAGCTTCTCTTTCGTCGTCTCGCCGGCGTCGTCGCCATCCGCCGCCGCCGCCGCCGCCGCGTCGCCGTCGCCGTCGCCGTCGCCGGCGGCGGCCAGGAGCTCCTTTGCTTCCACCTCCGCCTTTCTCAGGGTCAGGAGCTCTCTCGCGGCGTTGGAGACCGTCTCCCTCGCGGCGACGACCCGTGCGAGCGCAGCCTGCGCGGCGGCGGCCGCGCGCGCCGCCGCCTCCGCCGCCGCCGCGACCCCCGCGGCGGCTTCCTTTTTACGCTTCACGTCCGCCACCACGGCGCCCGCGGCTTCCGCGACTTCAATCTTCCCCAAAGTCGCGTCCACGCCCGCGCGGAGGCCGACGAAGCGCCCCCCCGCGCCGCCGCCGCCGCCGCCTTCGCCGCCGTGGTGCCACGCTTCCCTCGCGTCCCTCGCCACCTCCCACGCCCCGAGCCGGTCCACGACGCGCGCGACGTCCGGCGGGACTTGGTCCTCGAGCCGCGCGATCAACCCGGGCTGAGGGTCGTGGAGTTGAAAGGCGTCAGTTGGAGTTGAAAGGCATCGCGGGCGGGGATTGAAAGCGGGGGGTGGGTGGAGAGATGCGCCGGGTAAAGTCCTTGAGGAATCGCGTTCACCACGCCGACGCGGTCGTATGGGAACCAGTGTGATAACAGAACGCACCTCGTTCGTCGGCGGCGGGTCGTAGTCGAGGTGGAACACGCGGCCGCTCTCGGGGTCGATCCGGCGCCCTTCCGCGCGCTTCGTGCTGTAGTCCACGGACGGGAGGTCCAGCGCGATGATCGCGTCGAGGCCGCTGACGTAAAGCGGCTCCGCTTTCGCGGCGAGCTCTCGGAGCGTCGGACGCGCGATGTCCGAGACGCGCGCGCGAATCAAGTCGCCGCGCGCCTCGTCCAACCCCGTCAGCGCGCGCTCGAGCGCTTTCGCCTCGTCGATCGTGTTCGGGAAGCCGTCGATGACGAACCCGACGGGGCGCGCGTCGATCGAAGCCTTGAGCGCTTCCTCGTACGCCGCGTTCGCTTCCTCCTCCTCCGCGGCTTTCGCGGCGGCTTGGGCTTTCGCGTCGTCGTCCGCGTCGTCGGGGAGAGGCGCGTCGTCGGCGGCGTCGGCGGGCGGCGTCGGTCGCGGCGGCAGCGGCGGCGCGAGCGCGTCGACGGCGATCGCGATGATCGTCGCCATCGTCACCGCGTCCACGGGCTCGCCGGCGAGCTCCGCGTCGATCGCCTTCTCGCCCATCTCGACGATGAGCGCGCGCGGGACCGGTTCGAGGTCCGCGGGGTCGAGCTCCGGCGTCTCTTCCTCTTCGCCGTCCGCGGCGGCGGCGGGCGCGTCTTCGCCGCCCGCTTCTTCGCCCGCTTCTTCGCCCGCTTCTTCGCCCTCTCCCTCCTGAGATGATTCCGGCGCCTCCTTCGGCGTCGCCGCCTCCACGCGCGCGAGTCTCGCCTCCTCCAACGCCGCCCACTCCTTCGCCTTCGCTTTCGCGTCGATGAGCGACGCCCCCGGGTCGATCACGACGAGCCCGTGCGCCTCGTTGAGCGCCCCCGCGAGCGTCGTCTTGCCGCTGAACGGCATCCCCGTGATCGCGCATCGCACGGTGAACCCGAGCTCCGGGAGCATCGGCGGCGGCGGGATCGGCGGGAGCGTCAGGACGTTGAGATCGAGCACCGCGGACCCGAGCGGGACGTTCGGGGCGATTTCGCCAAAGAGAGGCTCGGGCTCGAGGTAGGGGTCGACCCACGGTGTCTCCGGCTCGGGCGTCGGCGGCCGCGCGGCGGCGGCGGCCGCGCCCGGTTCGCCGTCGACGGGCTCGGCGTCCTCCGCGGCGGCGACGGGAGGTTCGGGCTCGGGTTCGGGTTCGGGTTCGGGTTCGGGTTCGGGCTCTGGCGCCGCTTCGCCGTCGCCCTCCGCCTTCTCCTCGCCGTCGCCGTCCTCCTCCTCCTCCTTCTCCGGCGGCCGCGGCGGCGCCCAGTCCTCGATCCCGCGGACGTAATCCGCGCACGTCGCCTCGTCGAACGCGGTGACGTGTATCGGATCCTCCGCCACCGTCTCCTCCGTCTCCGGGAGCTGGAACGGCAGCGGCAGGTCCTTCACGATGAGCCCGCTCCACTCGCGGTATTCTTTCCTCGGCACCGTCGCGTCCGTGGCTTCTCGGTACTCCGCGCATCGCGCCGCCAGCGACGCGATCGCGTACGCGAGGTGCTCGCAGTGCGACGTCACGTCCGCGACGCGCTCTTCCTCGCGCCGAAGACGCGCGGCCTCGATATCCGCCGCGCGCTGCTCCGCGATCGCGCGATACTCCGACCGCCTCAGCGCCGACAGTTTGCTCTCCAGCCGCAACGCCGCCGCGAGGTCCGCCTCCCTCTGGTCCTCGTACTGCTTATCCCGCACCGCTCTGTGATCCCGCATCGTCTCCCTCTCGAGCTCGATCGCCTTCAGTCTCTCCGCGACGCGCGTCTCCTGGCGGCTCCGCGCGGCGAGCGTCTCGAACACGTCGTCGCGGCGTCGGCGTTCCTCCGCGTCGGCGATTTGTTTTCTCTCGCGTTCCAATAGCTTGTGCCTCCGTCGCTCTCTCTCCTTACGGCTCGCGAGCTCCTCCGCGGCGCGCGCCTTGACCTTGCTCACGTACGCGTCGCCCTCGCGCTCGAGCACGTGCGGCCGCGGCAGCGACTTTTGAAGCGAAGAGAGCGTCGCGAGCGGGTCGAGCCCGGTGGTCGGCTTCGGGGCTTTCGCGCCCTTGGAGAAATCCAGCGCCGGCGCGTTGTCCGCGTCGGCGCCGAGCTTCACGAGGTTGGCTTCGAACGCGTCGATGCCGGTCAACGCCTCCGCTTTCGCGTCCAAGTTCATCGCGACTCTGCGCAGTCGGTCCTTCTCCGCGACGGCCTCCTCGATCTCGAGCTCTCTCCGCTCCACCGCGCGGCGTTCTTCCATGACGCCGGCGTGACGCGCATGTTCGCTCGCCGTCGCCATCGCCTTTCGCTCTCGCGCGGTGTTAAACTCGTTCAGAACGAGACTCCGCTGCTTCGCGAGCGTGTCCATCCTGTCAACGCGCGACCGCAGCGTCTTGTTCAGGTTCGAGTTCTCCTGCCTGAGCCCCTCCGCGGTGAACTTCGCGAGGTGCGCGTTCACGAACACCTCGTTCGGCGGCGTCGTCTCCTCTCTGAATTTCCGCTCGAACAGCCGCGTCTCCATCTCCCCAAACGCCTCCGGAATGTGCGTCTTCCCTCGGACCGCGTTCGCGATGTGCGTCGTCGGCCGCGTGTGCACGGTCGTCGTCCGCGCGAGCGTGGACGTCGTCTTCGCGAGCGTGACGTCGCGCAGCGTGGAGGACAGCGCGCTCTTCATCGCGTAGACGAGCCCCGCGGCGACGCCCTTCTCTTCTCGGACGACGGCCGTGACCGTCTTCGTGTCGAGGTGCACGCCGAGCTTCCCGAGCGTAGGCTGCGCGCGACGAGGGTGGGGGGGGGCGCGATGAGGGTGGGATCGGATTGGGGGTTTAGGGTTCATGGTTTAGGGTTCTTTGGCGTTCGGACGCGAGGGACGAGAGGAGGTTCGGGGACGGTCGACGAGAGACGACGGACGGACGGACGGAGCGCGCGAGGCGTCCGTTCGGCGCCCGCGGGGGACGCGACGGGAGGGCGGGCGCGCACCTGGAGGCGCGTGAAGTTGTTGATCCGCGCGTCCGGGGTGTTCTTGTCCACGAACTTCCCGAAGTCCGGCTGGAGGTTGCACCGCGCCATGACCTCGCCGAAGAGGAATCCGGACGCGAACGACTGCGCGGCGGGGGGGGGAGGAGGGAGCGGCGCGATCGATCATCGGGTCAGCGCGGTGTCGGGGGAGGAAGGGACGACGCGACGGGAGGACGAACGACGGACGACGCGCGGGGCGACGCGACGTCGCGTCGCCGTCCGAAGACGGTGTCGCCGCGAGATGGGCCGCGTCGCGCGCGAGTGCGCGACCGCGACCCGGGGCGAAGCGAGGGCGACGCCGACGACGGGGAGGGGCGGAAAGATCCGCTTTCACCGTCGTCGTCGCTCGCTCCCGAAATTATCGCTCGCACGAGTGGGGAGGGAGGGCATCGACGCGTCCGCGCGCACCTTCTCGAGCGAATCCAGCGGCCGTCGCACGCCGACGTCCTCGTGGAGCCATCTCCTGAGGAGCTCCGCCATCGTGCGGTCCGACGCGCGCGCTGCACGCGACCGCCGTCCGCGCGCGCGCTCGCTGCCCTGTGACGACGGGCGACCCTTTCATCAGTCTGCAGAGTCCTTTTTTGGGCGCGCGGTCGCGGCGCGGATCCGTTGATGAGCCCGTTCCGCTCGCTGCCCCAGTCTCGCGCGCTGAACGAACGACGACGACGCGCGCGCCGGTCCGTCATTGCCGCTCCGCGCCATGGACGCGTCACTCCACGCGCCCGCGATGACCGCGACGGCGTCGTCGTCGCGCTTCGGGGACACGATGCCGCACATCATCGCGGTGCGTCTCGCGTCGTCCCCCGCGACGCGTTCGTCGGTTCGTCGTCGTCGCTCTCGCGGGCGAGAATTAAATAATTCGCGCTCGCCCCCCGATCCATCCTCCTCCTCCGATCCCCGTCGACGCGCGCCTCCCCTTCCCACCTTGACGCCTTCCTTCCGACGCGCAGGCGGGCAAGACGAGCGTCCTCGACCTCGAGGGAACCAAGGCTGCGTTCGCGGTGACGGAGCGCCCGCCGACGCCGCCGGAGATGAAGAAGTGCGTCCGCGTCGCTCGCGCGCTCGCTCCGTTCCCCTTTCAGGACAATCACGCGACCCCTACCCTCGACGCGGCGACCCCGCGACCCCCCGCGGCGATCGCGCGTCGCGCATCGCGCGCCCCTCGCGCCCCTCCCGCCTCGTCCTCCCCGGCGTCGACCGACGAACCCGCGCGTCCATCCACTCCATCTCACCCCCATCTCACTCCGCCCTCGCCCCGACCCGGAATGCACCGCAGGTACCGAAAGTCGACGCTCCACCAGCCGGGGACGCGAATCGTTCACCCGGGCGCGGCGGACGACGCGATCCCCGAACATATCGTCTTTGGCGCGGCGACGATCCCGTCCGAGCCCGTCGGCGACGTCATCGCGTCGTACCCGAGCTCCGAGCTCGCGCGGTGGACGCTGGACCGGAGCGAGGACGTCTACGCGAGCGTTCGGCGGGAGCCGCTCGGGCGGGGGTACACGCGCGGGCACGCGTTGCCGGATGGGCTCGGGACGACGAAAGGGTTCGGCGTCGACGGCGAAGTCGCGCCGACGAGCTCCGTGGTGAACGGGTTGATATTCCCCAAGGACACGGAGTATCTCGCCGGGGACGCGGAGACGAGCGACGCGCATAAGATGTACGTCAAGACGCACGGGAACTACGCGCCGGGGGAGCAAAAGAGGCGCGATTACGATTGGGCCGCCGCGGGGGTCGATCCGAACGCGACGACGTTCGGCGCGGTCGACACCGCGAAGTACGATCAGTTTGAAGGCGTCGCGAAGGCACTGAACCCGCTGAAGGACGAGACGATGCCGCACTACAGCGCGTCCATCGTGGACGCGCGCGTGGAGGCGTTCAACGCGACGAACAGGGACGAGCTCGGAAAGGTCAAAAACCTAGGCCTCGGCGAGGAGATCCCGGACGGGCACGTGTTCGGCGCGCCGTCGCGCAAGACGATCGAGTGGGACGCCGGAAAACTCATCAAGGGCGACTACAGCGAAGAGGCCCAGCTCCCGGACGCGGACTTGGGGAAAAGCATGAAGCACCAAGGGTACGTGTACGATCCGTCCGACGGATCCGCCGCCGCGTTGCCCGCCGGCGCCGATCCGTCGCGCGCCTTCGGCGTCCCGTCCACCCGGCGCGACCTCGCGGCGATTCGCGATAAGTCGACGCGAAGCGTCGCGGACGTCACCAACTACGGCGACGAGCCGAGCGCGAGCGCGATCATCTTTCCCCCGAACGGCGCGGACCGCGGCGTGGAGGAGGGGGATTACCTCGCGACGTACGACGCCGAGGTGCGTTCTATACACTGGTCCCCATACGACCCCGTTCGCGTGGTGAACGCCATTCCTTAAGGACTTTTGCCGTCGTCTCTCTCCGCCCACCCCTCGCGTTCAATCCCCGCCCTCGACGCCTTTGAACTCCACCTGACGCCTTTGAACTCCACCCCGCCATCGTTTTGTATGGAACGACCCTGAGGCGCTGCGGGCGCTTTACGCGACGACGGGCATCGAGGTGGGGACCGAGGAGGCGTTCGCGAGCGCGTTCGAGCGCGCGAAGGCGTTGGACGGGACCCCGGGAGGGTGCACGATCGGGACGTTTCAGAGGGTGCGGATGTACGACGCCGCCGCGGCGATGTGATATGATGCGATATGACGACGACGACCTTACGAGGGAATAATGTTTCATCGTACGCCCGCGCCCGCGTCGCGTCGTTCACTCCGCGTCCGCGGAGTACCCGTCGTCCACCACCGCGACCTCCACCGGCGGCTCCGGCGGCCACCGAAAGAAACCTTCTTCCCCTTCTCCCTCATCTTCTATCACCTCCGCGACCTGAATCGACGCCACCTCTCGCACGAGGTCGTCCACGCCCCCCTCCGCGACGTCGAGCACGTCGCCGAGGACGCCGCCGCCGTTCCACCTCGGATCCCGCCGCCTGAGCGCGACGGCGACGACCGCGGCGTCCGCGCGCTCCCTCCCTCGCCACCGCATCAGACCGCTCAGCAGCGTCGCGATCGCGTCGTCACTCCACGTGGGGGGATCGCACACCGGTAAGCGCCCGACCAGCGCCGCGGCGGAGTCCGCGTCCCACGCCGCGAGCTCCTATGGAGTTCAAAGGCGTCAGTTGGAGTTGAAAGGCATCGCGGGCGGGGATTGAAAGCGAGGGGTGGGCGGAGAGATGCGCCGGGAAACGTCCTTAAGGAACGGCGTTCACCACGCCGACGCGGTCGTATGGGGACCAGTGTGTAGAACGCGCCTCGAGAACCTTCACGACGTCCGACGCGCGCCACGCCCACGCCGACGCCAACCGATGCGCGACCGGCGACACGAACCCGGCGACGTCCAGCTCCTCCTCCGCGTCGCCGTGCATGCGAAGCAGGAGCGCCGCGCACCGCGCGTGGCTCCAGCGGACGCGCGCGCCGTCGTCGCCGGCGCGCGCGACGTGCACGGCATCCGCCGCCGCGTCCGGCGTCGACGCCTCCCACCCGAGCGTCTCGATCACGAGCGCGGCGGCCGGGCCGTCGTCCCAGCCGTAGCGCGCGGTGAGTTCCGCGGCGACGCGCGCGATCGCGGCGGCGGTCCAGCCGCCCTTGCGAGGGAGGCGCGCATCGCGCGCAGGGCCGAGCGTCGGCGCGGACGTCGACGCGTCGTCGAGCGTCGCGCGCGAGACGGCCGCGCGCGTTTCCTCTTCCTCTTCGTCATCGTCTTCGTCGTCGTCTTCGTCGTCGTCGTCTTCTTCCAGCATCGCGCGCAGCGCCATCGCGACGTCGACCACCCCCCACCCCCCGCTCCCCCCCTCGCCGTCGTCGCCGCGCGTCGTGGGGTACTCTCCGCCGTCGCCGTCGCGGCGTCTCGTCGTCCCCGCGCCGCCGCCCCCGCCGCCGCCGCCGTCCGACGTCACCGCGCGTCTCCCTCCCGCGGCCAACGCTGCGGCGAACAGCGCGCACCCGCCAACCGCGGACAATCCCGCCAGCCCGCGCGCGTCCCAGTCGCGCTTGGGAAGAAGACGCGGGAGCAGCGCGGTCGCGTCTTCCTTGCTCCAGCCGCATCCGCCTCCTCGAATCGCGCGCGCGCGCGACAGTTCCAGGATCACGTCCGCCGCGTCCTCGACGCGCTCCGGCGCGACGCACGGCCCGCTCATCGTCGCCTGCGCGGCGTGCAGGCACCACAGGAGGTCCCCCACGGACGCCGGCGACCACGCCATGTCGACGACGAGGACGTGCGCGAGCGTCGCGACGTCGCGCGGGGGCAGAGGCTCGCCGCCGCCGCCGTCGCGATCGCGCGAGATCCGCGTCGTCCTCGCGCCGCGCGCGTCGTCGCCGCACATCGCGACGAGGACGCGCGCGAGCGCCTCGGGGTCCCACCACCCGCAGCCCGACTGGTCCCCGTCGCCGCCGCCGATACCGACGATACCGCCGCCGGCGTCGTCGTCGTCGCGCGCGTCGTCCGCGATGATGCCGTCGCCCGCGGACGGCGTCTCATCAGAGAGGATCCGCATCATCGCGTCCAACAGCGTCGCCATCTGTCTCGGCGCCCACTCGCCGGCCTCGGGGTTCGCCATCGCCGCGGCTTTTCCGATGTCCTCGGGGGGGTGACCGTCGAGGAGGAGCGACGCCGCCGCGGCCGCTTGCACGCGCAGCGGCATCGCGGCGCCATCGTCCGGCCGCGCCATCGCGGTGTGCGCGTGAGTCGAGAACGCATGATGAGTCATCAGCGGAAAGTGCTGTGACGTACTCAGTGTTTACGTACGACTCGCGTTAACTTACAACCGACGACCGACTCTACGTGAAGAACTCGGCGTGAATCGCGCGCACCGCCTCCGTCCCCTCGTCCCCGTTCACGAGCAGCGAGATGTTCGTCTTGCTCGCGCCCTGACTGATCATCTTCACCGTGACGTCCGCCCGTTCCAACGCCGCGAAGGACCTCTGGACGATCTCTTTGTTCCTTCGAACGTTCCCGATGAGAGAGATGAGCGAGTGCCCGGTCTGACACGTCACGCGCGCGATGCCGTTCTCCTCGAAATCTCTCACGAGCGCCTCGAGCTCCTCCTCCACGAGGTCGCGCGACCACATCTTCGCCGGGTCCAGCGTCAGCGACACGCTCACCTCGGAAGTCGCGACGCAGTCCACGGAAATTTTATTCCTCTCCATCACCTCGAACACCGTCGCGAGAAACCCGTACTGCCCCAGCATCCGCGTGGAGACGATGTCCAGCATCGTGATGCTCTTTTTCTGGACGATCGACGTCAGCATCCAGTTCGGGTCGTCGTCCCCTCTCGGCCGCGCGTGCCCGATGAGCGTCCCGGGCGCGGTGACGTTGTACGAATTCTTCACGCGGACGCTGAGGGTCGAGGGTCCACACGAGCGAATGAATGTCGGGGTGGAGTCGAAAGGCGTCAGAAGCGGAGTTGAAAGGCGTCGAGGTGTGTCGGGATCGAAAACAAGGGGTGGGCGGAGAGATACGCGGGAAAAAGTCCTCAAGGAACGGCGTTCACCACGCGAACGCGGTCGTATGGGGACCAGTGTGAGATATACAAACGCGCCTGAGGCCGTCCTTGTCCATCGCCGGTCGCATCGACTGCGGGTGCAGCACCTGCGCGCCAAAGTACGCGAGCTCGGTGGCCTCCTCGAAGGTCAAAAATTCCAAAACCGCGGTGTTATCAATCTCCCTCGGGTCCGCGGAGAGGACTCCGTCGACGTCCTTCCACACTTGCACCTCCGGGACGTTCAAAGCGGCGCCGATCACCGTCGCGGTGAGGTCTGAGGGTCGTTTCCATACGAGCGAACGTCGGGGTGGAGTTGAAAGGCGTCAGTTGAAGTTGAAAGGCGTCAGTTGAAGTTGAAAGGCGTCAGTTGAAGTTGAAAGGCGTCGAAGGCGGGGATTGAAAGCGAGAGGTGGGCGGAGAGATGCGCCGGGCAAAGTCCTTAAGGATCGGCGTCCACCACGCCGACGCGGTCGTATGGGAACCAGTGTACAGAACGCGCCTGAGCCGCCGCGCCCGAGCGTAGTGATGAGCCCCGTCTTCTCGCCCCTGCCCAAGAACCCGGTCACGATCGGGACGACGCGCTTCGAGTCGGCACCCGGCTTCATCGCCAGCGCGGACGCGACGAGGTCGTAGGTAACGTCCACGATGTTGCCGTTACCGAAGTCGTCCGTCGTCGTGAGCCCGATGTCGAACGCGTCGCGCTGCTCGGACGCGATTCCGATCGACTGAGGGCCGTTCCATACGAAGCGATGTCGGGGTGGAGTTCATAGGCGTCAGGTGGAGTTGAAAGGCGTCGAGGTCGGTGATTGAAAGCAAGGGGTGGGCGGAGAGAGACGACGGCAAAAGTCCTTAAGGATCGGCGTTCACCACGCCAACGCGGTCGTATGGGTACCAGTGTAAGGAGAACGCGCCCTAAGGTACGCGGAGAAGATGCGCGTGGACATCCGCTCGCCGAACGACACGATCGCGTCCTTGTTCCTCGGCGTGAGCTTCTTCTCGTCCGCGACGTGCGCGCACAGCCGTTGCATCTCGTCCAGGAGCGCGTCAACTTCATCGCGCGTCGCGTCGTCGACGCGCAGGTCGTCCATGGCTTCGCGGTGCAGATCGCGCAGCCGCGCGATCGGCGCGAGCGACGCGACCGCGTCCGCGCCGCACTCCGCGGCGAGCTCCCCTGCCTCGATGAGGTTGTTCGTGGACTTGCCCATCGCGGAGAGGACGATCACGGGGAGCTCGTCCGGGAACGCGAGGATGATGTCGGCGACCTCGCGCATGCGCGCGGCGTCCGCGACGGAGGAGCCTCCGAACTTCATGACGACCGAGTACGCGTTCAGGGACTCCCCGGGCTGTCGCTTCGTGGGCGGCGTCGCCGCGGCCGCGCCGGCGTGAACGGCGATCCGATCCCCGCGCGAGTTGGCGCGGAGCGGCAAGGAGGGCGTTGTCGCGGCGTCGGCGCTCCATCGTCGCGGCGCGGCGGAGGCGCGCGGAGACGGACGCGCCGCCGTCGTCGAGACCACGCGATGATGAGGGCGATATGTTCGAACGCGATCGCGCTGGGGTTTCGTCGTCGTCGTCGCGACCGCGGCGGCGCGGACCGCGTGGGCGCTCATGGCGGTTCGCGTCGCTTCGCTCGACGCGACGCGTTCGAAGGAACGCGGCGCGCTCGGGCCGAGTGTGGACGGCGGCGGCGGCGCGATCGGTTCACGAGGCCCACCGCAGCAGCTGCAAAAAGTGCAGTCGGGAGATAACGGTCTCCTCGCGATCCACCCTCGACTACATTCTGTATCTACGACACCGCCGCGGCGGCGGCGACGGCGGCTCTCGCCGCGCGCTCTTTCTTCCTAGACCTGAACCGCACGTTCTTCCTGCTCTGCTCTTCGAGTTGCTCGTCTATCATCGCGTCGAAGCACGCCTCCACCGCGGCGGCCGCGAGGACGTCGCCGGAGACCGCCCCTCCGCCGCCGCCGCCGGCTGTGCCGCCGCCCGCCGCCGCCGCCGCCACCGCGGGCGCCGCCTCCCTCAACGCCGCGGCGACGCACTCCGCGGTGGACATAAACCCGGGCATCGGCTGCTTCCGTATCCTGTACCCGCTCTCTCTTCGAGGTTCGCCGGACGACGACGGTGTCGGACGACGACTTTGTCGGACGACACTACCGTCGGACGAGCCTCCGCCGTCGGGGACCTCGCCCTCGCCGCGCGTCGCCTCCTCTCCGCCGCACTCTCCTGGTCCCTTCGCCTTCGCCGCCCAAGCCTCTCTCCTCTTCACCGCCTTGTTCTTCCGGTGCCCGCCCCCGACTCTCTGCGACGGCGCGACGTCGCCTATGACGTACGCGGGAATGTCGCGCATCCACGGGATGCGCTCGTACATTCGCCGGGCTTTGTGCCACGTCGTGTCGAGCACGACGAGGTGCGTTGGGAGTCCAGCCTCCGCCGCCGCCGCCGTCGCGGTCGCCGCCGCCGCGTCGATCGACGTTCCTCCATCTTCCGCCGCCACCGCCGCCGCCGCCGCCGCCGCCGCCGCCGCGCGTCTCAAAGGCGTCGCGCCGACCGCCGGGTACAGCACGCCGACGCCCTCGCTCGGGAGCCGCGGCGGCCGCGGCACGTCCTCGGGGGCGCTCATGTCGTGCCAGATCGTCTCGCAGTTCTCCAGCGCGAGCTCCGCGACGACCGCGCTCCCGAACGGGCGCCTGATCGCCTCGCGCCTGTCCTGAAGGATCGTGATCGCGAGGCTCGTGCGCAACGGCGCGTCGCCGACGACGTCGCGCACGAGCCCGCACACGCACAGGCGCTGGACGCGGCGGCAACGATAGCACATCTGTCGCGGCGCGTCCGATGCTGAAGATGCTTCGGATGCTTCGTCGCGCGTCGTCGTCGTCGGCGCGTCTTCTTCGCGCGTTCTCGCGCTCGTTCTGGTCCTCGCGGCGGCGGCGCGCGCGAAGAGGGCGCGCCGCGTCGAGGCGGCGGGCGCGCCGCATCGCGACGCCGGGCGCGCCGCGGGCGTCGCGGCCGCGGCGTGCGGCATGCCGTCTGCTGGTGGCGGTAAAAGAAGCGCTTGAGAAACTTTATCCTCGAACTGATGGATGCTCCAGGGAGACGAAAAGGTTGACCTCGGCGCGCGCGCACACCCGCGAGCGCCGCGACCCGGCGGCGTCGACGCGCGCGGAGCACCCGACGGCGGCGTCCCCTCGCGAAGGAAGGAATCGCGCTCGCGGCGCGGAGGCCGGCGCGTCCGCGCGTCCATCGCCGCCGACGGAGATGGCGAAGACCGCGGCGACGATGATGAAGAAGCCATCGACGGATCCCGACGACGTCGACCTGGAGAACCTCTCGGACGACGAGCTCGACGAGTGGCTGCGCGAGAACTCCAAGTACGACGGCGAGTTCGGGTTCGACCCCGACGACGACTCCGACGATGACGAGAACGACGCGGACGGGAAGCCGCGCGCGAAGCGCCCGGGCCTCGGAGCGGCGCTTCCGATGGCGATCGGATCGCTCGTCCTCGCCGCCGCCGCGATGGTCGCGCGTCGGATGCGGCGACGCCGCGCGCCCGCGGCGGATCCCGCGCCGGTGAAACTGAAGGTGGACGCCGCGAAGAGGAAGAAGAAGAAGCCGCCGATCGCCTCCTCCTCCTCCTCCTCCGCGAAGACGTGCGCGCACTGCGGCGGCGCCGATCCGAAGCCGCCCGCGACGAAGCTCCTTCGATGCGGTCGATGCAAGGCGGTGAACTTTTGCAGCGCGGCGTGTCAGAGGGCGCACTGGCCGACGCACCGAGGATCGTGCGTCGCGGCGGCGCCGAAGCCCACCGCGCCGCCGGCGGCGACCGCGACGGTTGACGTTCCAGCTTCCACTGCCCCCGCCGCAAATGCCGCCGCCGCGGACGCGAGGACGGATGAGCAAAAAGCCGCGGACACGGCGGCGATGCGAAGGCGAGTCGCGGAGCGCCTCGTCGCGGACCGCGAGCTCCAGGGCGCGCTGGACGACCTCAGGCGCAGGATACAGACCGCGTCGGATATTTTCTGGCGCGGCGGGTACCGAGAGGCGGTGCTGCAGCTCCAAGACATCGCGTCGAAGGCGCACGACATCCCGCACGGGAAATCCGTGGAGTGCGAGGCGTTGCGAATGTGCGGACACGGACTCATCCGCCTCCGGCAGTTTACGCCCGCGAAGCAGTGCCTCTCGACGTGCCTCGAGATCGCGCAGTCGATAGGCTCGGCATCGCTGGAAGCGAACGCGCGCGTCGCGCTCGGGCAGCTCGCGAGCAACATCGATCCGCCCGATCACGCCGCCGCCATGGAACATCACGCCGAGGCCAAGCGGTGAGACTACTCGATCACTAGTCTAGCAGCTAGACGCCTCCCCTTTCGACGCACGCCGTCATTCGACCGGCAGCACGACGCGCCACTGACCGACGACTGACCGACTGACCCTGCACCTGACCCCGCGTCGATCGCTTCGCCCCACCCATCACGTACGCAGGCTCGCGGCGCGCGTGGGAGACATCCCCGGCGAAGCCGCGGCGGCGTTGAACCTGGCAAATACGCTGTCGCGCGTGGGGCGGAAACGAGAGGGCGTGGACATGATGCGCGTCGCGTTGGACTTGCGGAAGAGACAGGTGATCGCCGCGGAGGAGGCGCTCGCGACCGTGATGACGCGGGAGACGAGCGCCTCCGCGAGCGGCGGTCGAGACGCGGCGAGCGCGGAGAACAGCCGAGCGGCGTACGCGCGTCGATCGCTCGCGGAGGCGTTACGGTCGGAAGCCGCGGCGAAGGCGAACCTCGGCACCGCGGTCGCGAGCTTCGACGACGACGCGCCGGCCGGCGGCGGGAATGGCGGCGGTGGGAGCGGGAGCGGGAGTAACGCTCTGGACGCGATCGAGCTGTTCGAGGACGCTCTGAGCTCGCTGAAGAAGAAGGCGCGGGTCGTCGCGGACGCGCACGACGTGGAGCTCGAGATTGGGCTCCTGTTGAACTTGTCCAACGTGAACGATAATCAGCACCCGGATAAGGTCGCGGGCAGGGCGGAGGCGGCCGCGCGGAGGGGCGAGCTCGCGGACGCGATGGCGAAGATACCGGGCGGCGGGCGGAGCTTATCGACCGAGTGCGCGATCTGTTTGGAGGCGATGTCGCCGTTCGACGGCGAGTGCGGCGCTCGCGTCGACGGCGACGGCGGCGGCGGCGACATTCGAGCGAAGGGCGACGGGCGGTCGATCACGACGCTGTCGTGCCTGCACGGGTACCACACGAAGTGCTGGGATAAGGTCGTCGGGGATAAGCACGCGGCGGCGTGCCCGGAGTGTAGGAAGCGGCAGGACCTCGCGGCTTCCGACGCGAGGTCGGGGGCGGCGCGGGAGCGGGTGACGGTTCACGCGTGACGCGCGACGAACAGAACGGCGCGAAGCCTTCCTTCTCTACTGTACGACGTCGTTGTACACGCGCGCCTACGCGTTCTTACTCAGTACACGCGCGAACGAATCGAATCAATCGATCACCGCCACCGCTCCGTCCGCACGTCCTCCTTTCTCATCTCGATGGTGTCCTCTATGTAGCCGTCTTCGCACTCGTCGATCATCGTGAGGATCGACTTTGGGTCGTTCCATACGAGCGAACGTCGGGGTGGAGTTGAAAGGCGTCAGTTGGAGTTGAAAGGCGTCGAGGGCGGGTATTGAAAGCGAGCGGTGGGCGGAGAGATGCGCCGGGAGATAAAGTCCTTAAGGATCGGCGTTCACCGCGCCGCCGCGGTCGTATGGGAACCAGTGTAAATACGAACGCGCCTTTATCTCGTCCGTCATCGCGGGCGGACCACACAGAAACGCGAGCGGCTCCTCGAACGGCGGCGCCCCGGGATTTTCATCCGGGTGGCGCCACTTCCACAGGCACCACGGGGACCTGAAGATCGACACCTCGTCGCTCAGGTCCGCCTTGCCTCTGAACGCTCTCTCGTCCAGGACGTGCGGCGACGTCGTCAGGAGACCGACGGCGCGCGCAAGGTACTCGTGCCAGTCGCCGCGATCCCTCACGTGTTGGACTGCGATTGGTCGAGGGAGGACACGTGTCAGTCGCGAGTGTGAGGTATTGGTGGATAGTGTCGCCACGTGTCAAAACGTGAGGTTGACAGCGCGCGAAAGAACGCCTTAAGAAACGACAAGGAGGGTCGCGCGGGAAGAGCGTTCTCACCGTGTTTTTTCCCGTCGCCGTACGCGCCGAAGCCTTCCGTCTTCCGGCGCTTCTCCTCGAGCTTCTCGCCGGTGCGCTCGTCGTACGTCGCGATGACTTTCTTCCCGTACTCGAACGTCGCGGGCCCGTACGCGTGCCTCAACCCTTCCGGCGTGGCGCACGGGTGATTCGACGCGGGCTCTCGCGAGTGATGAAACGCGACGCGAATCGCGCCGCGCGCCCGCTCCACCAGCGGCCATATCCACCGCGCCAACGCGTGCGCGCCGAGCTCTTTCGCCGCGAACAGCAGCACCACGCGCACGCGTCGCGGCGCTTCGTACCCCTCCCCGCCGTCCATGAGGTGCAACGGCGTGTTCAGCGCGTCCTCTCTCTCGACGTCGTCGAACCGCTCGTGCATCCACGTATTCAGCATCGAGCACAGCGGCGCTATCCCCACGCCTCCCGCGACGAGCAGCAGCGGCCTCCTCAGGTCCTCTCTCGACGCGAAGAAGCCCGCGCTCCCGCCGAGCTCCATCCGCACGTGATCGCTCACCTTCGCGACGTCGTGGATCCAGCGCGCGACCTCGCTGGTCGCGGACCGCTCGCACGCGACGACGAGGTAGCCCTCCTCCTCCAAAAGCGCGGGCGAGGATACGATGGAGTATCTCCCCGGCTTCGCCACCCCCGGGACGTGGATCTCGACCCACTGCCCGGGCCGGAACCGGAGTCGCACGTGAAAGTTCGGCGTGAGGAAGAACGTGACGAGCTTGACGTCCGGGACGTCGTCCACGATGCGGTGGACGAAGGCGGCGATGGGCGGTCTCGACGCCTCGGATCCGCCCTTCGCGCCCTTCGCGCCCTTCGCGCCCGCGCGCTTCCGCGGCGGGTGGTCCTCGCCGACGAGCGGCGGCGCTTTCGTCGCGGGGGGGGATCCTTGCGCCTGCGCCTTGCGCTTCTTCGCCGGCATCTTCCGCGGCGGCATGGTCGTCTCGACGCGGCGGGCGGCGGCGGCGGCGGCGCGGGACGAGTGCGCGACGACGACGCGTCTTCCGAGAGATTCATTCTATTCTTCCGTCCTCGGGAAGAACAAGCCGGAGCGGTGACTCGCACTCGCAGCGCCTCCGGCCGTCGGTCGGTTGGGTGAAGTGCGGGTCGGGTTGATCGGCGGTCTCGATCGGAAAAGCGGTTTGAAACTCACGCTGTCATCATTCCACGCAGGGAGCACCGGGATTTTTGAACCAAAACGAGGTCGCGCCCGCCCCTCCCGCCACTCCTCCGCGCACGTCCTCCTCGACACTCGCGATCGCCATGGGGAAAAGCGACGGATACGACAAGAACGCGCCGTGGTGCGTCCCGATCATTCGCGCCGCCGCCGCGTTCAGCCCCTCGCGACGAATCCAACCATCCCTCGTCAACCAAATCCGTCGTCCCGTCCATCCGTCCAATTCTCACCCGGCGTCAAATTCCCCCCCGCCCCTCCTCCCCCCCCCCCGCTCCGTCCAGCCCGCTCGGCACGGGCACGCGACTGATCACCGTCGGCGGCGAGCTCGTCGCGGTCGCGCACCGAATCAAACCCACCGGGTACAAAGCCCCGAACGCGTACGGCAACCGCGTCGCGTTCGACGGCACGACCACCTCCGGGTCGGAGCAAGCCAAGGTGCGCGTCGTCGGAAGCGGCGAAGGCCCGAAGAAGAAGCTCATGCCGTACCACCCGCTCGCGTCTCGGAACCGCCCGAAGAGCCAGACGGACAACGCGACGAGCGGGCGGTTCACGATGCCCAAGGGGAGCGTCGAGGCGTATCGCAACGCGAGCCAAGTGAATCTCACGGACGGCCACCCGGACAGCGGCAGGGCGGGGAGCTGGAGGACGACGAATCAGGAGTACAGCGACAAGTCCGCGACGACGGGGGTGGTCGGGCTCGCGAACCAGGGGATCTTCGCGGAGGCGGCGATCTTGACGCACAAGAAGCAGCGGAAGTGAAAAATGCCGGACGGACGAGCGCGGACGGCGTGCGTGGTGTCTCGGCGAGGCGGCGAAGAAACGAAAACGAAAACGCCGTCGGAGGAGAGAGAGAGGGAAGGAGAGGGACCCACCCCTTCGAGCGCGGACGCGCCTACCTTGTAGTTATTATATACCGTAGAAGATATGACAGTATGGTCGGTCGAATTGCGTCACAACCCGACGCGCCGCGGCGTCCTCCCCCCCGGCCCGCGGTCGCTCCGACCCGTGCTCGGGGGCTTGTTGAACCGCACGCCGCCGCCGCTCGCGCCGCCGGCGACGGACGCCCCGCCGCTTCCGCCGCCGCCGCTTCCGCCGCCGAACGACGGCGTCGCCGGCTCCGCCCTCCGCCCGGGCGTCACGATCTGCGCGCGCTGCCTCGCGCTCGCCGCCGCGTCCTTCGCCCTCCTCGCCCTCTCCTCCTCCTCTCTCTCCGCCTCTTTATCCGCCATCTCCCGCCGCATCTGCGCCTTCTCCTCTTTCCTCCTCGCCTTGGTCAGCATCGCGCTGTCGTGCGACTCCTTGATGGAGAAGAACATCGGCCCAGCCTCCGCGAGCCAGTGCGGCTCTACCGCGCTGACGCACTGCATGTACTCCTTCGACGTCATCACGAGCTCGTGGTAGATGACGTAATCGGGGGTGTACCCCAAGCCGTACAACGACGAGCTCGGGTGGAGGTGGCACGGCATGCCGTTCCGACAGTTGACGTATTCGCCCACGCCCTTGAGGCGCGCGGCCTGGTGGAAGTAAGCCGAGCACAGCGCCCTGCGGCATAAGTCCCAGTCGCTCCCGGCGGCGTGCAGCGCGATCTTCTGCTGCTTCATGATGTCCAACAGCTGCGCGCGGACTTCGCGGCCTTTTTTCAAGCCTTTGCTCTGGATGAAGTGCCGGTTGCACCAGTCCGTTCTGTACCCGTTGTTCTTCCACTGTTGGTACACGTTCAACAGCGTGAGGTGATCGCTCTCGGGGACGAAGAACTTCTCGCGCGCGGCGTCGCTCTCTTCCTCTCGGTCTTTCGGTCGGAACCAGATCGGCGGCACGGACAGCATCGCGATCACGGTCAAAATCTCGTTCGAGCACTTCAGCTCCTCCGCCTTGAGGAGCATCTGCGCCAACGGAGGGTCCACGGGGAACTCCACCATCTTCGCGCCCATCCGCGTCAAGCCTCCGGTGTTATCCAACGCACCGAGGATCCACAGCTGGTACATCGAGTTCAGGATGTTATCCTGCGGCGGCGGGTCCATGAAGTCAAAGTCCAGAAGGTTATCCACGTTAAGCGATTTCAACAGCAAGACGACGTTCCCGAGGTTCGTGCGCTGAATCTCCGGGACGGTCATCGGCAGAAGCTCGTGCTTGAACGCCATCTCGGTGTAGAGTCGATAGCACGTCCCCGGGCCCGTTCTCCCCGCGCGTCCGCTGCGTTGGTTCACCGCAGCTTGCGAGCACGGAAACACCTGCAGCGCGTTCATGCCCATTCGAGGGTTGTATACGGACAGCTTGCAGTATCCGGTGTCGACGACGTACATGACGCCGTCCAACGTGAGCGACGTCTCCGCGATGTTGGTGGAGACGACGCACTTTCGGACGCCGCCCTCGGCGTCTTGGAAAATCTTCGCCTGCAGATCCGCGGGAAGCTGCGAGTAGATGGGCAGCACGGACAGCGGCGGGCACGTCCCCGCGGCCATGAGCTGCTCCAGACGTTCCTCGAGCGCGTACGCGACGCATTCGATCTCCTCTTGACCCGTCATGAAGCACAAGATGTCGCCGGGCGGGTACGCGATGTGAATCGCGAGCGCTTGCTTCACCGCGGCTTCGACGTAATCCTCTACCGGAGTTTTCGCGTATAACGTCTCCACCGGGAACGTTCGCCCTGGGATGTTAAACACCGGGACGCTCCCGAAAAAGTTTGAAAACTTCTCCGCGTTGAGCGTCGCGGAGGTGACGATGAGCCGGAAGTCTCTCCGCCGCGCGACGACTTTTTTCAAAATCCCGAAGAGCACGTCCGTGTGCAGCGATCGCTCGTGCGCTTCGTCCATGATCACGCAGCTGTACGCGTCCAGGTCCGACTCTCGCAGCGTCTCTCTCAGTAACACGCCGTCCGTCATGTACTTGATCACCGTGTCCGGGCCGGTGCAGTCCTCGAATCGAATCGCGTATCCAACCTTCCCGCCGAGCTCGCAGCCGAGCTCCTCGCTGACTCTCTTCGCGACGGACATCGCGGCGACCCTTCGCGGCTGCGTGCATCCGATCATCCCGAACGTGGAGTATCCCTCCTCGTGCATGTACTGCGTCATCTGCGTCGTCTTTCCAGACCCGGTCTCGCCGACGACGACGACGATGTTGTTCTCGCGAATGGTCAGCATCAGGTCCTCTCGCGAGCCGAACACGGGGAGAAATTCGCGCTGCTGCTTCATCGTCTTCGTCTTCGCGAAATCACTGCGCGCGACGCTCTTGTCCTTCATGCTGTCCGCGAACTTGCTCCCCGCCCTGAAGTCGATCTCGCCGTTCTCGTCGAGCTCCACCTCGTCGTTCGCGTCCTCCAAGCTCTCCCCGGCTTGCTTGCGCACCCGTTCCGCGTTCGCCGCGGCTTCCTCGTCCTCCTTCTTCGTCGTCCCGGTCACGTCCCCCATCTTCGTGCCCTTCATCTCCCAAAACCGATCCCGCGACTTGTTCTCGTCGCGCTTCTGCCGAACCTCGCGCATGAGCGCGCTGCCCCTGCGCGCGATCATCGCCATGTCCGACGTCGCGTCCTTCACCGGCAGAACCATATCCGCCTGCTTCGTGAACACCGCGCGGCCGTCCAGAAACGGCGGCTTCGTGTCGTGCACGAGCAGCATCACGCGGTTCTCCTCCTCCGTCTCGAAGTCGAGGTCAACCTCGCGGAGACGCACGACCCCGGAGGTGACCAGCCGGTTCTCCTCCCACGTGTTGTGGTCGGCGTGTATGCCCGCCATTTTTTTCGACTGCGCGAGCGTCATCGGGCGACCATCTCGCCGCGTCAGGCGCTTGGCGTACTCCTGCTCTTTCTTCTTCATCCGGTCCTCGGTCTCCGACCCCGCGAACGGGTTGTGCGCGTCGCCGTGCCCGCCGCCGCCCTCGTCGTCGTCGTACCACGCGCGGTCGAGGTCCTTCTCGTGGGCGCCGGCGGCGGCGCCGCCGCCGTCGGGCATGGCGCGGAAGACGCCGCCCTCGCCGAGGTCGTCGTCGACGACGCCGACGCCGGGGGCGCCGCCGCCGCCGCCGCCAGCGCCGCTTTCTTTGTCGTCGTTCATCCACGAGTTGGATTTCCACGTCGGGGTGCCGAGGGGGGTGCTTTCGAACTCGAACGTCGCGCGGTGCGAGGACGCGGAAGGGTTCGAGCCGCGCGCGGACCGCGGCCGGTCGGTCCCGCCGCCGCCGCCGCCGCCGCCGTCCCTCGCGCTGCGGTCGGTCCACGGCGACGCGCCCGCGCGCGCGGTCGCGCCCGCGCCCGAGGGGGTGTCCTCCCACTCGCCGTCGTCTCTCGATCCCGCGCCGGACGCGGACGCGCCGCCGCCGCCGCCGCCGCCGCCTCTGCCGCGCGCGAGGATGGCTTCCATGCCTTTCGAGTCGCGGCCGCCGCCGCCGCCGCCGGCGCGCGCGCTGCCGCCGAACCCGGACCCCCAGTTCGCGTCGGCGTACCCGCCGCCGCCGCGACGTCCGCCGCCGCGGTCGTCGCGGTAGGAGTCGCGACCGCCGCGTCCGCGGTCTCCGTCTCTGTCCCGTTCTCTGTCTCCCCCTCGGGACGAATCTCGCGGGTGGGCCCCTCCCCCTCTTCGATCGCCGCCGCCGCCGCCGCCGCCGCCGCTTCGCGCGCTGACGCCGCCGCGGTGCCCCCCTCGCGTCTCCTTCCAGTCCCGTCGCCGGTCGTCGATCTCGCGTCGGACGTCCTCGTTGATCCCGCCCGGGTGGCTCGGCGTCTCGTCGCGCCGCCCTCTGAACCGCCGCTTCGTCGTCGCGGACGCGCCTCCGATCCTTCGCGCGTCGTCGTCGTCGTCGTCGCCGCGGTCGCCGCCGCCGCGGTCGCGGTCGCCGTCGCGCTCGTCGTCGTCGTCCACCATGGACGTGATCGCGCGCGCGCGCTTGGCGCCGCTCGCGGCCTCGCGCTCCGCGCGCTTCGCGCGCGCGAGCTTGTCGAGCCCGAGGAGCGACCCCGTCCGCGGCGCGGGCGCGGCGAAGACGTGCTTCGCGTCCGCGGCGTCGTCCCCGTCTCCTCCCGCGGCCGCCTTCGCCGGCGGCGGCGCGCCGGCGTCGTCGCCCCCCGCGGACATGACGACGGCTCGCGACGGTGGGAGCTCGGCCGTCCGCGCGGCGGCGATTAGACTCGAGATCGTCGGAGGCGCCCACTCGCACTTCTCCACCGGGTGCCCTAAGTTCGTACGTGCCCTAAGTTCGTACATCGGTCAGTTGAAAGGGTACACGGTCAAATAATGAAACCAAGCGGTGGGTGAAAAACGTTCGTTTGAACGCACCGTAGTTGCGGTCGGTCGATTTTCGACCGACCAGGGGAAACAGGAACGTTTTCGTGACGACAAGACAAGACCGCTGACGTGCTCGTCACCGCGCGCGCGGTCTCCTCGACGCGCACTGCACCGCCGCGCACCTCGCGTCGTCGAGCGCTCTTATCATGGCGAAGGCGGAATCAGGCGCGGAGCGCGAGCTCCTCACGCGCTTCGAAGTCCAGAAGTTCCTCGGCAAAGGCTCTTACGGCAGCGTGTGCGTGCCCGTCCCGCGGCGTGTCCGTCATCCCGCTCGTCGTCGTCTCGCGCGAAGCCGCGGGCAGAGAAACGCTCGAGACGGCGGACGCGCGGACGCGGACGGCGGTCCGCGGTCGCCATCGCGCTCGCGTCGCGCGTCGCGCGTCCGCCCGCACGAGCGCAATCAATCATCACGCGATGATAAGATTGACGTCGCGTCCTCGCGCGTCGCGTCTCGCGCGTCGTCGCGTCGCGTCGTCCGTCGCCTTCGCGCGTCGGTCGCACCGAGAGGGGAAGGAAGATTGTTGACCCGGCGCCTTCCTCATCGACCCTCATCGCATCGCGCTCCCGCCTGACGCGTCTCTCCCCCCGCACAAACCCTAAATCCCTCCCTCCGCGTATCAACAGGTATCGCGTCCGAAGGCTGTCCGATAACAAAGTCTACGCGCTCAAGGAGACGAACGTCCGCAACCTCTCGCAACAGGAGCGCCACGAGGCGGTTAACGAGATTCGGCTGCTCGCGTCCGTGCAACAAAACACCGCCATCTCGGGGTTCCACGAGGCGTTTCTCGACGGCAACCGCCTGTGCATCGTCATGGAGTACGCGCCTTTCGGGGATCTATCCAGGGCGCTCCGCAAGCGCCAAGCGCAGCGGAAGCTCCTCCCGGAGGACCTCATCTGGAGCTATTTCATCCAGATCGCGCGCGGGTTGCAGGCGTTGCACGCGCAGAAGATTCTCCACCGCGACGTCAAGACGGCGAACGTGCTTCGAATGTCAGGCGAGATCGTCAAGCTCGGCGACCTCGGCGTGGCGAAACTGATGAAGAACAACATGACGAACACGCAGATTGGGACGCCGCATTACATGCCCCCGGAGGTGTGGCGGTCGCGGCCGTACACGTTTAACAGCGACGTGTGGGCGTTGGGGTGCGTCCTCTTCGAGATGTGCTCGTTCACGGTGCCGTTCGAGGCGCGGAGCATGGAGGAACTGCGGTACAAGGTGATGCGCGGGAAGTTCCCCGCGCTTCCCAGCGTGTATTCGCAGGACATGCAGAAGCTGGTGAAGTGGCTGATGATCGCGGAGCCGTCGCAGAGGCCCGGGATCGACGAAGTCTTGGCGCACCCGAGCGTGCAGAGACGCGCGCACCTCGCGCCCGAGCCCGAACCCGCGGTACCGCAGTCCATCAACTCGATCAACGGCGCACCGGACGACCCGGTGACGCTCGGGACGATCAAGGTCCCGAAGAATTTGAAGATGCTCAAGAAGCGTCTCCCCGCGGCGAATTATCCGGACAGCGCCGCGGAGCGCGCGGCGGCGGCGGCGGAGAGACTGGCGGCGGAGGAGGCGATCAAGGCGAAGAACGACGCGGCGGCGGCGGCGGCGTTCCCCGCTCGCAAAGTGAACCCCGAAAAGCCTTCGAACAGCGGCGGCAGCGACGGCGGCGACGCGAAGAGCGCGGGCGGCGGCAGTGTTGTCGCGAATAATAACGCGAGAGGCGAGCGCGAGGTGTCGTCGAAACCGGCGCCGTCCGCGGCGGCGCCGATTTCCGCGCTCGAACGCGCGCGCGCGATGGAACGCGCGATGATCGAGGGGAAGCACGAGCGCGAGAACGTCGCGCCGGCGGACAGGGTGGGCCCACACGCGAACGCGCGGCCGATGCGGCCGTCGGAGTTCAACAAAGCCCCGAGGGAGAACGTCAAGGCGCCCGGTCCTCTGCCCGTGGTTCAAAACGTAATCGCCAACGGCAAAGCCGGGGAGTTTCAGCAAGGGATCGCGGAGCGACGCCCGCGCGACAACGGCGCCGCGGCGATGCCGTCGCAGTACGGCGCGCACAACAACCCGTACTTGCAGCCGCCGCGAGGCGGAGGCGGAGGCGCGGCGCTGGACAAGGCGAGGGAGCTGGTCGCGGAGCCGAGCGACGTGCTTCAACGCGCCGGGTTGGTCCCGGCGCCGGAGAAGCGCGGCGGCGGGATCGGCGGCGTCGGCGTCGTCGGGGTTGGCGGCAATCGCGCGGGGCACGGGCACGGGCTCCTCGGCGGCGGGAGGAAGATTGGGATGCCCCCGAGCGTGGTCGGGAGAGACGGTGGGGCGTACGGGGCGTACGCGAAGCCGGCGGCGAGGGCTCCGCCGCAACGGCGGCCGCAGCCGATGGCGAGAAATTTCTATTTTTAAGAAATCGGGCTGGGGGTCTCGAGAAGAGACATACGATGGCCGTCGCGAAAAAGATTGACGCCACGCACGCCGCGAGCCGAGGGGGTTGAGGGGGGGCAGGGGGATGTACGAACACTGCACATAGGGAAGGGTATCACGCCGAAACGACGACGAGAGTACGATCGATCGTCAGTCGTAGCCCCGCGCGTGATGAGATTGTTTTGAAACCGAACGCGAGTACGTAATACAGAATGACGAGCTTCGTTCGCGTGAGTTCTCGCCGCTTTCATCCCTCGACAACGTCTAAGTACTACTACTGTATGGAACAAACCAGGTCCTTCTTAATCCTTGGCGACCGCGAGCCGTTTCAGGTGATCCATGAACACCTGCAACGAGACGTCGTCCGTGAAGATGATGTCCCCCCCGCCGCCGCCGCCCGCGCCGCCGCTGTTGTACGTCGCCGACGGGTTCAATTTCGCGAGCAAAAAGCGCGCCTGCGATCCGTGCTGGTCGCAATCCACCAACCGCGGCGTCGGGAACCGCTGCTTTAACACGTCGTTCGCGTCCGCCTTCGGCGCCTCGAGGAGCTGCTTGAACGCGACGTGTTCCTCCTGGTCCTGGTAGTTCGCCTTCCTCCACTGCGCGATCGTCTGCCCGTGAAAGACGACGATGGAGAAAAACGCGTCCAAGACGAGGATGCGATCCGGCGTGATGGAGCACACGTCCAGCAGCACCGGCTCCGGGGGCCCGTTGAACGAGTACGCCATCAGCGTCGGCTGGATCATCACCAAAGAGTTCAGAACGTTCTCGCGCCACAATATCATGCGGTAATACGCCGTCTCGTCCGGCGAGTTGTTGAACACCTGCACGAACTGCGACCGACGAAGGTTGAACATGAACTGCGGATAAATCGAAAACTGCGGCATGAGCTGAAACGACGCCGGGTCGTCCTTCCTGTAGTCCCCGAATCGCTGACACATCCGTATGAGGTTCCGGTCGAGCCACCTCGTCGCGGCGGGACAGTCGAACTCGTCCTCCGTCTCCATCTTCCACGTGAGCTGACGCGCGACGAGCGTCGCGCCCGCCTCCTGATCGAACCCCGCGGCGACGTCGTTGACGTTGGCACCCTCCGTCCATCGCCGCGTCGTCGTCGTGACGCGCAACCGCGTCTCCCCGCTCGCGAGCGTCGCCATGGTGACGAACTGGAGGAAAAACTGTTGTTGCTGCTGCTGCGCGCCGTACCCCTGGGCGCCGTACCCGCCGTCCTGGCCGCCGCCGCCGCCGTCCTTCCCGGAGTTTGCAACCTCGAAAAAAACCGCCAGCGACGTGTCGTCCGACAGCGAGCACAACTTCCACGCCGTCGTCCCGCCGCTGCCGATGCTAACGTCCGCGATCGCGCCCGGAAGCGTCTTCTTATCCAACGGCGCGCACGGGCCGACGCACCCGGCGGTCTTCACGTCCCTGGACGTGATGACCTCGAACACCCCGCCCGCGGAGACGCCCAACGCGTCGTCTTTTCCCGTCGCGAACATTCGAGAGAAGGACGTCTTGAAGACGACGTTGGCGAAGCTCTCCGCGAGCACCACCATCCCTCCCGTCTTGTCCACGCACACCTTCATCTCCTCTAATCCGACTTGGTCTAAAGAGCACGCGAAAACGTCCAAGCAGTGACCGTTCGCGCACAACTGCGTCGCGATCGTTTCGTAATACTTGAACGCCTTGCGCATAAAAGGCGCCGCGTCCTTGGCGATGTCCTTGTGCGAACGCATCGCCTGCTCGAGATCTTTCCCCACCACCTGCCCGCCGCCGTCCGTCGCGGGGCCGCCGACGAAGAGCATCGCGCGCGCGGGCTGCGACGGCACGGAACTCGACAGCAGCGTCGCGGCGACCGCGACCGCGGTCCCGGTGCACCGCGCCGGGCGGCAGTCCGGGAGCGCGTTGAACGGGTCGCGCGAGAGCTCTTCCAGCACGCTCGTGAGCTGAGGGTCGAGGGTCCATACGAGCGAACGTCGGGGTGGAGTTCAAAGGCGTCAGAAGCGGAGTTGAAAGGCGACACGGGCGGGGATTGAAAGCGAGGGGTGGGCGGAGAGAGACGCCGGGCAAAGTCCTTAAGGAACGGCGTTCACCACGCCGACGCGGTCGTATGGGAACCAGTGTGAAATAGAACGCGCCTGAAACTCGCAATCCGCGAGCGGCGCCAAAAACCGGCTCTGGTGCCCGGCCGCGTGCGCGCCGTTCGCGCCGCCGCCGTGCATCGCCGCCGGGTGCGGGTTATTCGCCGTCATCCCCGCGCCGACGCGGTTATTCGCCCCGGACGCGCTCCTCGCGCCGGCGAACAGCTGGTCTTGGATCTGCCCCGAGGAAAACTCTTTTCCGCCTCTGAGGGTCGTTCCATACGAGCGAATGACGGGGTGGAGTTCAAAGGCGTCAGGTGGAGTTGAAAGGCGCCGAGGGCGGGGATTGAGGATTGATAGCGAGGGATGAGCGGAGAGATGCGCCGGGAAGAAAAGTCCTTAAGGATCGGCGTTCACCACCCCCACGCGGTCGTATGGGGACCAGTGTATAGAACGCGCCTGAAGACGTAACTCTTCGCGCAGTCTCCGAACCCGAGCTCGTGGACGTGTACGTGCGTGCCGTACGTGATCAACCCCACGAGCGCGTTCTCCGGAAGCAGCGACAGCGCCCTCGTGAGCGACTGCTTCAGCGCGCTCAGTTCCTCCTCGATGAGGCACACGTCCACGACGAGGAGATACGCGGGCGGCGGCGCCGCCGGTCGCTGCAACGCGTACTCGATGGTCGTGTACGTGGGAAACAGCTCCGCGGGAAGGTTCGTCTCGCTTATCGACGCGTAGTGCGGCGGGAAGTGGTTCCGCGCGTAACAGAACGGACATATCCACAGCTTGCCGTTGAAGTCCACGCGCGCGTACGGGTTCAGACACGCGGCGCAGCCTTTGCATCGCACCGGGTCGTAGGGCACGACGGGCATGTCCGGGAGGGGTTTTCGCGGGGTCACCACCGCGCCGAGGGGGACGACGCACTTCGCCGCCTCCGCCTTGCTGTTCGGCCAGACGTTCCTGGAGGGACGCGACGCGGTTGGGGGAAGAGGAGGGAAGGACGAGGGACGATCGCGCGGGGGACGTCAGCGAGCGCGCGACGGGGGAGGAGGCGGTCGGTCGATCGATCGGTAAGATCTGAGGCGCTGTCCGTTGGGGCGAGCGCGCGACGGGCGAGTGCGGGGGGGGCGACGCGTCGCGTCGCGCACCACGACAGCCGGACGCCGTCGACGGCCTCGAGCGCGCCCCAGTCCGGGGTCTGCATCGCGCGCGTCTGGTCGTCTCCTCCTTCTCTTCTCGATCCGTCGAGGCGCCGCGGCGACGCGCCGCGGCGACGCGCGGGCGCCTCGTGGATGCCGCCGCGCGACCCGCGGCCTCCTACTTTCGTCGCCCGCCTCGCGCGCGCGAACCGAACGCGCGACGCTCTCCTCGCGACGCCTCCGTCGACGCGCTCGCGCGTGCTCGCGCTCGCGAAAGACGCGCGCGCGGCGGTTCGGTGCGATCCCCGAACGGCGAACGCGACGTCGCGCGGTGCTCACTGCGCGCGTCGGCGAGGACTCGGTTTAGACGGAGACGACGGATGTTTGATGATGAGCGCTCGGACCTCGGAGGGAGACTTGCTTGATGATGAGACGCGCCGTGCCCCGGCGAAACCGCAGTTGATCGTGGATCGAGCAAGGTCGGTTTCAAGTTAGTCGGGTAAAAAAAAAGTGAACCCGCGTCTTCCCGGTGAGAAAATTTTCATCGGTGCCGCCAGTTCATCGCATTCGTTATCCTCCACGTCGCCCGCGCGTCGAGCGGCGCGCACACCCCGACGCGCGACCATGGCCGCCACGATCGTCTCCTCCGTTTCCCTGACCGCTCGCCCGAGGGCGGCGACGCGCGAGCTCCGCGCGCGCGCCGCGCCCGCGAAGGCGACGCGCGTCGTCGCGCTCCGCGCGTCCTCCGAGAAGGCGCGTCCACCGCGACGACGTCTTCATCATCTTCACATCATCAGCATCACCTTTCGCGTCGCGTCGCGTTTCCGTCCCCGAGCGCCGGCCGCGCTTCGACGCCACGCTTCGACCCGACGTCTCCCGACTGACCTCGACTCCGCCCTACCCTATATCGAATCCGATCCGCGGCAGGTCGAAGCGACGACCTCCAGGCGCGAGGTCGCGGTCAAGGCGCTCGCGGCGCTCACCGCGGCGGCCGCGATCCGCCCCGCCCCGGTGCGTCCGCGATAACGCGACACGACGATCGATCGCGCGGTCGCGCGCGTCGAACCCTAACCCTAACCCTAATAACCAACCCTAACGCATCAAACAAACCCCGCGCCCCTCCGCCCCAACCCCCAGGCCCTCGCGCTCTTCGGCTTCGGCGCGGACAAGGAGACGGTGTACGCGGAGCAGACGACGGCGGTGATCAACCAAGTCAAGCTCACCCTGGAGCTCCCGGGGGACTCCCCCGAGAAGGCGGCGGCGATCGAAAAGACGCGGCAGCTGACGAACGCGTGGGTCGCGAAGTACCGCCGCGATAAGGGCATCACCGGCCGGCCGTCGTACGGGAACGTGTACAGCGCGCTCAACGCCGTGAGCGGTCACTACAACAACTTTGGGACGAAGTACCCGCTCCCCGCCAAGAGGAAAGATCGCGTGATGCAAGAGTTTGGCACCGCCGAGATCGCGCTCTCTCGCGGACGCTAAGTAACGACGCGCCAGGGCGAGGCGTTATTACAGTACGTATTAAGGGCGAGCGATGGTGAACGGAAGAAAAGATCCGAGATCTATCCGGGGGAAGAGAAGAGAATAAACGTGGAACGTGTAATACACAATAGGTGCGTTCGTCGTCGCGGCTCGCGCGCGCGTTCCCTCGAAAAAATAAACCAATTCTCGCGGATCTTCGCGCCGCCGCCGCGGCTACAGGTTCGCGCGCGCGAGCAGCTCCTTATCGATCGTCGCGAACGTATCGTGGTAAAACGCCCGAAACGCAGGCGTTTTCAGCGCCGCGTACGCCGCGTCCTCCAAGCTCCTGTGCTCCGTCTTGCGATCCTTCACCTTGACCTCGTACTCTACCTCGTCGTCCTCCACGGTGTCCCGGCTCGCCTCCGGGACGCGCATCGTCCCCTTCACGACGATCGGCGCCGGCTCCTCCTCCTCCTCCTCCTCCTCCTCCTCCTCCTCCTCCTCCTCTTCATCCTTCTTCTTCTCTTCCTCTTCCTCCGCGTCCAGCGGCGGCGGCTTCGGCTTCTTCGTCTTCTTCTTCTTCGCCGAGGGTACTCCCGGGAACGTCGCCTCCCATTCGAACGTCGCGTCGAAGTCGAACCCGTGGCGGTTCTTCCCGCGGACGAGCACCACCGTGGCGTCGCCGTCGAACGTCTTCACTTTGGTGATAACGCACTCTCCGCCGCCGTTACACTTCACCATCTTCCCGAGCACGAGCTCTTCCACGCGCGCTCTCGCCCAGTCCGTGTGCCCGCGCTCCTCCCACGTCGTCCCGTCTCTGTTCCACGACGAGACGCCGCCGCCGACGCTTCCCTGAGGGCCGTTCCGTACGAGCGAACGAACGTCGGGGTGGAATTGAAAGGCGTCAGAAACGGAGTTGAAAGGCGACGAGCTCGGGGATTGAACGCGAGGGATGGGCGGAGAGATACGCCGGGAAGAAAAGTCCTCAAGGAACGGCGTGCACCGCGCCGACGCGGTCGTACGGGGACCGGTGTAATAACAGAACGCGCCTGAGACTCGAGCTTCTTCGCTTCCTCCTCGGAGAGCTTCACGGGCTGCGCCCTCGGCGCGGTCCCCTGGTTCGCCTGCTCGTGCCAGTAGTGGTACCCCCCCGCGGCTTTGTCCTTCTCCTTCTCATGCGCCGGCGGCGGCGTCGTCGTCGCGTCGGCGGCCGACGTCTTCTTTATACCCATCGACGCGGCGGCGGCGGCGGCGGCGGACGACGACGAAGAAACGATCTTCTTTGTTTTTTTCTTCTTCTTCGAAGCCAACGTCGAAGACGCGGTCGGCGACGATGACGGCTTCCCGGCGCGCGCGAGCGGACGCGCTCTGATGAACGCGGAGAGCGCGGCGACGAACCCGGACGCGACCGTCCGGGCGGCGGACGAGAGCGCGTTCCCGATGCCGGCGTGCGGGACCGCGCGGCGGCGAAGTGGCGCGGGGAGACGAAAGATCCAGCCACGCGGCTCATCAGACCTCGTCTGACTGAGAGAAAACGGACCGTCGCGTCGCGCGCGCGCGGGAATCGACGATTTCGTCGCGGCCGTCGAGAGGCTCTACTCTGCTCTACGCGTTCAATGTCGTCAATACAATCGCGCGTCGCCGTCTACACCGCGCCTCGCTTCCTCCCCCGGGCGGGGCGTCGTTCGCCCTCCGTCGCGCGCGTCGCTCGTCGTCCGTCGCCTCGTCGCATCATCGATCCTCACCGCGGGATGATGGGCTTTTTTTTCTTGCGCGGATACGTGCAGTAGCAGTACGCGGCTAAGCAAGCCGTGACCATCATGAGCGGGCCGCCCGCCCACATCATGATCAGGCTCTTCCAGCTTATGAACCACGCCATCGTCGCGAAGCGGCGCGCGGCGTGTTTCGGCGACGGGGGCGGCGCGCGCCGCGAGTTGTGCGCGACGGACGAGCGCGCCCTCGTTGAACTCCTCAATGTACTCACTCGCGGCCCGGTCATCATTTTTCGCGCGCGATCGATCGGTCGCGTCGGCAGTGATCGCCCGCGCGCCCCGCGCCGACGAGCGAGGTCGTCGCGATGAACGGGCAGCAGGAGACGCTGGGCGCGAACGCGCCGCCGAAACCGAAGACGTCCAAGGCGCGTCTCGACGCCGCGAACGATCGCGCGCGCGCGCGCCGGTCGATCGTCGCCGTGCGTCGTAGTACGAATTCCCCGCTCACCGCCCCCCGTCCTCCTCCTCCTCCTCCTTCTCCTCTCTCTCTCTCTCTCTCTCTCTCTCTCTGCAGGGCGGCAAAGGCAAGAAAGCCGCCGCCGCGTCCGCGACGCCCGCGGTGCAGCCCGTCGCGGTGAAGACGAAGAAGGGCACGGTCAAGCTCAACGCGGCCGCGCTGAAAGTGAATAACGCGAAGGCCCCGAGCGCGGAGATCCTCGAGGAGCTCGCCGCGCGATTCGTCCTCAACTGCCCCGCCGAGGAGCTCAACTCGTTCGAGCGCATCTTGTTTCTCGTCGAGCAAGCGCACTGGTACTACGAAGACTTCGTCAGGGAGGAGGAGGAGCACAAACACCGGCTGAAGTCGATGTCGCTGAAGCAGTTCGCGGGGCTCATGTTCAACAAGTGCGCGCCTCTGCGGCGGTACAAGGACAAAGTCGACGACATCTACAAGGCGTTTACGAATTACAAGCTCTCCGTCCCGGTCGGCGGCATCATCATCCTGAACCCGGACATGAGCAAAGTTCTGATGGTGAAGACGTGGAAGGGCTCGTCGTGGGGGTTCCCGAAGGGGAAGATCAACAAGGACGAGCCGGAGAGCGTCTGCGCGGCGCGAGAGGTGTTGGAAGAGGTTGGCGTCGACTTTTCCGCCTACGTCCGCGACGAAGACTCGATCGTGATGAACCGGGTCGTGGACCACGAGACCGGTCTGAAGCAGCGGAGCCGGCTGTTCATCGTCGCCGGCGTCAGCGAAGAGACCGGGTTCGCGACGCAGACGAGGAAAGAGATCGGCGCGATCGCGTGGCACCCGATATCGACGCTCGCGGGCGGCGTAGTAGCGGGCGGGAAGTACTTCTTCGTGAAGCCGTACGTCCAGCCGTTGCTTAAGTGGATCAAGGCGTCGAAGAAGAAGCGGAAGCGCGGCGGCGCGGGGGGTGGGGGGAAAGGCGCACCAGGGGGGGGGCTGGGCGCGCCCGCGTCGCCGGCGGGACAGACCGGCGGCGGCGCGGCGTTCGAGCCCGCGGCGCAGTACACGCCGAAGGGCGCAAAGGCGCCCGCCGCGCGGTTTCCGAGCTTCCTCGGCTTCGTCTTCGACCGCGTCAGGCGCGTTCTATCTCACACTGGTCCCCATACGACCCCGTCGGCGTGGTGAACGCCGTTCCTTAAGGACTTTACTTCCCGTCGTCTCTCTCCGCCCAGGGTCCCTCGCTTTCAATCCCGACACACCTCGGCGCCTTTCAACTTCAACTGACGCCTTTCAACTCCACCCCGACGTTCGCTCGTATGGAACGGCCCTCAGGGTGTCGCGAGCGCTCGAGGGGTGAGCGCGACGCGTCGAGTCAGGTAGACCGCGTTTGAACGCGTCGCTCGCCAGCCTTTCAACGCGTCGTATCATATCGTATCGTATCGTATCGTTCGTTCGCACGTCGTCGTCGTCGTCGTCGCGCGCGCCGCTGCCGTTCCCAGCTTTCGTTCTCGGTCACTCGCGCGCGACACGTCACGCTCACTCGAAAACTTCTAGAAGGATTTTTTTCCCTTTACGCGCGGGGGGGGATCGTCACACGCGACGCGCGCCTCCGCCTTCCTCGCGCGCGCGTCCCCCCCTTCGCGGCGCGCGGCGGGAGGGAGAGCGCGGGTTCGCGGCGCGTCATGACCGACGGCGGCGACCGCGACGACGCGCGAGGGACGCCGCGCGACGGTCGCGGCGCGACGATCCCCGAGGGCGACGATTCCGCGGGGCGCTCGCCCGAGGGCGACGACGACATGTCTTTACACGCGGAGGGCGCGACCGCCGCGGATCAGCTCGCGCGCGCGGAGCTGAAGAAGCGGACGCTCGAAATGTGGCTCGCGCTGAAGGACACGAGGGTGAAGCTCGATCTCTACGGCGGGTGCGCATTCGCGCGCGTTCTTCCCGTCCGTCCGCGCGACGCGTCGCGCGCCCTTCGTCCCCGCCCCCCCGCGATTCTTTCTTCCGAACCACAGTGCACAGCTGAAAAAGCGACGCGTCACCGAACGAATCGATTTTTACTCATCCCTCGTCGTCGTCCTCCTCCCACTCCTCGTCGCAGCGTGGAAGTATCCGGGGTGTTCCAGGCCGTGGACGCCACGAGCGAGACGTTACTCGTGAGCGAGCTCGACAGCGGCGTCGGCGTCGTCCCGGTCGCGCGCGTGCGATGGTCCGACGTCCTGTCGGTGACGACTTTGCCGCGACTGGAGCGCGAGAGCGAGAGCGCGCGATGGGGTCGGGAACACTCGCGCGGGGGTTGACCGAGGCGCGCGATCGGATCGATCGATCGATCGATCGACCGACGTCGTCGCGCCTTCCCGTGTTGTACTGTGTGTGTGTTTGGGAGGCGCGAGCGCCGCGGTAGGGGAGGGGGCTGTGTTGTAGACGACCGGGTGAGTGAGAACCTGGTGTTGTTTGGTCGTAGACTTGAGCTTCAGTTGTAAACGCGAGAAAGCTTCGCGATCGGTGTCGACGTTCGCTCCCCACTCGACGCGCGCGCGTCCCCGCGGGCGACGGTCCGTCCGTCGGGGATGCCTCGCGACCGCGGCGGCGGCGGCCTCGCGCCGCGCCGCCGCCGCGCGACGGAGTTCGGAGCCCCCGCCGCCGGCGCCAAGGGCGACGGCGTCGTCGCGTCGCGATCGCGCTACGAGAGCCTCGCGATCTCGAGAGGACTCGCGCGACACGCCAACGACGACCCACACCGCGAGGAGGCCTTCACGCGCGCCGCGCTCGAGCTCGCGCACGTCCTCCGCGCGTGTTACGCGTCCTCGAGCAAGGACGCGAGGGAGGCGATGACGCGAGACGCGATCGCGGGCGCCTCGCGCGCGGCGCATCTCGCGACGTCGAGACAGCTCGCGGCGTCGCACGCGCTGCGACGCGCGGCGGTCGCGACGCTGCCGAGCAAGCGACGCGAGGCGTTCGAGCGCGCGCACGCCGCGGCGGCGGTGACGCGCGCGCGGGACGCGAAGAAGCGTCGCGCGCGCGCGGCGGAGGCGGAGGCGGAGGCGGAGGCGGAGGAGGAGGAGCTCGACGACGACGCTCCGGACGACGCCGCGTCGCCGACGACGACGACGCGCGCGCGCGACCTCCCGGACGACGTCCTGCGCGCCGTGTTCGACCGTCTCAACCCGTGGGACCTCGGACGTTGCGCGGCGACGTGCGCGCGCTGGCGCGCGCTCGTCGCGGGCGCGGAGCGCGCGTGGAAGAGAGGATGCGAAGACGCCGCGACGACGGCGGCGGCGGCGGAGCGAACGAGGAGCGCTCTCGGCGACGCCGCGTCGTGGCGCGACGCGTTCGTCGCGCTCGTCGCGACGTCGACGTCGACGTCGACATCGCGCGCGGGGGCCCGCGATGGAGGAAGAAGAACAGCGCCCGCGATCGCTGAACCGTCCGGACGCGCGTGGTGCGAGCGGTGCGAGACGTATCGATGGACGTGGGACGACGGCGGCGACGGGGGCGTCGCGTGGCCGGCGGGGCACCGCGATTCGCACCGCGTCCGGACGGGCGCGATGGGCGCGGCGTTCGTCGTCGACCGGGTCCTCGGAGGGGGCGGGGATGGCGACAGCGACAGCGACAGCGACAGCGACAGCGACAGCGACAGCGATGGCGGCGGCGGCGGCGGCGGCGAGGCGACGGACGTCGCGCGGCGGATGCGGTTGTGGAGGATACGCGGGCAGTAGCGAGCGAGAGCGCGAGACGGGAACGATTTAGGATAGCCGACGAGTACGTACTGTATTAACAAAATAATAAAACACGAGAGCGCGCCGTCGAAACACGACACGCCCCCTCGACTGGATTTCTTCCTTTCGCGGCGGCGACGCGCGTCAGAATCCGTCGATGACGTCGTAGGCCTCCATCACGACGAGCGCGAGAAACACGGCGTATAAGAACACCATGGACGCGCCCAAAAATTTCGTCATCCGCCACTTGCAAAAAGCGATGATCGAAATGATGCAGACGATCATGATGATGAGAAGCGTCAGCGCGAACCCCAGGGATTCGCTGCTCACGGTCATCGCTTTCGCGCTGTGCGCGGCGGACCACAGCAGCCACGGAAGCGGGAGACCGAACGTGATGTCGAAGATGTTTGAGCCGATGGACGACGACACCGCCATGTCTCCGAGGCCTTGACGCGCGACGATCACAGAGGACAAAAGGTCCGGCACGGACGTCCCCGCGGCGAGGATCGTGTACCCCATGACGACGTCGTCGATGCCGAGAACGTCGCCGACGACGGTCGCCCACCACACCATGAAGTACGAGAAGAAGCCGATGTAAAAGATGCTCTCGAAAAACACGACCATGAACAGATGCGTCTTCTTCTTGCAGTTCGGGACCGTGTAATAGAAGAGGTACATTAGCGGCGCGGCGATGACGTAGTAGATCTGCGCGGCTTTGCCCTCCGGCCACGAGAGGTCGATCCCCTCGTCGTCGTCGTCGGCGTCCGCCGCGACGGCGGCGGCGGGCTTCGCGATGTTCTTCGAGAACTGCCGCGAGATTTTCCGCTTCATCTGCGGCGCCGCGGCATCCGCCGACTCCGTCACCGGTCCGGGGGGAACGCGCGCGCGCGTCGTCTCCGCGGACTCGTTCACCGGGCCTTTGCCCTTCGGCAGCGGCGACACTTGGTTACCCTTCGGTTTGCCTCCGTCTCCGTGCTTCGCGTTCTCGTTGTGCCCCAAGTTCCTCGACACTTCCTTCACGAAATCCGTCTGCTTCAGAACCTTCACCTTTACCCACGTCTCCACGCGCGCGTTGAACTTCATGAAGATCACGTACATGACGTAAAAGAAAAGCATCAGACCAGACTCCCACACGCGCGTCGTCTCCGCGGACTCGTTCACCGGGCCTTTGCCCTTCGGCAGCGGCGACACTTGGTTACCCTTCGGTTTGCCTCCGTCTCCGTGCTTCGCGTTCTCGTTGTGCCCCAAGTTCCTCGACACTTCCTTCACGAAATCCGTCTGCTTCAGAACCTTCACCTTTACCCACGTCTCCACGCGCGCGTTGAACTTCATGAAGATCACGTACATGACGTAAAAGAAAAGCATCAGACCAGACTCCCACATCGCGATCTTCTCGTCCTGGAAGAACACGTACAGCATGCAAAGGTCGAAGACGTAGAACGTGCAATCTCTCGCGAGCGGCCACCACGTGAGCTCCAAGACTTCGTACGAGAAAAACGCGCACGCGCCGATGACGAAGAGCACGTTGAACACGGCGCTTCCGATGATGGTGCCGAAACCGACGTTGCTCTTCGCGATGAAGACGCCGATGAGGGACGTGAAGAGCTCCGGGGCGGACCCGCCCGCGGCCATGAACGTCGCGCCCGCGACGTCGTCTTCGATCTCGTACCTGTCGCACAAGACCTCGAGCGCCGGGACGAAGAAATCGTCGCAGATTATCGCGATCGCGATGAACGTGTACAGGACGCCGACGACGTGGAGCATGAAGAAGCCGCTCTTGTTTTGGCTGTCGCTGAACAGGTCGGGGGGGTAGAGCTCGCCGAGGAGGCTCCTGCCCGCGCCGCCGCCGTCGCGCTCGTGCGGGTGGTCGATACCGAGCGCGTCTCTCGCCGCGGACGCGAGCGCGGACGTGTGCGCGCTCACGAGTCCCATCGTCGCGGCGGCGACGAGGAACACCGTCGCGCGCATGATGCGGACCTGCTTGCGCCCGGCCCTCGTGCGCCGCATGCGCGCGAGGGAGCCTAACATCGCGCCCGCGCGCGTGACTCGCGGCGTTGACGAGCCCGCGGGAGGGCGACCGTCGGGGGGGCGATTCAACAACGACGCGCGTAACACGTGCGCGCCTCCTTGCCGTTGCGAGTCTCAACCCAAATGCAGCGACGATTGTTGATTACGGGGATCGCGCGTCCCGTCCCCGCGCGCGCCGTCTCTCCTCGCGACGACGGCGCCTCGCGCGGGCGACGTTCCGTTCGTACGACGCTTCGAGCGCGCGCGCGAAATTAGCAGCGCGGAGTGGTTCGCGCGCGCGGCGAGCCGCGGTGTGACGCGGGCGCGTGAAACGTGACGCACGATCGTAATTTCCCACGCGGCGCGGTTCGGATCATCATCAATCAACTTTTATCGGACAGGACACCCCGCGACCATTCAGCGCCCATTTTTGAAAGCACAACACGGCGAATGTTTGAAAGCAAAACACGGTGAATGTTTGAAAGCAAAACACGGTGAATTCGAAAGCGCGGGGATCTCCCGGCGAAAAAACGCGTGAACGTGGATTGGAGCGCCGCTTTTTTGGGCACGTGGAATGTAGGCAGAGATGTAGGCAGCCTCAGATCCCAGAACGCGGCGCCTCGAACGGACGACGTGATGTCGTCGGCACCGGACGCGCCGAAGCGGAAGCTCGAAGACGTCGTCGACGATCCGTCGGCGGGAGCGTCGGAGGGACGAGCCGCGGACGACGCGTCGACCGAGCGCGAGGTCCCCGCGTCGGAAGCGGAAAATCCAGGTGAAAAGATCTCGTCAGCAGCGGGCGCGTCTCCCGACGCTCCGCACGTCGTGCCGACGGAGGGCGCGCGCGCGTCCGTCTCCGTGGAGGAGCTCCTGGAGTCGCACCTGGAGTCCACGCGCGTGCACCGCCGCGGCGCGCTCGCGTGGGCGTTCTTCCCGTCCGCGCTGTTCCACCCCGCGCTGCCCGAGCCGAGCGGCGATTCCGTCGTCGTCGCGGCAGAAAAGAACGGCGACGACGACGTCGCGGAGCTCAAGCCCGGAGTCTTCGGCGCGACCGCGACGAAAGAGGGCGCAAAGTACGTCACGTGCGTCGCGTGCCACCCGAACGGCATCGCCGCGGAGGACGCCGCGAGGCTGTGGCGCGGGAAGCAGACGGGCGTGTTCAAGTACCACTGGAGAACGGGTCAACGGAGCATCACCGAGCACGTGGCGAACAACCACGCGACGCTCGTGGCGGAGTTGGAGGACGCCAAGCGCGTTTACCTCGCGAAGAACGGCGGTTCCGAGATGGGGGGGCTGGGGGGCGGATCAGCGGCGAAGTTCGGAGTGGGCACGGGCGCGGCGCACCACGCGAACGGCGGCGGCGGTTTCAGCGGCGGGAGCAGCAGCGGCAGCGGCGGCGGCGGCGCGCGCGGTGCCGGCGGCGGCAGAGGAAAGAATAAGAAGCACAAGAAAAACGTCCTAAACGTCGAGCGCGGCGCCGACGCGCTCGCCGCGCTGAGCAACGGCGGAACGATCCTCGGCGGGTTGTTCCCTGCCGACCGCGCGACGTCTCGAGGCGGCGTCTCGAACGTCGCACTGGAGCTCCTCGACGGCGTTCTCGGCGGCCCGGCGGCGGCGACGACGACGGATTCGATCGCCGTCGGGTTGAGCGCGTTTCTCCAAAACTCAGGTGCGTTCTATACAAAAGTTTTTCACCCATCGCCCGGTTTCAACACTTGATCGCGTCCCCTTTCAACTGACCGGTGAACTTTTTTTGTATGGAATGGCCCTCAGCCGCCGCAAACGCGCTGTCGTCGGGGCGCGACTCATTCGGCGGCATCGCGCTCGAGGCCGCCCCCCCCGTCGGCGGCGGCGTCGACCGCCCGCGGATAATCGACCTTCGAAGCGACACGGTGACGAAACCGACGCAGACGATGCGCGCGGCGATGGCGACGGCGATTTGCGGCGACGACGTCTTCGGGGACGACCCGACGGTGAAAGATTTAGAAATCGTCGTCGCGGCGGCGTTCGGGAAAGAAGCCGCGCTGTTCGTGCCGTCGGGAACGATGGGGAACCTGATCGCCGTCGGCGTGCACTGCGAAGTCAGAGGAAGCGAGTTCATCTGCGGCGATCTGTCGCACGTGCACATATACGAGCAAGGCGGGTTATCGACGCTGATGGGCGCGCACCCGAGGGCGCTCAAGAACGAAGACGACGGCACGATCGATCTCCAGCGGATACGAAACGCGTTCCGGTCGGACGACCAGCACTTCCCGCGCACGACCGTGCTGTGCATCGAGCAGACGCACAACAAGAAGGGCGGGCGGGTGCTGCCGCTGTCGTACGTCGACGACTGCGGCGCGTTGTGTAAGAGCCTGGGGATTCAGTTGCACGTCGACGGCGCGAGGATATGGAACGCGGCGATCGCGCAAGGGGTAACCCCCGCGCGCGCGGTCCAAGCCGCGGACTCGGTGTCCGTGTGCCTGAGCAAAGGCCTGGGCGCGCCGGTCGGGAGCGTGATCGTCGGGAGCGCGCCGTTCATCGCGAAGTGCCGGCGGCTGCGAAAAGCGTGCGGCGGGGGCATGCGGCAGGCGGGGACGCTCGCGGCGGCGGCGATGATGGCGCTGCGCGAGGTGTGGCCCGTCATGAGCCTGGACCACGTCCGCATGAAGCGGCTCGCGGCTGGGTTGCAGAAGATCCCGGGCGTGGAGGTGTCCTCCCCGATCGAGACGAACATCTGCTTCGTGACGTTTCCCCCCACGGCGGACGTCGGCGACGTCGTCGTGGCGTTGAAGCGCGAACACGAGATCGTCGTCATCCCGTGGACGACGCCCAACTCGATTCGGATCGTGACGCACCACGAGATCAACGACGCGGCGGTGCAGGCGGTCGTCGACGGCGTGACGCGGGTGCTGGCGAACATGTACAGAGGAGGGAGATAGAACAGATACTAAGAGAGAAGGGGACGCGCCGACGCTAAAAGCTGTGCTACGCGACGGCGTCGTAATAAAAAAAAACCGCCCGACGCTCAACATGCCGACCACGATGAAACGACGCGCGCGTGTGCGAACGTGCGAACGTGCGAACCGCGTCCGCGTCGTCGCTTCGCTTCAGCTTCACTTCTTCTTCCCCGGCGTCCACTCGCACGCGCTGCCCTCGGCGACCGCCGCCGCCGCCGCCGCCTCCGCTTTTTTTTTCCCCGGCTTCCACTCGCACGCGCTCCCGGCCGCCACCGCGCCTCCCGCGCCGCCGGCCAGCTTCTCCCGGTGCGCCGCCTGCGTCTTCAGCGCCTCGCGCACGCGGTGCTGCAACGGACCGTACTTCCCGCTCGAGATCGTCTCCAAAAATGCCGAAGGGTCCACCTCGATCGGCCGGTCCCTGTCGCTCGCGACGACGCAGACGAAACCGAACGGCTCCTTCGCGTCCTTCTCGCATCGCAACTGGTGCACGTCCATCGGCGCGGTGTACGCGACGTCGCCGACGTTCACCGGGTACACGCGCGGGCCGAGTTGCACGACCCCGGACCCGCGCACGCCGACGACCGCGTGCTCGTGCTCGTGCTTCTCGAGCGTCGTCCACCCGCCGGGGGCGACTTCGAAGTACCGGACGTGGAACACCGTGGACTCGCCGCGCTTGCCCAAGAGTTCGTACCGGCTGCATCCGCTGAACGACGCGCCGTCCATCTTGTACATCTCCTGCGGGATGCGGTCCCACGACCAGTCCGCGAGCTTCGGGCGGTGGAAGACTTTAGAGTAGTTGCCGTCCACGGGCGTGGGCGGCGCGGCGACGCCGGGGGGGAGCGTCCCGCCCGCGCCCGCGCCGCCGCCGCCGTTGGACACGAGCGTCGTGAGCCGCTCGAGCTTCGCCTCGACGCTCGCGTACTGCGCCCTGAGCGCCTTGAGCTCGCGACTCTCCGCGGTCTCCGCGGGCGCGGCGGAAGGACTAACTGGGGGAGGATGATGGTGATGCACTTTCGGCGCCGGAACTTTCGCGAACGGCGCCCCGCCGGCGTCGTTCGCGTACGGACTCTTCCTCGCCTTCGCGAGGTTCGCCGGCGACGCCGCGGTCATGGACTCGAACGCGGCGCCGAACCCTTTGTAGTCGTCCGGCACGCGCGGCGGCGCGGGGGATAAAGACACGCGACCAGGGTGCGCCGCCGCCGTCGAGAGAGACACGGCGCCCTCGGGCGCGGGCGAGAGAGACACGGCGCCCGCGCGCGGGGAGCGATCGCGATGGCGACGCTCGCTCGCGCTCAGCCTCGGCGACGACGACGACGACGCGTGAACGCCGCCAAAACCGCCATGCTCGCCGCGGACGTTCTCGAGCGGCCCGTACGTATCCTGCCTCCCCGCGACGCCCAAGAAGTGCCGCGCGTTCGCGACCAAATCCGGCGAGTGCCCCATCAGCGACCCGCCGATGAGAAGCATGACGTCCTCGCCGTAGACCTCGTTCATCTTCCGCACTCTCTCTAACGTCATCCCGCCGCCGGGGCAGGGCACGATCGCGGGCGTTGACCCCAACTTTTGTCTCGACCCGAGCGCGATGTCGCGGCACTCGCGCTCGCTGAACCCGAACCTCCCTCCGAAGGACGGGAAGATGGTCGCGTCCGCGCCGCAGAGCCGCGGCAAAATACCGAGCAACACCTTATGCGAGAATCCTCGGATCGGGACGTCGTCCGGACCGTCGCTTCCGCCGCCGAGCATCGCGCCTAATATCGCGGGGTGGCACACGATCGGAAGCCCGAAGGATGGGTCCTCCGCGAGCCGTCGCATCGCGTCCAGGCCGCCGATCCCTGGGATCATGAGCACCGCGCCGGCGCCGCACGCCTAAGGGTCGTTCCGTACGAGCGAATGTCGGGGTGGAGTTGAAAGGCGTCAGTTGGAGTTGAAAGGCGTCGAGGGCGGGGATTGAAAGCGAGGGGTGATGGGCGGAGAGATGCGACGGGAAGGAAAGTCCTTAAGGATCAGCGTTCACCACGCGAACGCGGTCGTATGGGGACCAGTGTAAGGAGAACGCACCTTGGCGAACTTCGCGCGCGGAACGATCAGATCCGCAGGCGCGTTCAGACACGGCGCGTACACGCACCGCCGTCCCGTCTCCGCGTTCGCGCGCCTGACCGCGGCGCAGCACGCGCGCACGCGCTCCTCGTACGGCGCGTAGTTTTGATTCGCGAGGCCGTGGTCGTCTTTGATGAGATCGATCCCCCCCTTTGCGAAATCGTACGCCATGGACGCGAGCGCCTCGGGGTCGTTCCATACGAAGCGATGTCGGGGTGGAGTTCATAGGCGTCAGAAGCGGAGTTGAAAGGCGTCGATGGCGGGGATTGAAAGCGAGGGGTGGGCGCAGAGACACGCCGGGAAACGTCCTTAAGGATCGGCGTTCACCACGCGAACGGGGTCGTATGGGGACCAGTGTGAGATAGAACGCACCTCGACGTCGCTCCCCATGGGTTTCAGCGCCGTCATGAGCATCGGCCCGCGCAGAACGCCCAGGATCTCGCGCAGCCCTCTGACCCCGTGCCGCGGCCCGAAGAAGGACGACAGCAGCGACGGCGACAGCGCGAGGTCGGTCACCATGACGTTCTCCTTGATGGACGTGTTCCCGAACAGCACGTTGAGGAGTTGCGGGATCTCGCCCCCGGTCGTGTTGTCGTGATATCGCACCACCGCCTCCCATCGCGTCAGCGCGCTCTGGCGGTGAGGACGATGAGGAGGACGTTGCGTCGTCGTCGTCGTCGTTTCAAACGCGGTGTTGGCGCCTTTCGATTTCGGCTGCCACGCGCTCCTGCGAAGCGACTCGCACTTCCCGACGACGTGTTCGTGGATCCACGTCCCGGGCGGGACGAGCTCGAGCGGGAGCTCCACGGTTTGCTCCAGGCACAGCGCGTCGACGATCGCCCTCGCGGCGGGTTCGTCGCGCGCGGCGATCGTGTACGTCACGCGGAAGTGCGGCGGCGGCATCGCGGCGGACGCGGCGCGCGCGCGGGGGGGGCGGGCCGGGGCCGGCGGCGCGCGCGTGGATGGATGGGTGACGACGACGGCGCGTCCGGTGCCGAGAGCCGACTTGAGAGAAAAATACCGGTGACGGCGAGAAGGATTTTTTGCTGCAGGCGCGCCACGGGCCAACGCGGTCGATACCACCCTGCTGACCGGCGAGCGAGGCCTCTGATCCTAAAAATCGGTCGTGTTGATCGGCAAAAATCCCGCCAGTCACCGACGCGGACGCGAGGCCTGCGGCGAGAAGTGCGTTTCGAAGTTTCTCGAAATTCCATCTCGTATGGGCAATCAGTCACACGTGTCAGCCCCGAAAGGTCGAAAACGCGGCGCTTTCGGCAAGTGAAAATCTTGGTTGACCTTTCGCGTTCGGACAGACGGCCTCCTCTCGATCGGACACACGTTGATCGGACGCGACATTCGTCGCCGCGTCGCGCGCGAATCCGACGGGGCGCGGACGGCACGCACGGCGCGATGACGTCCGCTCGGAATATCGCGCCGGAGAGCCCGACCTCGAAGGCCGGCTCGCCGTTAGGGAGCAACAAGAGCTCGCCGTCGCGCCCGCCGATCGCGCGCAAATCGTACAACACCCTCGAGGGCGTGGAGAACCTTGGGACGACGCACCTGGAGTGGGGCGAGTACAAGCTCCTTCGGAAGATCGGCGTCGGCGCGTTCGGCGAGGTCGCGGCGTATCGCAACGTGAACAGCGGTCGATCGCTCGCGGTGAAGATGCTCAACAAAGCGGCCGCTGTGGACGAGAAGGCGATCGAGGACCTCGAGAGCGAGGTCTTGCTCCTCTCGATGCTCTCGCATCCGCACCTCGTCTCTCTCGAGGGCGTCGGGTACCTCCCCGTCAGCGGCAAGCTGTTCGTCGCGACCGAGTTCCTGGGCGCCGGGAACTTGCAGAAGCTCGTGCAGGAGGCGTCCGTGACCCCGGGGCGGTTCAACGACGCGGACATCACGAAGTGGATGTTGCAGAGCGCCGAGGCGCTCGCGTATTTGCACTCGAGGGATCCGCCGATCGTGCACCGCGACCTCAAACTCGCGAACATCGTGCTGGACGGCAACTACGACGCGAAGATCATCGACTTCGGGTTAGCGCGGATGATGGGCGTGGAGAAGGTCACGACGACGGTGCGGGAGAGCTTCGGGCCGGGGTATTCGAACGCGAGCTCGGGCGCGGCGTCGCGCGCGTCCTCGGAGTCGCCGAACGGCAGCCGCGAGAGCTCGCTTCGGCACGGGTTGGCGCTCATCTCGGAGCACAAAGACGGCAGCGGCAGCAACTCCGGGCGGGATTCGCCCCCGATACTCGGGGGGATTTCGAAGAAGAAGAACTACGCCAAGCAGAAGACGGACAGCGGCGGGAAACCTCTGTATCTCATGACGGGCGGCACGGGGAGTTTCAAGTACATGGCGCCCGAGGTGTACAAGGGAGAGCCGATGAACGAACGACTGGACGTGTACTCGCTCGCGATGATCGCGTACGAGCTCCTCACGAGGCAGATTTTCTTGACCGGGATGTATAAGAACCTTCACAACGGGTTCACGCACGAGTACGACGCGGAGGAGTGGGCGAGCGAGGCGGCGATCGACGAACGACGGCCGCCGCTCGAGGCGGTGTCCGATTTCGAGTGGAAAGAGCTCCTCCCGTCGATGTGGATCGGGGAGGTGGGGAAGAGGATGAGCGCGTCGCAAGCCGCGGAGGAGCTCAGGGCGATGCACGAGAGGACGAAAGAGAAATGCACAGCCCCGGGCGCGATGCAGCCGCAGTGCGGCTGCGTGCTGATGTGATCGATGACGACCGCGGTCGAACGATCGATCGAACGAAAGCGCGACGAGGAGAGTAGCGTACTAAGTACAAAAGTACTTTCGTAACTACACGTACACTGTAGTGATCTAAACGATCTAAACGGCAGAGCCAACGAGGACCACGGAAAGCTGCTCGCTTCACTTTTTTGTCTGTATCCAACGTATTAGAGCTACCATATCACATCTGCCGCGCGTCGAGCATGTACTTCAGCTAGTACTTCAGTCCCACGTTCACGATGGACGTCAGGCGGTCCGGGAGCCCCTCGTCGTTCACGACGTCGTCCCCGACGTTCGCGACGTAGTCGATGTCCTCCCCCCATCGAACCTCCGTGGCGCGCGCGACTTCTTTTTCCAACTCGGCGATTTCCTCGCGCATCGCCGCGGCGCGCGTCTCCGCATCCGCCGCGGCGTCCAAACGCGCCGCCTCCGCCTGCAGCGCCCTCTCCTCCGCTCTGACCGCGGCTCGCTCCGCGTCCATGAGCTTATCTAACGCCTCTTTGGCGTGCGTTTCCGCGAGGTGCTGCGCGCGTTTGGCTTGCTCCGCCGCTTCCGTCGCGCGCGCCAGCCGCGCGTTCAAGTCCAAATTCACAGCCTCCGCCTTTTCCAATCGCGGGTCCCCGTCCGCGTCGTAGAACACCGCCTCTCGCGCCTTCTTCAGCGCTCGCTCCATCGCGGACGTCGCCTCGTCCGCTGCGAGCGCGCGGCTCTCCGCGACCGCGGCAGCCTTCTCCCACTTCGCCGCCTTGATCGCGTACGCGCGCGTCTCGTCTCGCGCCTCGGACACGCGTTCCTCCTCCCGCCTGACGCGTTCTTCCAACTCCGTCGCGTACGCGGCTCTTCGATCGGACAGCGCCTTGGCGCGCGCGAGCTGCGCCTCCGCCGCCTCCCTCGTCTCCGCGGCCGCGCGCTTGGACTCCGCGACGGCCATCCTCGCGAGCGATGCGGCGTCGTGCGCAGCCTCCGCCTCCGCCTCCGCCCTGGCGGCGGCGTCGTCGGCGAGCCTCGCGTCCTCCCTCGCGCGCGCCAGCTTGTCCCGCAACACCCGTTGCGCCTCTCTCCCGAGCGCCTCCGAGCGCGCGACCGCGTCGGCTTCCTCTTTCAAGACGCACGCGGCCGCGCGCACGAGCTGCGTCTCGTCCAGCGCGGACATCTTCGCCGCGCGCGCGCGGTTCGCGTCGTCCTCGGCCGACGCGCGCGCGGCGACGGCGGCGCTCACCGTCGCGCGCAACCGCCGGCCCTATACAAGCGAAAGTCGGGTTGGAGTTGAAAGGCGTCAGTTGGAGTTGAAAGGCGCCGAGGGCGGGTATTGAAAGGGAGGGGTGATGGGCGGAGAGATGCGCCGGGAGATAAAGTCCTTAAGGATCGGCGTCCACCTCGCAAACGCGGTCGTATGGGGACCAGTGTACAGAACGCACCTCCTTCGCGGCGGCGAGCTCGACGAGGTACGCCCTCGGCTCGCCGCGTCTTCGTCTCGTCGCGTTGTCCGGCGGTATCACATCGTCGCATATCGTCGCCCCGCCGCCGGAGACGAGCATCACGCCCGCGCGGTGCGGGAACATCGCGTGGGTCACGCGGTGCGCCGCGCCCGGCGGGGATTCGCTCGGCGCCGCCGCGCCGACGCGGAGTCGCCGCCACGTCAGCGCGTCGAGCTCCAGCGCGTAAACGACCGCGTCGGACACCGCGCCGCCGTCGACGCCGACGCCGCCGCACGCGAGGAGGAGGTTCCCGACGACCGTCAGCGCGTGCTTCGCGCGAGGGGTGGGGAACGGCGACGGCGGCGCCGGCGGCGACGCGAGCACGGAAATCTCCGCGGCGACGCCGAATCGCGAAATCGGGGACGCGTCGTCGCGCGCCTCCTCCTCGGACGCCGCGACCGCATCCGGCGGGAGCCGCGTCCACGCGCAGGTCGTCGCGTCGAAGGCGTACGCGTCACCGAGGGTCGCGCCGTCCGCGGCGACGCCGCCGTGGACGAACGTTCGCCCGCGCGCGCCCGGCGCCGTCGCGCACGCGGCGTCTCTCCTCGGGCACGGGACGTCGCCGTACTGTTCCGGCGAGCACCACCGCAGCGACGCGACGTCGAAGCGCCACAGGTCGTTGACGAGCCCGACGCCGCTCTGGTATCCGCCGTGAACGAACACGTCCGGCATGGTCCCGGGTTCGGGCGCGGGCGCGAACGCGACGGCGTGCGACCGCGGCGGCGGCGGCGGGGAGAAGAGCGCCCTCGGGAGTCGCACCCACTCCCACTCCGGGGGCGCGAACTCGTCGTCGCGCGGGTCCTCCTCGTCTGAAACGTCCGAGAGGTCGTCGCCTGAACCGCCGCGCTGCTTCGCGGCGGTCT